GAAAGCTTCTGTTTCTGAAGATGACTCCACTGCGCTTGGCGACTCAGATATGGAAATAGCATCTCGAGAGGATCCTGTCATGGCAACATTGGCATCCATGCTCTTTGCATTGGCGCTGCCCGCTGCATATATAGCAAGGATTTCATCTTCGGTCTTGGATGGTGCGCCGAACTCAAGCTTTCTCTTAAGAGCCACCTCCTCCTCAACACTACCTTCGAGATCAAGAGATCTGCGAGAGCTGGGGCTAGAGCTGCTGGCAGAAAGAGTCTTCAGCCTCTGCACAAACTTCCACACTGCAGGCTCCAATTTCTTTCCACTGGAACAGCTTTGGATTTTGCTTCGAGCAAACTTGAACGCATTGCAGATACTTTTGGAAATAGCCTTGGCTTCGTCCACACCAATCTGATAGGCCATACTCAGACCCTGCTGCACTTCCTTCTGTCCTGGACCGTCTTCTCAAGGAGTTCAGAGAAAAGCCTTTCATTTTGGACTATGACCTGCTGCTCTGACAATCTGAAGCTCTCCACATCAATCTCTCGACTCCACAGGACAAAGCAACCCATCATGTCTTTGGCAGTGGCAGTGTTCTTAGCACGAACTTTGGCCATGGCTAAATTGATCTTGGTCTCTCAAAACAGCTGCAATTTCGCACGCATGTTACGCAAAGGCGTTATGAAGCACAGGCATGGTGCGCATGAATTCCTGCGCGTGATTCCACGCAGCTGCATGTTGCACCACAAAAAAATCGACAAGAACACAGCTCACAACTCATTATTCTTGCATGCCTGCTGTAACATTGAAATTAAAAAATATGATCGATCGATATACATGCGTGCACGTGATCATGCTGAAAACATTGCTTAAAAAACATTGCTTATTTAAGCATTTTGACATTTTTATATATCAACACGATTTAAGCAATGATTGCTTATTTAAGCGGCACAATGCTTAATTAAGACCGCAAAAGTCCTTAATTAAGCAATGTTACCATGAAACAATGCTTATTTAAGCGAAAAGTGTTTAAATAAACAATGTTTTCCAACGAACATCGATGATTTAAGCATGGTTCTGTTAAATAAACACTTTTGGAAGATTTGGGCATTTGTCAGGACCACTGTTGTAACTATTATTCCTTCTCCCTTACAACGTTTACACGGGTTCGGCTATAACGGCTTTGACCGTACACACCTTTCTACGTGGTTGGTATTACAGCTGGAGGGTTCGGTGTACAGCGTCCCACGGGACGTCACCTTGCCGTCTCTTGACATCCTGCGCTCCTTGCTGCGCCTGGTGGGGCTCAAGGTAGACAGGCGCTTCTACTTCAGGCGCCTCCTGCCGGGCTCACAGAGAGGCCGTGCCGGGCGTCGGGCCGCCTGCTCACGTCCTGCTGCGCAACAGCTTCTCGGGAAAGCGGGGCTCCTTCGCACAGCAGCGGCCGCTGGCCCTGAGCAGCGTGCGGCGTCTGCAGCGGCCTCCGACAAATGTCACCGTGCGGCACCAGGACGCACTGGTCTATCTACGCGCTCTGCCCAGCCAGGCGCGGCATTGTGTCTATGCCGATCCTCCCTGCATGACATGGCCTTCCACTCGGAGCTCCGAGACACACTCTTCGCAAGCGGCCTGCCCTTCGTCCTGAGCATCAACGACGTGCCTGAGGCCAGGGAGCTCTACAGCGGGGCCGATTCCATCACGAGGCTGTGCTCGGGCAAGAATGGTGCCAAGCCCGAGCTGCTGGTAGTGCACCGGGGCAATCCTGCGCTGGCGACAGGATTGAGTGGAGCAATCCTGCGCTGACGACAGGACCTGCGCTGGCGACAGGATTGACTGAAACCTCCGCCGGCGCCCCTGCGGCAGTGGCCCGCACCAGGCCCGCGCCAGGCCCGCGCCAGGCCCGCGCCAGGCCCGCGCCAGGCCCACGCCAGGCCCCAGGCGCACCACATTTGAGGCCCGCGCCAGGCCCGCACCAGGCCCGCGCCAGGCCCCAGGCCCCAGAATTGGAAGCTTGGGCCAAAGTCGACTTCGGATGGAGCAAGGTCAGAATTCCGACTTTGGCATGGAGCGAGGTCGGAATTCCGACTTCGGTATGGAGCAAGGTCGGATCTGGTAGCTGAACTCTACGCGGGCATCCACCAAAAATTGGTTGGTGCCTGTTTCCAGTTCCAAGGCCAAAAGCCCTACAGCGTGGATTTTTCGGGCGAAATTGGAAGCTTGGACCAAAGTCGGAATTCCTACTCCGGTGGACTTTTAGACCGAAGCCGCGGAGCTGGTTTCGCTTTTCCAAGTCTTTTTGCGCACTTTTCGGCCCCAAAGAGAGCGGTGACGAAGCGGTGACGAAGCGGTGACAAACGGTGACAAGCTCGGCGGGCTGGAATTCGCCGGTTTTCCGGGCCGAAAGCGGAATCCTGAGCAAAGTGACCTTGCGGAGAAGCTTTTCCAGGGGCCGACTTTGCGCAACGACTCCTAAGGAAAACATGTTTGAAGGACCTGTCACCGGCAACATCCCGGAGGTCCTGGACAACGGAGAGGTGACTGACGGCGCGCACGTCACCGCAGGGCAGCTGGCCCTTGCTCTGACGCCCTACGCACAAGTAACAGACCTGGCGGTGAACACTGCAGCCTCCGGCAACAACGCGGCGGCCATCCAGTCGCTGGACGACCGGGTCACCGCAGAGCTGGCCTCAAAGCTGGACAGCAGCGCGCTGGCGCAATTGCGCCCCTGGCCACGGCGGCGGCCCTGGCCACCACGGACGGACAGGCGGCGGCGCACGGAAGCAGCATCGCCGCGCTGCAGAGCTTGCTGACGTCTGGAAGCCTGCTTTCGACCGAAAACGAGCGAAGCTTGAGGCTTAGGCATCCCACTTGCCGTCCGACACGGAAAAACGAACTCTTCGGACTCGACCGTTTTGAGCGCTTTTTGCACCAAAAACGGAGCCGGACGGAGCGGTGACATCAGTGGTGACAAGCTCGGCGGGCTGACGGACCACCTCGGCAGGCTGCCGGACTCCGAGCAGGTCCTCGGCGGGCTGTCGGACCGCGGAAAACCCTGCGGAGAACGAGTTCCGGAACTGGGGCCGCTTTTGCGGACTTCTGCGACCAAAAAGCGAGCGGTGACAAAGCGGTGACAAGCGGTGACGAGCTCGGCGGGCTGGAATTTGCAGGCTTTTTCGGGGCAGAAAACGGAATTCGGAGGGTCTGGAGCCGGTTTTCGGCGGAAAACGAGCGAATTTGGAGGCGCAGGCACCACTTTTGACGTCTGACACGAAAAAACGAACTTTTCGGAGTTGGCCGTTTTGAGCGCTTTTTGCACCAAAAACGGAGCGGTGACGAAGCGGTGACATCGCTGGTGACGAGTTCAGCTGGTTGAAAATTATGCAGTTTTGGCGGGTTTTTTGGCCAAAAAACGAAAATTAATTGGGGAGTATAGGCTGGTGTTCCTTACTACGACTGCTTTGCAACTCCCTCCAGTCTTCTATGGCGACACCCGTAATGCTCATCGTGGTGATCTTTCGTTCCCGTCTTCTGAGCGACTTAGGGCAGTTTCGCGTTCCCTCGCCGCGGTGGATATTTTGGCAAACGATAGAGATACGAAGTTGAGCATGTGATCTTCCTGCTGAAAAAGAGACTTCTCGCCCCTCACTGAGGGGCGTGTGTGTGCGGAGTGACAGAATACCCTGTCACCAACATCAAGCTTTCACTTTTACCACAGGGGGATGCTGGGGACCTGTGCGGTCGGCATCCAACGAAGACGCCGCACTTGTCCTGTGATATCGAGGCTGATCACCTCGACGTACCTGTGCATTTCGTGTGATGCAAAGTCCTTTTGGCCCGTTGTTTCTCTCGCTGTGTGTGCTTCATGTTGATTTTGTAACGTCTTCGCTGCTAGACGGAAGCCAAGTGACTGCAAGCCGAACCTACACCCACTCGAGACTCATCAGTTGTACTCGAGACTCATCAGTTGTACTCGAAAGATTAGCACCCTCCATCTGGAGTTTAAGTGTGTGTGTGTGTGTGTGTGTGTGTGTGTTTGTGGTGTGGTGTGGTGGTGGTGTGGGATGTGTGTTGTGGTTTTGGTTGCGGTTGTGGTCGTGTTTGTGTTTGTGTGTTTGTGTTTGTGTGTGTGTGGCATGCGGCGAGGTGCGTTGCGAGTGCGCGCGGCTGCGGTGCGGGCACGTCCAAAAAAAACACCATCACATGAATCTTGAAACCAAATGCGGGACAACTTCGATTTGTGTTTTTTTGAGAGGGGCAACTAGGGGCAGAAATTGCGCTAATTGGCTCACCCGACCAGCCGTCCCTTCGCGTCAACTTTGTGCTTGCTGCCACCCCCGGAAAGACAGCGAAGAACAGTTGGAATGGACCCCCAAGTAGGTACTTCCCAAAGGGTTCCTGCTTTTTGGAGAAACGAAGAAAACCATATTCCAAGAACAACATGTGGTTTTTCCATTTTGGGGTATTTCTTGTAAACAGGTGGTTTTTTGGTGACGAACAGTGTTTTCCCGCCTCAAGCGCTGCACCCCGTAAAAAACCGAAGAGAAAAACCGGATGGTTCCTTTTTGGAGCTATGGTCGCGCATCGGGGCCGGCTTTCGAAAGGGGCGACCAAAAAAGGACCATCATTTCAGCAACTTTTTTCATGGTTTTTCTTGAGAGGCTGCGAAACATAAGGCTTGTTTGTGGTCCTGCACTTTGTTTGGTGGGTAGTCTTGTGGTGTGGGTGCTTCCTAGTTTTTTTGTAGACCAAGGAACGTTTTGATTTTAATGTTCATGTTTTTTGGTTGTGAACACCTGCAGAAATTCTAGTTAGACCTACATCTCAATGCATGATGTTCAGCAAAGGGGTCCGAAATCAAGTTTCCTTTCCAAATACACGTGCATAGGTAAGTAGATATATATATGTATACATGTGTATATACACATATATCTATTATACACCATTTTCAGTTTCCACGCGTTGATGCAAGGCTTTGCTGGAGCAACTTTGTGGCCTGTCCCGCCCTCGCCAGCATTTGCTTGTGCCAAACTGGTGCGTGCGGGGTTGGGTTAGTTCAGGCGCCCTGCGGCCAGAGGCTCAGATCAGGCTGGAGACCTGAGCATTAAAACGGGTTTTGGTTGGGGTTTCAACGGGGAGGCAGGTACTAATCGATGTTTTCGGGGCTTGACGCTATTGTGGTCCGCATTCGACCGAAGCTGAGAAGCAAAAAAACACTCCGAACGCGAGCGTTTATTGCCACTCCTTTTTGGGTGGCACACCTTTTTGGACGCAACTTTTGCATCCGAATGGTGCCAATCGTTTGGGAAGGGTGCTTTGTTTCAGCTCCTGTTTTCGGGAAACATCTTGATTGAAGCCATCACTTACAGCTTGTCCATGGCCGGCCGAGCTTCCGTTTCTTGAGAGGAGCAATTCTTCGCAGCAAAACGTAGAGGAACTTAGCTCCACGGCTTGTCCTTTGCGAATCCAGGTCACTGACGATTGGACGTGATATTTCCTACGCAAGGCACAAACACGAGGTCGACTTGGGTGCGCTTGCACCCCCCCAAGATGGGGGCAGTTTCCATGGACAGTTTGATAGCCTGGGTGCCGGAACAAAGCAAAACGAGCCCACGAAAATCATGGGGTTCCAGCGGTTTCAGTTTGGCATCCCTTTTGAAACAACCCCAAAAGGGTAGTCGCTTGCTTTGTTGCCTTTTGCCATTTTGGGCGTCCTTCATTCCCCCCTTTCACCTGGCCAGAACCTTCCCTAACCCGTTTTCCAGTGTCCCTCGGGCGGCCGCGTGTGACGGCCTCTCTGAGGAGGGAGCCTGAAGTGGTTGCCTGGCAGCCGCGGCTGCGCGATCAGGCGGAGGGTCCGTTTTTGGCCTTTTTTGGGCTGGTCAGCCGGGAACTCACTCCGTGACTTTCTTGGGGCTTCATACTTAAATGAATTTGGAAGGGCCATCTTTAGCGGCAAAGAAACATGTTCTTTTTTGCTGTAGGCCAATTCACCCAGGAAGTGCGGGTATGAATTTGTGCACAAACCATCTCTTGTTGAGGCCCCTCTCAGAGGGCAAGTTTCGGGGCATAGACATAAACAGTCGTGTGCTTGCCTCCTTGATTTAGGAGTCTTCTCCCTTTGCGCGAAAGTTTTAGCAAGCTCACGGACTCACCAGTGCTCATTCTCAACACTTGATCACCTGCAACAAGGGCTTCTCACCTGGGGATTTTTTTTGAGTTCGTCAAGCTTTCCACCCCTTCTCTTCTTCTTACCGATGAACATCTCGAGCATCCCAATCACAACGGCGAGAAAGCCATGGAGACATGTTTTGTCACTTGCGCAGTTTTTCCTTTGGGCATCCCAAGTGTCGGCATGTCAAGGGCCAAACATTGTCTAGCCCAGCTGAATCAAGCTGGTCGATTTTTCCGGGGGCTGTTCCCCCCAAGGTGATCCAGACTCGCTTTTGAGGTTGCTCCCGGTTTCTCCAAGTCAACTGAGGGTTTGTGCTGGGTTCCCTCAACTCAAAGCTCTCTCGAAACGGGTTCGAGCCAACGGGTTCCAGTCGCTCGCACCAATGTTTTTTATTTTCTTCTTCTTCTTCTTCGCGTCCCGGAAGGGGCGAATGTGATTCGACCCCGAAAGCGCAAGGCGCAAACGCCACACTCCAACAAACATGCGGTTTAGCTTTTAGTTTTCCTTTTGAACCCACCCCAAAAGGGTATCCTACACAAACACGCAAGCATCAATCTAACACACACACACACACACACACACACACACACACACACACACACACACACACACACACACACACACACACACACACACACACACACACACACACACACACACACACACACACACACACACACACACACTCACACACACACACACACACACACACACACACACACACACACACACACACACACACACACACACACACACACACACACACACACACACAGACACACACACACACACACACACACACACACACACACACACACACACACACACACACACACACACACACACACACACACACACACACACACACACACACACACACACACACACACACACACACACACACACACACACACATCACACACACACACACACACACACACACACACACACACACACACACACACACACACACACACACACACACACACACACACACACACACACACACACACACACACACACACACACACACACACACACACACACACACACACACCACACACACACACACACACACACACACACACACACACACACACACACACACACACACACACACACACACACACACACACACACACACACACACACACACACACACACACACACACACACACACACACACACACACACACACACACACACACACACACACACACACACACACACACACACACACACACACACACACACACACACACACACACACACACACACACACACACACACACACACACACACACACACACCACACACACAACAACACACACACACACACACACACACACACACACACACACACACACACACACACACACACACACACACACACACACACACACACACACACACACACACACACACACACACACACACACACACACACACACACACACACACACACACACACACACACACACACCACACACACACACACACACACACACACACACACACACACACACACACACACACACACACACACACACACACACACACACACACACACACACACACACACACACACACACACACACACACACACACACACACACACACACACACACACACACACACACACACACACACACACACACACACACACACACACACACACACACACACACACACACACACACACCCACACACACACACACACACACACACACACACACACACACACACACACACACACACACACACACACACACACACACACACACACACACACACACACACACACTTTAACACCAACAGCAACACCAACACGAGCACGCACACACACACACACACACCCACGCACACACGTATACAGCTGGTTGGTTGCTCGGATCCGGCAGGCGCAGCCACCCAGAGGCAGGGCCGGACATCGGGGGAGGAGGGGGATTGGAGCTCCAACTCCGGGTGTCGGTGGGGACCCAAGGTCGATTCTAGAAGCGAATCAGTTTGTAGAGGCACCGTTTTGGATGTTTCTTGCGGAAATGCGTTGTCACCTTGATGCCCGTAGCGCTTTTCGGGCTGAATGGTTGAAGCAACAAGAGCCAAAGGCAATTTGCTCAAGTTGGTGTTTGAATTGCTTCGGGCTATAAAGCTGCGAGGGCAAGAAAGGAGGCCATGAAGAGGTCTTCCAATGTACCCGGGAATGTCCGAGCGATCGGGGTTAACGTCTTGCCAAAAGGCCCAATTTGTGGGGTTTCAAAAGGCTTCAAATGAGCACAATCAAAACCCAGGTAGATTAAGGTTAGCAAGGGATGATCCCAACCAGAAATAGCTGCGGCTGCCTTCTTAATCCTGTACATGGTTCTGGCCAGATCATTTTAGTACCGGGTTTTGATTGCGACTCAAGTGGGCTTGCTGTGGGGACGTCCCTTTCTGACCTCCCACACTTTATGCAAGTGGAAGGCATGGCCTCCGGGTTTGTCCTCTCAAATCGTCTTCGTGTTATCTGCATCAAACCGGCAAATGCAAACCGGCAGGTCTTAAAGGCAGATTCAGCATTCCAACATGTTGGAGGATTTACCTTGGGGGTTTTGACAAATGGGCATGGCTCAAAATTAAAGAGCCAGGGTTACGCAGGTTTCAGTTCCTGCAAGTTTGGTGTTTGAGTCTGTGCCGAAGTATTTTCCAGGAGCCGCCCCCAAAGCAAACACCATTGGTGAGTTTGCATTGATGGCCAATGGCGACGAGGGCGAAGCGCGACATGTCGCGAGGCATGATGCAGGAGTAGCGGCCGCAACCTTCGCTGGGGCCCCCGGAATCGTCTCGGAATAGGTTTAGACTTTTTTCCTTTTTTTCTCTCCTTCTTTTTTCTCTCCTTCTTGTTTTTTTCCCTTTTTTTTCTTCTTTTTTTCTTCTTATTTTTTCGGGACGGTTCATGACAAAACCAAGAAGGAGGCACTAAACCATGGTTGTATCAACTGCGTTTTGTGCTCCTATAGCCATGGTTGCGAGACCCTTGGGGGGGGGGCATCCCGTTGAAGGAGTGAGCGGGTTTTCTCTGTGACGTAGACAAGTCAGGTTTGTTTGTTTTCTTTGCTGGATCGGGCTCCCAGTATTTTGAAGGGTGGCTTAAGCATCACCTTTCGGCCGTCCCCAAAAAGGTTACCCAGCCTCCAAAACATGCACACCCATGTGTAATAGTTGTCTGGACGTTTGGTTTTTGATATTCCAAGCAAGGGTTGTTGCATTTCTAGGCCGTCTATGCGCAAGACAAGGGGCTCCGGACTCCGAAAACATGGATGACTCAGTCAATTCTAACCGCACCACTGGGGGACCGCATACTTGTATCCTTGGTTCCATTTGCCAGGTTCAATGTTGGGTGCCCATGTTTGACAACCACACCCACATGCTGACCGTGTGTCAACTTCCCTTTAGGAGCCTCGGAGCCTTGCACACTCACGACTTCCGACTTGGTTTTCTTTGGCCGATCGCATCATTTGTGACAAAGCCGCCTTTTGTTGCTCCGTTTGATTCATGACTTATGCTCAGCAAAGAGAAGCAACACATGGTTGTGGGAGATGTCCCGAAAGTCTGTGATACCACAGCAGACCAGCCCCATGCCCAATTCAAGTTTTAAGTACAAGCTGAACTTAGATGGTTTTGGCATTTGCCAAGCATTATTGATGCAACTTTTGCCCTTGATCCCATGAGTACATGATTCTCATCCTGTGGACGAAACCCTGCACCAGGTAGGTGTTGATAGGGGAATCGAATCATTCCAGGGTTCCTCCGGTGCCGGCAAACGGTCCATCCAGAGTCCCGCGCCATTTTACTGTCCCGCCTGTTTTCTCCAGGTCCAGTTGTCCCATGCGAGGTGCAAACCTTTAGTGCGAAAACAATTTATTCTCGGCCCTTAATTGGACACACTCCATATGTTGGTCCTTCGGACCCCTGTACAACTCCAGAAAACGGTTTGAATGTGGCGAATCTGTGGATCCCCTCCAAAAAACAGTAAGTGAGTAAGATTACCAGGACAGGACCAACAGGGGGAGAACTGGTGACATCCACATCCAACCCATTTTCTCGAACAACTCTGCCACGGTTTCGGTTCCACCGCTTCGTTGGTGGGCGGTCCGGAGTCCGGGGACTCGGGGACCACCGCCCGAGTCGAGTCCGGCTCGCACGTGCCAGGGCCGTGATACCAGGGACTCGAGTCCCTGACAGTTTGCAGAGGTTTGGAGAACCAATCGCCGGGGCCTCGAAGCGCTCTCGAGGGCCTTGAAGCGCTCGAAGGCTTGCATCCGCTTGCATCCGAAGCCAAGCGAGCTGAAAGAAGCCTTTGCTCCGTTGGCTTATGAAAGGGTTCCCAGTTTTGGTCCTGGCAAAGGGTGATCACCTTTTTTCTTTCTGGGTGCGAACTCAAGGAACTGGGGTCATGATTTTTTGACCTTGCTTTTTGTCAGAAGCCGGTTGGCAGCGTTTTTGGGCGGTCTTGGCACTACAACCATGCCACTCAACGGAATCGTGGGACGGTTCTATGCGAGCAAAAGGGGTATGGGGAGTTCTTGACTTGGATTTAGACGCGGGCGGAAGTCGGGGCAGTGAAGAGACTGTACGTCCTGGACAGCAAAATGTCCAGAAAGCCTACGATCACTCGCTCTCCTGTTGGGTTTGAGCTTGATCGCTGATTTTTCGATACTCTTGAGGAGTGATAGGCTGCGTGGCTGTCCGGTGGGTTTATCTGTTGCTCTGTTGGGCTGAAACCACAGAATTGCCGGAAGAAGAGTGTTTCTGACATTCTCAACTGGTTGAATATGGAATTGAGGCCGGGAGTTTGATTGAACAGCAAATCCGTTGTTGTTGGGGCTTATTCGGTGTTTTGTGCATGCCAGAGGAGTGAGCTTCAATGTCAAGGTGACCTGGAGGAGTTTCTAAAGGGAATTGGCCTTGGCCAATCAAAACACAAGGATCTCCAGTTTTTGCAGGGGACACCGTGAGCAAGAGACTTTCCTCCCGTTTGGTTTGCTTTAGAGGAAAAGAGCCAATGCCAGCCAATTGGAGGGCGTTTAGGGAAAGAGCAGCAATGCCAGCCAATTCTGGGTGGTCTTCGATTCTATGAAGCCAGCATTTTTAGAGCCACGCACACAGACAAACATTTGGATCAGATGTCAAAACTGGGGCCTTCCCTAAAAAAGGCACCCATTCGGACACCCGATCGTGGTGCATCCGGCTCGCGACCAACCCCTCCTCCGTAGGTTCGGTCGAAATGAGCGGCTCGTTTTTTCAGACCTCCCAAACTGGCACAACACAGTGTTCCTTTTTTGGGTGAAAAAAAACAAGCCAACAAGGGGTATACTCAAAAAAGGAGAAAGGCCACACCCATACGAAGCGTCTACGGTTTGTTTTTACTATGGGAAGAACACGGGGGAGAGTCACAAAATGATCCACAATGAGGGGGACAAAACACATCTTCCCATGTCGAGGAATCGCATATTCTCACCGCACATATGAATTTGAAAGCAGGCTGCGCAGCCTCAGGACCATCATGGGCATCTTGTTCAAGTCGCAGGAGCGAGTTTCCAAGTTGGCCCCCAGTGGTTGTCTCGTGAAATCGATGTAAAAGCCCAGTAGAATGAGTATAACATGGGAAGGGACCGGTCCCTTGAAAAGCCAGCCCCTCTTTAGCCCCTCGAGGTTACTTGGTGGTATGCCCAGCCATGCGGTTCCTTAGCTCTTTAGATCTTCTTAGTTGGTTTAGTGGTAGTTTCCATTTAACTCAGTGAAGAGTTAAACTTTGAGCGGGGATCTGAGCACAGGTTAAGCCAAGATCAAATGACTTCTAACAAGGCCAAGGTGTGGACAAAAGGCACCCCCGACATGGAAGATGCCCTCAAGAAACGAATCGACGGGTGTGTGTTCCTAGGCTTCTCAAGGGGAACTACCCTCTCTCCCACTAGCATGGCACCTCGCAGCCAGGTTTGCAAGAGGAAATTTATCTTCCAGGTACCCTCCCGCAGGTGCCATGTTGGTGGGAGGAAGGGCAAAAGGAAACCGGGCTGGCAAAAACGTAGGAGGTTGGCGTCGAGTGGACATGGAACTAGCAAAATGGGCCAAGGGGCAACTTGCTTGGTTTCCACGTTTTGCAGTCGCATCAAGGGCACCCCTGAAAAAATGGCTGGATGGGGTGGGGTCCAAAAATTGGACTCGGAACCTCGCAAAGGGGTGATTTTCCTTGCGGATTCCCTTTACGCCAACCTGAAAAGGGTGCCGAGCCCTCGACCCAGATGATAGCCTCCCTGCAGCTGATCATTCGCAGGTAGGCAATGTCTTGTTTTTTTGCAGCGGAGTCCACGCAACGGGCGGGGAACCCTTTGGTTTCGGTTTGAGGTAGGAATTCCAAAGCATTTTAGTGGTTTCGCTGGGACTGATCAGTCGGATCTAATCTTCCTCCAACAATGGAAGCCGACAATGGGGCGGTTCCGGAGAACTATTTCCTTGTGGGGAAGGAGTGTTTCTGAGAAATGCCCGTGGTTGTCAAAACCGTTTTGGATCTTGTTTTGGTTGGTAGGTGAATTCACCACCCATTTTAGCCTATAGTGGGGATCGGGAAAAACTCGCTACGGGGATTTTGACCCATGGCCAAATGCCCGAGATGAGCTTGTCGCTTTCAGAAAGGGCTGCTGAGTAAACAAAGCAGACTGAAAGTTCCGAGGGCTCGCAGGAAGTCCGTGGCAACGAGTTCTTCGTTGCCTCACACTGGAAACGCATCGCGTTTTCCGATGCAACTGGAGAAGTTGCGGGTGAAGTTGCGGGTTCCGAAGTTGCAGTAAGAGAGCCGCAGGAAGGTGATCCGTGGCGATTGATAGAGCTATTGACTGCACGGATGCATCATATCATAGGACACTCTGAGCGTATTCGGTGCGAAGGGGGCAATTCGCGAAACAACGCAAGGGGACGCAGTGCGTATTGGCTGTGGCTTGGATTAGGACTGGCGAATTGAAAAAAACAGGGAACAAAAGACCTGGACAGGGAAGTGGCTATTTCGAATATATTCACTTTCCTTTTACCCTTGCACGAAATTTGCTTGACGTGCAATCTCAGGGTTGTCGTATTACACCCTGAAATTACACCCTGGGGACATGGCCCAAAATGGCCCAAAATCACGTGATTGTATCCCGGACGCATGCCTCAATGGGGTCATTTCCTTCCCCGTCGGCGTAGTCCCGCATGATACCAAAAACCCTTAGATGACGCCATCGAGGGACCCTTCGACTCGCGAAGTCCCCCCCATCTCTCAGCCTCCTTTTCCTTGGATTCAGGAGCTCTTTCGCCGGCTCAGCACACCCAGGAGGGGTCCGAGTTCTCCGGAAGATCCGAAAAAAAAGAAGTTTTCGGCCTCCCCCCGTTTTTTTGTGGCTGAGTAGGGAATGACTCCAAGTCCGGGTGCTGGGAAGGAACCTTGGGATTCCCTTAAAAAGCGTGGGATGGTCCTTCTGCATCAATTGAAGTGCTTGCCCTCTGACGTTTTTTATCTTTCATTTTGGAGTCGGTGGGGGAAATGGATAGATTCCCTTTCGGAGCTTTCTCCCAAAGGAACAGTTGAAATATATCGGGATCAAATGTTCGGAGGAACTGTCGACTGATGAAACCAGCAACTTGTTCATCTTCAGGTGGCTGTGGCCCAAAATGGTACCAGTTTTGACCCACAGCCAGGTCAGATCGATCAGCTCTTTGCATTCGCCTCCCACGGATCGATGAAGAAGTCCAAGAACTCGAGATAGTAGGGGATGAATCACCTGGGGAGATTCATGTGAGGCGTTGTTTTCCAGACACACCCTTTCTCATCCTTCATGCTTCGCTTCTTTCCCAAGGAACGCTCCGGAAGCTAAGGGATCCCTTGAAAGAAGCTCTCCATTCGTTTTTGGAGATCTCTCTAAGGACTCCACTTTCTGTGAGAGGGGAATGCATATCCTGTGGCAATGACCCCCACATCTCTCTAAGGACTCCAGTTTCTGTGAGAGGGGAATGAATACTTTGGTGCATTTTGCTTGGATGTTAGGTTTTTAACTTTTTGCCAGCTAATGGGTTTTCCGTATTAAACCACTACAGGTCAAACACTTTTAGCTGGGCTTCGCAGAAAGCAACCGAGAAGATCCCGAGTCAAATCACTTGCGCACGCCCTGCGCGGAGCGGCCCTGCGCGGAGGTGCTTGCCAGTTGCTGCACGGAAGTCGTCCAAGCCTGCCGCCCCAGGATTGAGGTCAGTCAGGCTGTGGTCTATGGGAACCCCGGATCAGGGGTTAAACTCAAACTCGCATGGGTCATGGTCATAGCTCTGCTAGAACGGAAGGGGTTAAACTCAATCTCACATGGGCTTTGGTCATAGCTCCCCTTGGAACGAAGCTTTACTTAAAATGGTTCTTTGCAACCCTTCTACGTTATTTTGTTTTCGGATGATGGAAGCCTTGCTTAAAGTGGTTCTCCGTAACCCTTTTATGTTTCGTTTCCGGATGAACCAGCTTCTGGTGGATTTTTGAACGGGGGGTTTGAGTGGTTGAATCCGTTACCATAAATGGGTCCCGATCGCTTGCACCAAAGGACAGTCTTGCGTGCAGCATAGCACCCATGGCAAGATTTACGGCCTATCGTCATGGTTCCTTATGAAGGATCCTTACCAGGTGGGCTTCATCTCATCCCTGTCAACCCCAAGTAAATCTGGAAATCGGTTTGGAGGCGCTTTCACCTGTTCTTCCCCTTGTTGGTCCTGTTTTTAGTAATCTTTTTATAGCCGCACCCCACGATCTTTTGACCGATGTGGAAAGGGACCTCCAGCTCGACATGGGTAGCTTCAAGAGCGTGCCGAAAATGGACCGGTCAACTCGAGCGAACCGAAACCCGCGCAGGGAATGCACCTTGCTTCCCTCATAGCGCATGAGAGCTGAAAGTAGAAAGGGATGTGGCAACGGACTTGGAGCGCAAGATTGGCGATTGTTTTTTTGATGTCCTTTTAAACAACCTCAAAATGAGTCAACCAACGCACGCACACACACACAAATCCAGAGGCTGTTTCATTTCCAGCCTTTCCCCAATGAGAATCGCTGCTTTTGTCGCCCCCACATAGCATGTTGAGACGCCCCCGCCGGACCACCCAGCCGACACCTGACCATCCTCCATCCCTTCTGAGGCACAGCCCACGGGATGCAGTGCAGAAGTGCAACGCTCAGAGTAAGAGGCGAAACCGAGTGCTGACCGGTGCCAAGTTTGCGACGGTTTGCTGGTTTGTTTTGTTTGTTTGTTTGTTTGTTTGTTTGTTTGTTTGTTTGTTTGTTTGCCTGTTTGTTTGTTGTTTGTTTGTTGGTTGGTTGGTTGGTTGGTTGGTTGTTGGTTGGTCTAGTTTAGTTGGGTTTGGCTGGGTTGGGTTGGATTTGTTGTTTTTTTGTTAGTTTTGTGCTCTATTTTGAGATTTGGGTTGTGTGGTTCATTTTTAGCCGATGCCTTGAAGGAGCCTGGGGTTGTTTGCTAACATACCAGGGGCTGGGCTTCCCAGATTCACATCAGTTGCTGCAGCCTGGGTTACTCACCACTTAACCTGAACGGTTTCTGTTTTTTCTCTTCTTTTTTTTTGTAGGGTGCAGCTGAAAAACAAGAGGCCTAGGGTTCAGTCTTTGGTTCCCTTCACCTCTTTTGGCGCTTTTTTTTTTCCCTTCTTTCGCCGCCGCCTTCTAGTGTTTCAGGGCGTTGGCTCGGTGCTTTTTGGATCGAGCGCTTCAAGTTTCCCGAGGCTGACGGATGAAGTACAGCTGTTGACCTGCCCGAGCTCTCCGGAGCCGGCGCCTTTGGAGGGCGCGAGAGACGGGGCGGAGACGGCGAGGGACGGCGAGGGACGGAGAGAGGCTGGTGGGAAAGAGGGGCCAAGTTTTGAGGGAGCTTTGGGCCCGGGAGCGGGTGCGTTTTGGGTGGGAGAGCTGCTGGGATCGCTTTGTTTTTTTTTGTCTCTGTAGAAGCATCATCAGGGTTGTGAGCTGTTGAAATTTGACCAGAACATGTGTCCAATGCGTGTCGCGGTCTCTTTTGTTGTTGTTTTTTGTTGGTTGTAACAGGCGTTCTCACGGGTTGGGTGTGTCTCCCCTTGGAGCACCGAAGTGTACACTTACACTCTTGTCAACACAAGAGACCCCAAAACGGATCTGCTTTGAATGGGATGTGAACTAAACGCCCCCAAGCTATGGGAGTCAACGTCCCATGTTCAAAGAAAGCAGCTGTGCTTGGAACCGAGAATCGCGACCTCACTGGCGATCTTATAACCCCTCCAGGTAGGTGGTTTCCTTTTGATTTCCTTGCCACACCATTTTTCGGGGTCCCCTGTTTTGAGACACACCCATATCAAACATTTCTCTCCCTGGAGCCAAAAGCTGCGGCAACAGATCCTCCGCCCGGTTCGGCACGCTTAGGTCGCAGACAAAGACAGAAGAGCTTTGGAAGGACGCCGCGGCCTCACGCGCTGGACGTCTTCTTTTTTGAGGGTACTTTCTTTTTTTTGAGGGGAAGCCAAAAGGAAAGGATCCCTTCAAATAAGACACACCGAGGCAAACTTTTTCGGGTACCTTTTTTGTGGTTTTGAAGGAAAGCCTCAAAGAAAGTATTTCGGGGATTTTCCTGAACCAAGACACACCCACGTTGAGATAGGCAAACGATAAAATTTCCATGTGCAGGACATGACATAAATGAACATCTTGAGTGAGAGTTGTCCCTGGCCGCGGGAAGTTTTATCCGTGGCGTGGCCTTTTTGCGCGGCGCGTTTTAATTCTGGCAAGCGATAGTTCAGCACCAGGGTTGCTCAGTTGAGAAACCGTTCGCTGGCCAGGGTTTGGCCGACCGAGTGCCTGAATATTCTCCAATTTTGTGGAGAACATGTATTACCCTTTTTAGGTGGTTTCCCATTCAATGGTCATCCCATGTATTTCGGACCTTTTCAACTTGACCCCTTAGAAGTTGCACAAGGCGAGGGCTCCTGCTAGTCAAGCTGGGCTCCTGGGGCAGACTTCGCAGCTCCTTCTTTTGAGAGGACGGTCTGGTTGACCACCTAAGTTGATCTTTCCAATGCTTGGGGTGCAGAGAGTACCTTGCTGCATTTAGGGCACCCCCTCAAAACGGGCGGTTTGCCTTTTGGTTTCCCTTGAACACCGCAAAACGTGGTACACTCAACAAACATCATTCGACACGCCCTTGTCTAGTTGGTTGTCGCTTTTCGTTGTTTGATCCACCCAGTGCGAAGAACCGCGAGAGAAGAAGCCTTTCCTTGGGATTCAAGTTCAAGCCTTTGGCGGGTTTAAGGTATGGAGAGAGCCCCCCCTGCAGATCAATATGGAAGCTAACGCAGGGGCCAAGAAGAGTTTTCTCCTTTGTTTCACGATGGATTTGTTTTGTTGATATGCAGGAGTGTGTTTCTTGGTATTTCGCAGTCTTCGTTTGCCGAGGTTCACAATCATCTTCTTGTCATCCTGAACCTGCTCAAGGACCGCGGGTTGGAACCAGTGGGCTGCGAGCTGTTTTCCCATGGTTTTTTGGGAGCTTTTTCCTTGAAACTCTTGGATCGTTGCAAAATCCATCGCATCGCGAAATGAAACCGTGGTTGACACCATTATTTGTTAGCATTACGTAGGGGATTCGAATCATTCCGTGGGGTTTCTCGCGCGCGAAGTGGATTTCGTCCAACAGAAGAGGAGTGCCCTTTCTCTCATGGCAATCTGAACTGAAGCGAACCATAGTTTTTTGGGGTTGATGGTTCTGTCACTCGCGGCGCTGACAGGTGCGTAGCGCAACACAAGTGAGTATAGCAGATGGTCATAAGGGTGGACAAAGATCATATGGGATTGTCTCAAAATAGGGAGACCTCCAAAATAGTTGGTTTGCTTTTGGTTCCCTTCAAACCCACCTCAAAGGGTACCCTCAAAAATGACACACCTCTTTGGGAGTTGACAGCAGAATGGGGAGCGAGTGGAAAACATGCAGAAGACTCGTGGAAATCTACTTGGAGCTACCATCCATGGAGAGTTCCGAGTTGAGAGAGCTCGTTTTACCCGAAAGCGCTCGCTTGATAATACATTGCCTCTAGAATTCTGCACGGCCGGCATCCGACCGGAAAAGGATCCCTATCCTTGGGTGAGGTTTTAATTGCGGAGCTTGTGTCATTTCGTGGTCTCAGGTGAGGGTTGAGTCTCTTGCAACATGCAGATTCTCATGACACACCCCTGAGCCAAGCTGGCCTTGTCAAGACCTTTGGAGGACCAGGTTAGGCGGGTGGATCCTGTTGAGGCTTATCACCATGGGTTTGTCGATTCTCTTTGAGGCGAAACCCCTTTTTGGGGTTTCGTTTGAAAACAACACCGGGTTTCCGGAAAACCACAAAAACAAGCCATTTTTTTCACCATTTGGTGGTTTTGGGGTCCTCCTAACAACGTTCGACCCGCTCAAACTTCGATCGTTTTCGGGCTCAGCGGCTCGGCAGGAGCTGTCCGAGAATTCGAAGACGGACGCACTCCATGGCCGGGTGAAGGTGGGACTTCCGTCTGAACCCAGGGGTCCCTTAAAAGGAAACCACCAGTTGGATGGGTTGAAAAACAATTGGCCGTCAAGGTAGCCAGGCCCCCAGGCTTCCATTTGCCGATATTTGTTATTTTTGTCTTGTTGGGTTTAAAGGGAATCGATTTCACCATTGGAGACATTTGCTCATTTTTTCAAGTGGGCTTAAAAGCAAATGGAAGCTACTCCGTGCAAGGTTGGGCTTGAGGCTCTCGGCTACTTGCAGCGGAATCTCCGCAGTGATAGTCATGGGAATGGCACCCTCTTTTTTGCGTATCGCAGGAAGGTACTCGCCTACAAGTTAACATGGAACCCATAAAGGGGATCCGCCCAAAAGGAGTTTCCTCTAAGCATTGTTTTTTTTGGTTCCTTCCGTTGATTCGTAGGGTATATTCTGCACAATGGATGGGGGTAAGAATGATTCCCTCCCCACGTCTAACGTTGCGGCCTGACAGGTCTATGGTCTGTCTCAGAGGAAATGGTTGTTCCACACCCCACATGTTTGTGAGGCGGTGACAACTTTGTGGCCTGTTTCATTCAGGGCGGCCAAAAGAAGGCCATGCATTTTTCAAGGATTCTTTCAGGACGCATTTGCATGGCGAGGTTTTTGTAGCAAGGAAAGGCATGATGCAAATGAAGAAGGTGTAAGTTTCAGGTTTCAAGCCTGGTTGATACGATTTCTTTTGGTACCATTGTTGGGTTGGTTTTGAAAGGAAACCAAAGGCACGCCAAACATTTGGGTCGATAAGGGCGCGAAAAGTGGCGGGAACAAAGCGATCTTGAAGACTTCCATGTCGCGGCCAATTGGAGGGTCGATTTGAATTGAGTTGTCATTCGCTTGGTCTAAAAGAACGCTGAACTGGTTCACCCAAAACAGAAGGGACACAAACAAGCGCAACAAAACAATGCGCTGGAAGCCAACAGCAAGAACGGAACATACGCACAAAGAAGCAAAACTTGGTAGTGCTCAGTAGGGAATGACCTGGGATTCCTTTAAAGGAAACCTCCTGTTGGATTGTTTTTCTTGGGGTCATCCCATTTCTCATTCTCTGTCTATCGCACCAAGGAAAAGCAACATACGCAGCAAGAGGACACAGCAAAGGATTGTGGTCCATCGAGAATCTATCACTAGTGGAAATACTGTGAATGGAGCCATGGGAAACCATTGTTTGTTGGTATTCATGGGGGAATCATTATTTCAGGGTTTCTTAGGTGCAGACATTTCGTCCATCCACAGTACTCCTAATTTTCCAGGCGGCTCCGTGATTTGGCTGTGGGTCAAACATGGGTACCCAAAATAGAACCCTGGTAAATGGGACCAAGGACTCAACTCTGCGGCCTGGTACACAACAGGGGACACTGCCTCTCCGAAGGCCAACCCCCCCATTCCGAGACGACGCCGGGCACGCGCAACTACGCAACTGACGAGCTCTTGAGCTGATTCAATCCTGCGGGCTGACTGCGGTTTCTTGGAGCAATGTGGAGGACTCACTCACGATTTGGTTTTGCTTTTTCGAGGTGACCAATGACCAACTCCACGTGCTCGAGCAGTTCCTGGCAGCCGATCTGCCGGCCGGGCGGCCTGACCCTTTTTCGACGTGTTTTTAACAGGACATATACGGGAAACCCACCTTTTTTCGGGGGCACCCTCTTTTTGTTTTCTGGTTTTTAAAGGAAACCAACAGAGTACCCTTGCCACTTTTTGGGGGTCCCCCCCCAAAACGGTACTTCCTACATGGAGTTGGACTTGCGGAGATCAATTCGGAATGGGTCGGTGTTTCTAACTGTTGGATTTGTCGTCCGCCAAAGGATCCGGATCCCGAAATCGGATGTCCCCATTGTTACGCAGCCCTTGGCGATTTTTTCACAGCCCATGGACTTGCTGGGTTGACTACGTGGATGCTTTCGGGGTGTGTGGGCAGCATGTGACCCCAAGATGAGCCACAATCACAACGCGAGTGAGTGAAGGCCAGCAGAAATCAGGTCCAAGCAGAAAATTGATGCAGAATTCTGGCCTTCTGATTCATCGCAACTTGGTGATGGGAGGGAACCCCTGTTGTCATGTAGTTCGAAGGGAACCAACGGGAAGCAGCCCATTGTTAGGGGGTCTCCTGTATAGGTGCCCAAGTTGACCAGGATTTGACCAACAAATTCCCGTTGACGCTCACCATGGCGGGACTTGTTTTATCCAAGCCTTGGGTGGAATGTATATGTTGGGGGCCCTGCCTCCTTCATTCGTAGGCATAGTTTGCCTCCAGTGTTGACGGCCACCCTGCAAAGTTGGCACAAAGCGACGTTGACGAAGCCCTCGTGTTCTGAGCTTTGGCTTTGGATTCAAAGATCCTGTCAGTCAGCAGACCCTTTCCACCTTTCGAGCCAAGCGCTTGCTATCTTGTTCGGCTTGTGGACGTGCTGGGGTTCTATGGTTTTCTTTGGATTTCTTTGGTGGCATGCTTTTAAACTTTCCAGAAATTCCAGGGGTGCCTTCCCCATTCTGAACCCAGGGATCCGGATCTTTCCAGAAAACCTCCGGACACCCAGCGAAAACGGATCCGGTTTTATGAAAGAACGATGGTTGAAAAGAACTAGAGAAATGAAGCTACACCACTTCTCATCTGATGGGCTCGGAGTGGCTGAAAGACCAAGCCACCAGTGACCAAGCTTGGCCACTGGTCTGGTACCCTCTTTCCAACAATCATGGAAGTGCACAAAGGGGTTCCCCAAAAGGAAAATAGTCTTCCAAAGCTCTCCTGTCAACTTCCATGATTGTTAGAGGGAGGGTATGAGCTTGTCCTTTTTTGAGCTCGCCCGCGATTTTGGAGGGAAGCCAAAAGGGTCCGCGGCCGATGTTGAGACACACCCGCATGGCTTCTCAGCTTCTCGGCAAGGAAATTCCTTTGGTTGGTTTTAAGGGGTCCATGGTTTTTGGTGTTTTGACAACTCCGTATCTTCCAAGCTGATCCCTTGTAACGACGTTTTAGCAGCCATTTCTCACTCCGTGGCCAACAAGCACCAGGTTTGCCCCTTCCTTTCGGTGGTTCCAACAGAAAGGCCGAAACAGCTCAAGCGAAGCGGGGCCGGGTCATTCTGGGCTCACTGGTCTTTGGTGTGACTGAATCGACAGAGCCTAGCTCAACCTAAGAGCTCGACGGGCGTGGCTTTTTCATTAGACCTAAGAGGGCTAGCTCGACCTTTTGCTTCGTCGGAGCTTTTAGCCCACGCTTGGATCCTGTCTTTTTTTTTTTTTTGGGGGGGGTTGAACATTTTATTTTTTCCGAGATCCCGGGTGGCGGATCGACCGCGAGGTGCAGCTCTTGTCGCAGCTCACGAGCCTGGAGTTCGAAGTTCGGAAGGCGAGCTGAGCGAAGTTTCTGGGGCGTTAGCTAGGTGATTTCAGTTTGGCTTTGGTTTTCAGGGCCGGGCTTTCTTTTGGCGCTGGCGCCAAGCTCTTTGTTTGGGGTAGGGTGGGGTAGCCACACTTTCCCCCACCGTCCCGGGTCGTGGGGCTGCAGGGATCCCTCACTTTTTTTTTGTCGGGACAAACGGCCATCGCGCACATGTCCTCCATTTCCCTTTTTTGAACCTCCAAAGGTGGCTTTCTCGTTTTCATGGAAGCCACCTGGAAATTGACCAACCTTGGATCATCCGGGGCGACATTTTTGCTATTCTACACCAGAAAATCTTCCCTCCCTTCCCCCCTCTCCCCCCCTCCATCCCCCTCTCCTCCCCCTCCCCTTCAAGGCGGCGGTTTTGAGCCCAGGATGTGATGAACGTCTGCTGCGCTCTCCTTTGGCCAGACCTGCCCGAAGAGGTGGCCGCACAGGCGCTACTCTTTGCTCCAGTGAGATGCGACAGCTGGCTGTTTGACCACAAGACCAGCTTGAGTTGGCTCCTTTTTTTAGGCCTCACGAATGATAAAGCCACATGTCTTGTTTTGGGAGGCCGTCGGGCCATCCTTTTGTTGTTTGAATGGCAAAGTTCCCTGAGAAGTGTTGGTCTCCTCTTCGTCTCCTTTGGAGCATTCAGATTCGATGCCAACCTCGGCCCCCGCGGTTTCTCTCCGAGCGTCCGACTCTGCTTCGTTTGCCGCGGGGAGTGGAGGCCACTTCGCGGCTCGGCGGTGCTCGGCGACCAAAGAAGCAGAAGCCCATGGGATTCATGTCCTACCGATGGCCTTGCGAAGAGTTCTCAAAAGGAAGCCTACTGTGGATAGACGAAATGCATTTCGCACCTAAGAATCCCTGGTTTCTGATTCGATTGTTCGGTTCCCCCGACGTAAATACCAACTAACGGTCTGCTTTCAACCATGGTTTCATTTCGTGGCGCGACATGGATTTCGCAACCATCCACAGCGGGACCCCCTAAGCCGCTATGAGATGCCGCGATGAGAAGCCGAAGGTCTTAGGGAACAACCCCCGCTGTTCCCCGGGGGGCCGCCTGAAAAAAAATCCATAAATGTGGGGCCCAACAAATAGAGAGAGGGTCCCAGAGGGTGGTTGCCAGTTTCACAAACGCAATTGCGCCAGGTTATGGAGTATGTCCGGTTTCACCCCACACTTTTCTCCAAGTTGATGGACAGCTACGCCAGCGATGAGGCGGGGCCATGGCCCTTTTGGCTCGGGATGGAAAAAGCTGGTTGGGATGGCTAGGTGGTCGATGGGTGCTTGGGTGTTCGATTTGCCAAGTTAGTAAATTGTTGGCAACCCCTTGGTTATAACCCACTTGAAAGTCTTCCGTTCAGTGGGGATAACCCTGTTGTTGGTGGGTTATACCCCAAAGTAGGCAACCACGTACTAACTTGGCGAACCACGTACTAACTTGGCGAATCGATCATCCTGATTGGTCGACGGCTTAGCTCGTTTCCTTGGGGCTATCGAGTTCATCTTGTGGGTTCCTGCCGAGTCCAAACAGGACTTGCGAGTTTTTTTTTTTCCCCCCGGTTTTGGAGCCTCCCAGTTGGGTGGCTTTCTCAGGACTCGCGAGGCCTTGTTTTTTTCTCTCCGTTTTGGAGCCTCCCAGAAATCGGTGGCTTTCTCGTTTCAATGGACCCGCGAATGGATCTTTTCGCTTTTGGGGATTTGGCGAGGCAGGCCTCGCCCAGAGATTCAGGGGGGCGATCCATCCAATGGCTTGGGCGTATGGTCCGCAGTGCTGCGGAGCCATGGACTTCTGGGATGGGCAGTGTGGAGTACTCCCCAACGAATGACCATGGAACCCCAACAAAGGGGGGTCCCCCCCAAGAAGGAGACTCCTGAAATCAAGTACGGCTCCAAGCTCCAAGCTTTCCTGCGGCATCTGGGTGCGTTTTTTTTTTTGACGGGGTCAGACGGGCACCCGCAATGGCGATAGAATGTGTGCTGGTTTCCAGTTTCCTTTCTTTTATGCGTTCCCCCCCCCAAAAAAAAAAGAGAGAAGGTTTGGAATTACAGTTGGGCAAAAGCAGATGCCTCAATTCCAACCCATGTGCAATCATGTTTACCCACATCTACCGGGCATTGTGCCATCTACTTCCGAACCTGCCTCAAGAGCGACCCATCTCGAAAACTCATCGTTTTCAGGGTCCGGGGTTGCGTGTTGGTTTGTAGGGGAGCACGTCGTTTCTTCGCAATCATATTCTCAGGTTACCCTGAGTTGGCGGTTTGGATTTGAACGGGTCCCTGGTTCTTGTAGGGGGTGGGAAACCCCCACCCCTTACCCACCAAACCACCGATGAGGGAGGCTGATATTGGGTATGTGGCTGGTCAAAAATCGGTGCCCAAAATGGGTTGCCCTGGTACATGGAAACATGGACTGGTGGCTTAATTTTGACCCGTACCCATGTCTCAAATTAGTGGGACCGAAAAAGTGCCTGGATCGCCAGTTGCTGCTTTTTGCCATGCACTTTACCCCAAAAACCAGCAACAGCGACTGAACAAAGCAGCAGCTTGGCTATCTACGTGGTTTTCGTTTTTAGCGCTAAGCACGCAGTGCGTTTTCGCCGGTTTCGCCAGGCCGCGCTCTTCTCGGGCGTGGTTCTTCGCTCCTTCTTTCGCTACGGGCAACTTGCGGATGGCTCGGACTCGGTGGACATTTGCTTGGGACCATAGGCGTCCTTTTAATCGATTAGTTTGGTTAAGAATAGATGGGTTCCACTGGTTTAAAGATTGGTTTTATGCCCCATTTACCAGGGCAATCTATTTGTCCAAAAGGTCACCTATGTGCTTGTGTGTTTCTAAAATTGGCGGACCCTTTTTGTTGCAGGTATGTAACGGGGAAACCCCATTTTAAGGCAGCCCTGGTTTGAGCACTGGGAATCTCGCCTTCTGGCTCGATGCGCTCCCAGGCGAGCGGGTCTTTGGGTCTAATCTGAGATTCCTGATGGCGTGTCAACAGAAGCTGCGGGTGGGTGGGTGGGTCCTTCAAACCCCAACATGTGGGCTTTGGTTGCCTTCCCAAACTTGCGGTTGGTTCTTGAGTGAGTCAAAGTGAGTGAGTCATAATTCCAGGGAACACATTGCGTGTCGTGAATGGTCGGGCCGGCTTGGCCAGTCTTGGAGTCTCGGGTTTGTCGGTTTTGCCTCAGTGGAGTTTGGGGCCTCCTCTCGCCTCCTCTCCCGTCCGGAAAGCCGCCGGTGGCGTTTGATTTTGCGGTTGGTGTAGGCTCACAGCCATACGTGTCCCTTTTAATCTGCTAGTCTGGTTGAAAATAGACGGGTTCCACTGGTTTGGGTGGGTTTTGTTCCATTTACCAGGGAAGCCCATCTATTTTTTCCAAAAGTTGCCCTGATGTTCAAAGGGGTACGACGTTGGAGGTACTCTCACCTTTGAAGACATCAACATCGGTCTTGGGGTGGGGAACGCAAAACAGCCTTAGGCGACCTCCGTCTTGCCACTCGCCGTCTCGTGCACTTGACCTTCTAGAGGTGAGTGGGGAAGGAATTGGGACCCCTGACCTTCATACGAGGATAGGTCAATCTTTGGGTCTGAGTTTTTTGGGGCACCCGTGGTTTTAACAGAGACCAAAAGGACGTTTTACGGTACCCCTATTTTGACACATGCAAATATCAGTAGTCTATGGTCAATGTGGGTGTGGGACGTACATGTCAACCAAATCCCCATGCGGAAAACCGCAGATATTGACCATGGCATCTTGAGCAAGGTATGATTTGCTCCCACCAATCAACATGGAGCCTGATAGGGGGGTACTGTCAAAAGGAAACGGTACCGCACTCCCCCTCAACGTCAGGTTCCTAATTGGGGGCAGGGTACGTCATGGTGGGAGCTATTCGTTTTAGGTGAATTCAACTTTTGTGAGTGGCCGATGGAACCCCAAAAGCGATAATCACGTAGCCATGCGAATCACCGCAGAAAGGGGCCCATCGTCCATGAGCATGATACAGGGGTCCGCGTGTTTTTCAGAGCAGCCTTTTTTGGGATTGGTGTAAAGGGCAACCAAAGGGTAAAAACCATTTTTTGAGAGTCCACTATTTGGAAACAAAGCCACGTATCATGTCAGGGATCTTCCACACACACATGCCACTAAAAAGGCGGGGAAGTTTGAAGTCAGGGGGTGCTGTTTTTTTCTCCTTTTTTTCCATACCCCCCCCCCCCCCGGGCGATTCCATGGGAGTGCCAGAAAATGTCCCAACCGACCAGAGGCTTTTTTACTCACCGAGGAAAACCGCGCCGGACCTGGGCCACTGGGGTTCGGTTCGGCGGTTTTCGGTTTTCGGCGGTCCGAGGTGGAGACATTCCTGACCAGCGGCAAGGTCTTTGAGCTCATTGGCCTGGCTCTGAGATGGGAGTTTTGGCCGCTTCTTTTTTGGTTTGAGTTGTCTCTCTCTCTCTCTCACTCTCTTTTAGTTTTCTTTTTTGGTTTGTGCTCTCTCTCTCTCTCTCTCTCTCTCACTCTTTATTAAAGAGAACAACACATGTATGTCTGCTCCTTTATGTTTGTTTTTGTTTTTATCTCTCTCTCTCTCTCTGTGTTTCTTCGCCGGAGGATGGGGCAAGAAGCTGCAAGAAAAGATGCATTTAAGCTATATATGCATTTGAAGCGGTCGCCAACTCATGTTGGTTCTCTCAAAGACATCCTTCTTGAAGTTCGCTTGGAAACAAGGTTTGCCCTTTGAACCCCAAATTTATTTGCCAATGGAGGGGGCATTTTTCCCTACCACAGCTCAACCGGCATACAGTCTGGGCAAGTTAGTGCGACATCACTAGAGGGGTTTCGACCCCAAAGTGATGGGATGTCTCTTAATTTCGATTGGTGAGCTACACTAGTTTGCCCAGATAATGGTGCCCAGACAGTTGGCGTTATTTCCCCGCTCGCGTGCGAGAAACACTAAAACACAAAAACAAAGCACAACACCAAAGAAATAACCAGAAAAAAAATAAATAAATAAAAAAGAAACAAACAAACACAGGGAAACCAAACACGAAACACACGAAGACAAAAACAGAAGAAGCAAAAAGAAAACAACCAAACAAAATAACAACACAAACAGAGAAACACGACACAACCATGTGCGATGAGGCTACGCGCGGCATCCCAGCATCGATGTCGCCGCAGACGCGCTCGGGCGCCCGGCCGGGCGTGTGGGCCTTCAAAAGGACAAGGGGAGCCAGAGGATTTTGCAGGCATCCCTTATATTCAACTTATGTACACATGTACCTGTATATATGCATACATGTATATATATATATATACACACATGAATAGAGGGTTTTGTCAAAATAGGAATCGGTCCATTTGAGACCAAGCAAAAGGTGTCGCTGCCACAACACCAGACGCGATTCGGGTCTTGTGGGGTGGGTTGGTGGGTTGGGGGGGGGGTGGTTCGGGGCAATTCAGCCTGCAACACATCTGCTTGGGTTGCCGGGGTAAAAGCTGCCCGTTTTGCGTGCACTCTCTCAGCAGGTGTTCACAGCCTCACCACTGCGGCTCCTGGCCAGCAGTTTTTTTTTCTTCTTTTTTTCCGGGAACACTGCGATCACACCAAGCTACGAGTTGATTGGATTGGATTGGATTGGTTGGATTCGAAGCCCGGGGTCCGAGGGTTTTGTTGGGGTTTCCAACCTCCCCAGGAGGTTGGAAGCGAACAAGTTGAAACCCTAGGGGGGTGCCTTTAATGTCGACCCCAGATTCAAAAAAACCCGTCCCAGCATTTGGGGGGGTGTTCCCTCCAAAAGTGGTCTGAATCCCCACCAAAAGGGGACCCCCCGGATCAAAATCAACCAGGGGTTTATTAATCGGGGTTAGCATTATTGGACTCAGGGAGTCGAAACGCAAACTTTGGCGGATCACCTGAAGCGCGGCGCGACTTGTGAGCCCAGGATCTACACGCTCCGAACAGCGATGCTCGAGCACAAGGAGGCCTTTGCAAATCCGAGGGATCGAGCCGAGTCGGCCAGTTGGCTTTCCGAGGACCTGGAAGAAAAAGAAACGCGCCCTTTGGACCATCCGGCGAAACGGTGTCAAAGGACAAAGTCATGTGTGCAAGGGGCCCACTCCGGCTAGGGTCGCCCAATACATTTCTGAGTTTTGGTTTCCCATTTGGACCTTTTCAAAAACCGTACTGTCACCCTCCTCCTCCATTGGACAAGCAATGGGTGCGGGACGGATGCAGACGAGTCCAGATGGAAAGAGATGTAGGAAGGACAAGCCTTTCATGTCTCTCATTTTCCTTTGAGAACCCTTCCCCACTCAACCCTCAGAAATTAAGGGGTTGGGAAGGGTTTCATCATAATCTCTTTCTACATCCTTTTTCTCACCAATCCATTCTGTAGTTGAGATTGGGAAAAGGTATGGGAGAGAATAGACAAAGGAAAGGACAGGTTGCTTTCACCCCAACTCATTTACATTTCTATCCTTCACCTACAACCTGAGAACCTGTCCGTGAGGGGTGTAAAGGATAGAATTCTCCATCTGTTAATTCCTGACTCCTGGCTCGGTCTCTCTTGCCTATCATTGACTCCTAACCGTTTCACCTGTCAAGGTTGGCCATCTTTCATGTCTTTATCATCCCATGCCTCAATTCGACTCGTCCATCGACTGGGATGAGTCGACCGGAAGTGCCTGGCGGTCCGGGTGCTTTGGTTGATGTTCGTTTATTATTCTTATTATTATTTTACGATTTATTTGGGTTGCGCATAGGCATGTTCCTTTTTATAGGGGACCTGATTGTTTCCCTTTACAACTTGGGGTACCCGCACCCAGTTGGGCATCTTTGGTTTCATGATACTTGGCTTGTGTCAGGTTTTGATATTTCATGCCCCTAGCCGGCGGGTTTCGGAGCCGGTGGGGGGTGGTCCATGCCTAAGCAGCTTGGCATATCCATTCGGCAGGTGTCGGGTCCGTGGCTCGTTGCCAATTATGCGGAGCCAGGGGCCCCGGGTCCAGTTCCGGGCGGCCAGTTGGATTTTGAGACCCCCCAAATCAATGACCAAACGGGCATGTGTGGGGTTGGTTTTTTGGATGAAGTCTTTTTTTCAGGGTTGGTTTGAAGGGAAACAAACATAACATAAACCCACCATTCAGCCCTTAACTGTAGGTTGGATTTGAACCCCTGGTTCCTGTAGAGGGTAAATGGGAAGCCACCTCTCCCGAGCACCAATGAGAGAGAAGCTGAGAGTTTTCTGATTTCTGAGATCCAAGGCGTTTTCGGACGCTCCTCCCAACAGTTTTGAGCGCTCGCATTTGTTCTTTGACACCTGCGTTTTTGAGCCCTCCCATTGCTTTTTTGACTCTGAACGCGTTAGTCAAAAGGCAAAGGGGGGGTCAAGCAAAGAGGTTCGGAGTTGGAGAATGTCCCTTACGGGTTGCTTCGATGGGGGCAAAGGTTCACTCCAACCTTCCCCTGAACATTTGCAGAATGCACTCTGAACTGGAACCTCTTCTCCAAAGGTAGGTTCTGTCGGGGCCATTTACAATCATAGCTGGGCCTAAGAACAGCTTCCCCCTTGAAGGAAGGGCTCCTCGCGGTTTTCCGCCTTGTGAAGGGTTCCAAGGCACCTGGGCACATCCGCATTTGCCGAAGGGTCCCCCAGCGATTGGTGCCCTTCTCTCCCCTTTTTTTTTGGGGAGGGTTCCTGTACTAAAATAGACGACAGAAAAGAGACGGTAGCCTTATTCTAACCTCTCTACTGGAGGTCCTAGGTGCATAGGTCCAGAATATGCCTATAATGCTCTTGGTGGCTCCCGGCCATCCGGTTCCTTTTGAGCATTTAATGGGTTTAGAAGTTGGTTTGTTGTTCCCGGATGAATAAATACCGGTTTAATAGTATGGTGGGGGGAAAACCCTCCAAAAAGTGGGTCCCCCTAATAATAATCACGGGGTTCAGTCATCCGGGGTCGACATTAGGCGAGGCGAGGAGTTCCTTTTTTGAAGGTGTTCTACACTCCTTGAATGTTCCCCAATAGGCGTGCGCTCTGAAAAAAGGAAGGTTTCTTTTGGTTTCCAATTCAAACGCCAGAACAAGTCCTTGTTTTTTTTCTTCTTTTTTCTGGGCGCCGGTTCAGCCTTAGGTTTCTACCTTAGGACTCTGCAACGGTTGGAACCCCGAGGTTTTTCACTCTCTACAATCCGCTCCTGCAGTGTGAGGCGGGCGCTTTTCCGAACTTCAGTCGCCCGTGGGCTACTGTGGATGGCTGCGAAAGCCATTTCGCGCCAGCTAAGAAGCCATGGTTGAAACCGTACGGCTTGTTGGTAGTGACAGGGGAGTCATCATTCCAGGGTTTCATGCATGGTGCAGATTTTGTCCATCCACAGAAGAAGTCTATGAGAGTGGTCGGATCGCGCACCAAATCGGTAGTTGATAGGCGGGGAAAACCCCAGCACCAGGGTTTCATCCACAACTGGTGAAGTGGATGTTGTCCATGCGTATTAAATGGTGAATAGGGCTTATTCCTTGTTTTTAGCCGGATTGGCTTTTTGGGGTTCCCTAAACAAATGAACTATCACCGGGTTTAGATGTGCCGCTCGTCACGCTTTCCCTTGGCTCACGCCTGTTGTTGGAAAACTGCCTTGATACTAAGCCGTTTGTCCTTTTCCATATTGGAAGACTGTGGATAGACAACTCTCACTAGCAATTATTCATACTGTGGAGTGGTTGCGAAATCCATCCAACGCACCACTGAAGAAACCCTGGAATGATTCAATTTCGCTGTAAGAAGCAACAAACGGTGCTTGAAAGTGGTGCCGGATTTCGTCGTCGTTTCATTGCGAAGTCACTTTTTCCCATGCGCGTGACCGTTTTCCCACTGCGAATGTTTTGGCAGGACTACGTCGTGGAGCGACAGGCAAGAGCTGCTTGTTGCTGGTGTCGGGCGGGTCTCTGAGGGTTCCCTTGTCAGTTGAATTGAGGGGAAACCAAACGAAAAAGAGCACTTTTGTTTAGGGGGTTTGCTCGAATGCCAGAAGGCCTTTGATTGCTATTGGGTTGGACCGGGTTGGATCTTTAGGCTTCAACCTTTTTGGTTGAACTCATCGCGTTTCTTGCATTGAACCCACAAGACACTTTCAACTTGTTGCAGAGGGGTCAACAGCAACCAAGACCCTTAGTTGGTGGTTTGCATTCAGTTTTTGGATTTGGAATTGGATATGGTTCTGAAGGGAAACCAGCCCTAACTTGACCTTGAAAGCACCTGGCTCCAAACCACCAATGGGAGGAGCCACTTCCTTTTACTCAGCACCAGTGTCAGGGACATGAAAGTGGGTTGTAGTAAGGAAGCAACCAAAAGTCAATAGCAACTTGGACAACACACTTTCAATGTGGATAAGTTGGACGTATTGGGGCCAGATCCATGCGCATGGGTATGTCAAGGCGGGCTTACATATGATGTGTGTATATTTGGAACAGCGTTGCCAGCCCCCCCCCCCCTCCCCCCCCCCAATGGTCATGGGTCAGACAAGTACCCCCCCCCCCCCCTGTGGTTGTGGTCCTGTGGTTGGGTTGTGGTGGTTTAGGGTTGGTTTAGAATTGGTTTAGGGTTTTAGGGCTAGTTTAGGGTTGGTTAGGGTTGATTTATGTTGATTTAGGGTTGGTTTAGGGTTGGTTTAGGTTTAGAGGTCTACGGTTTAGGGTTTGGTTTAGGGTGTATTTAGGGTTGGCTTAGGGTTAGTTTAGGGTTGGTTTAGGTTTAGGGTTTATTGTTTAGGGATTAATTTAGGGTGTATTTAAAGTCAGTTTAGGGTTGGTTTAGGGTTGGTTTATGTTGATTTCGGGTTGGTTTAGGTTTAGAGGTCTACGGTTTAGGGTTTGGTTTAGGGTGTATTTCGGGTTGGCTTAGATTAGGGTTAGTTTAGGGTTGGTTTAGGTTTAGGGTTTATTGTTTAGGGATTAATTTTGGGTGTATTTAAAGTCAGTTTAGGGTTGGTTTATGTTGATTTAGGGTTGGTTTCGGTTTAGAGGTCTACGGTTTGGGGTTTGGTTTAGGGTGTATTTAGGGTTGGCTTAGGGTTTGTTTAGGGTTGGTTTAGGTTTAGGGTTTATTGTTTAGGGATTAATTTAGGGTGTATTTAAAGTCAGTTTAGGTTTGGTTTAGGGTTGGTTTAGGGTTGGTTTAGGTTTAGAGGTCTACAGTTTAGGGTTTGGTTTAGGGTGTATTTAGGGTTGGCTTAGGGTTAGTTTAGGGTTGGTTTAGGTTTAGGGTTTATTGTTTAGGGATTAATTTAGGGTGTATTTAAAGTCAGTTTAGGGTTGGTTTAGGGTTGGTTTATGTTGATTTCGGGTTGGTTTAGGTTTAGAGGTCTACGGTTTAGGGTTTGGTTTAGGGTGTATTTAGGGTTGGCTTAGGGTTAGTTTAGGGTTGGTTTAGATTTAGAGGTCTACGGTTTAGGGTTTGGTTTAGGGTGTATTTAGGGTTGGCTTAGGGTTAGTTTAGGGTTGGTTTAGGTTTAGGGTTTATTGTTTAGGGATTAGTTTAGGGTGTATTTAAAGTCAGTTTAGGGTTGGTTTAGGGTTGGTTTATGTTGATTTAGGGTTGGTTTAGGTTTAGAGGTCTACGGTTTAGGGTTTGGTTTAGGGTGTATTTAGGGTTGGTTTAGGGTTAGTTCAGGGTTGGTTTATGGTTGGTTGCGGGTTGGCTTGTCCTGGGGGTGGGGGTGCCGGGGTGTCGGGGTGCGAGTTCAGGGGGTCGGGGTGGGGCTGGGACCGTATCCGGGGGCTCGGGGTCTCGGGCCGGGGCTGGGGGGGGGTCTGGGGGACCCATACCATAGAGGGGGGGGGGGGTAGCAACACGGAACACGGGACCATATATGTATGGGTCCTGTGGTCCTGTGGTCGGGTTGTGGGGTTGGTTTGGGGTTGGTTTGGGGTGGGTGTGAATTTGGGGTGAATTTAGGATTCGTTTAAAATTAAATTAGGGCTGGCAGCTTGGCATACGTGGGTTTTGGGTTCCTTCTGCTCAAATATTCAGGTTGAATACGGGTTGGATTGCTCGGGTTGCGAGAGTGCCGGGGTGTCTCTTTTCGTTTCTCTTTTCTGTCCTCTTTCTTTTCTTTCTGTCTTTTTTGTTTCGTTTCTCTTTCTCTTTCTTTTTATTGTTTTTCTTCGCTTCGTCCTGAGGTGGGCAGCCGGTCTGAGCCGCCAAAGATGCAGCACGACTTGCCTTGCCGGTAGTCCCAAGTTGAGAGGAGTGACCAAATGCCCGCATTCAGAGGAGATCATGGGCGAGGACATCGGCTGAGCGGTTGCCTGGCTAGTGACGCTTTGATGCTCCCAGGCAGCAAAGCTAGCCCAGCAGAGCCGAGTGCCTCGTCAAGCGGGCCCGCGTGGGACGTGTTGCGTCCGCCAGAGCCAGCGAGGAAGTGGAAAGAACCACCTGGGCCGGTCAAGGTTGGTAACCCAGAAGGGAGCTGCCGCCGGCTGTTCCATCAATGCTGGGCGGACCCACAGGCAAAGAAGCGCACATCTATACATATGTATAAATATATTATAGAGCCAACAAAAAACACCCGAGGTTAAAACCGGACCACTTCTTGGATTTCAGATAAATTGTCTCATTGTGATCCAGCATCCATACAAGCCACTTGATTACGATGACGTGCCTTGGATTCTTCATCAAGGGGAACCTGGCAACCTACCCTTTGGCTGCAGTAGATTTTTCTTGGATCTAACTGCGTGGCTGCCTTTGTTTTGACGGCTCCAGGCTACAGGTAGCAATAGCCTGGCAAGGTGCCACTTGCACCAGATTACCAGATGCAATGGTGTGCTCTCCAAGACGGCTTAACCAGACGCTATTTACAGCCGGCCATTGTTTACTCGACCGGCCATTCTTTATCTTTGAGCCATTGTTTACTCAACCGAGAACATTTGCGAATCTGAAGTCGCTTTGAGGCATGTTTGTTTTGCAAACATGTTTCCATTGATGACATCACTCTGTGGGGCCTGAGTCCCTGCTTTTCCCGGGCAAGGGATGCTTGCGCAGGCAGCGCCTTTGCTGTTTCAGTCGGCTTGCTGCAGCGTCAAACACGCGCATGTGGCAAGCTTTTGCAAGGTGCGCAACCACTCCAAGGCATGTGGCAACCCGGGATGTGGGGGTTGCTTCAACGGCGCTTGCCGCCCGCTGTTTCTTCCGAACACACCTCGCCTTTCCCAAACTTTGGAGTCTTTGCGGCTTTTCCTTTCAACGCCCCTAAATAGCATGGGTGTTACTGAGTCACCCTTCCCGTGAGCGTCGGCTACTTTTCTAGTGACCCTTGTGTCGTTGAGTTTCTGAGTCGGCTATTGATTTTGCATTTCTAAATAAGGTTATTGATTCGACTGCATTTTTGCTTGCGTAAGTCTTGCTGCAAAGGCGCCCGTCGAGCTTCTGAGATAGCAAAGCAAATGAGGGAGCGTGAGGGACCACAGGGATATGAAGGGGGAGGGAGGGGCCACGGAACACCCTTGACCCTAGCAAAAACAAATTCTTTGACCCCTCTGATACTTGAAGTGAGAACTAAAAAGGGCCGCTCCAACAGGTTTGGTGGCCCTTTTCTGGCTTTGTGGGTAGCCATGCTTTTCAGCGGGAGGATCATACAACACAGGGAGGGTCAAGATAGCGCCGCAAACGTGGAAAAAACAACATACAACACAGCGACGCGTAAAATCTAACAGCCCCAAACCCTGCCGGGGGGCCGGCGCGATTCTGCAAGATCCAAGGCAAGCGAGCGCGCAAGCCTGTCGTATTCTCGAGCCACGCGCGCAACGTCGAGTCCGTTTAACTTATGGGATGATACAATATATGTGGTTGAGAAGGGTGCTGGAGTTTGGAGCTTTGTGACATTGCTTGAGATTTTCCTCGCGGCCTACTTGCTGTGTAAACCTCAGCGCTGCACATCAGCTTGGCTGAAGGGCGTTGCGCTGGGCGCCCAAGAATGTCCAAATTGACCCAGGGCGCTCCCTCTCTCAACCCTACGCAAACCACAAACACAGACGTTTTGATGAGTCTTAGCGAATCACCGCCCAAAACACGGGGTTTTGATCATGTCAGCTATCAATTTTGTGATTGCTTGCCAACTGCACAAAGACTGCGCGCCGGCCCTGAGGTGCGCGGCCCGGCGTCATTCACCGCGTGGCGCAGCACCCGAACCCGTTCATGCGCATCCGCGAGGGCCCATTCAACGTGACGCACTCCTTCCGAGGACTGCTTTCGTAAAGAAGGGCCAAAGGTGGATGCTGTCCGTATTTGTCGTCAAACAGTCTTTGAAAATTCACACCCAATACCCGCATTTCGGTAGATTTTGGTAGACTGCGGTGACATGGGGCATCTTCGGAGTGCAGTGCGTGTGGGTGCGGCTCTTTTGAGCTAAAGTTACTTGTTTTGGCTGGCTCAGAGGGGAGCGAAAAGGAAAATCATTCTTAGAGAGTTGCGCAGAATTCCCCATGCGGGAGAAACGGTACTTTGTTTTTAGTGGCCGTTTTCAAGAAAGTGTCGCTGCGCGCCCATAAAGCTACTGTTTCTTGACACTACATGTTTACATGTTTGTGTGTGCCTTTTGGAGGACAGTCATTCTATTCCGCAGCCCCCAGCTCAAAAAGCAGGAGGGAACTTGCTGGCCACCCATGTCCGGAAACTGGTGGGGAGTTGATTTTCGCGAAGCGTTGACGAGGATCTTGCGTCTAATGCTACCGAAAATCCGGCTGGGAAGTTAACTTTGGAAGCTCCAAAAAGAGGTCCGCAAACATTGGGGTTGAACAGTACGGTCAAGGGCTCCTGCGAGAATTTCGCAAAGCCTTTTCAGTCGTGAAGTCGCGCGGTGCCCAAATTTGGCCTTGGCTTTCTGGCCGCAAGCGTCCGCAGCCGCACAGAACGATTAACTTTCGGACGAGGCTGGGATGCGAGTGATGCTGAATGACGTGACGTCCCCGCAAGACAGCAGGGCTGTGACAGAGTTGACTTGCAGAAGTTTGGCCAGACCCGCGGGAAACAAAGGTCGAGCCGTGTCCGCTCCGACCATAGCTGCTGGGTTCTGTAACAAGCTTGGAAGAGCGATGCAGGGACAAGCGAGCAAGCAAAGAGCTACGCAAAAGCCCCCCTAGCCAAAGGGCGGGTGCGAAGGTCGGTAGGGAGAACTTTTCTGGCAAGCAAAACCAGCGAAACAAGTGCCACCCAGCGTCATTATTGGCAGCGCTGACTTTAAAATTTCTGCGAAGCGTGGGTAAATCTGTAGGAGTTCTCGGCGGACCGGGTTGTTCTGGGGGCTTGCGGAATCTTTCTGACACTATGGCTGCAGGCTGCTGGCAATTAAAACACGTATAGCAAGCCGGCCATGAAATAGCGTCTGGTTAGGCCGGGGATCTCACCAGCCAAGGAAAGCGAAGGCTGCGAAGGCGAAGAAGGGCCGGAAGAAATCGAACCAAGAAAGACAAGGCAAAGGCCAGCAGCTCCAGCGAGAAGCCCGAGAGGCGACCCGGCGAGAAGGCCAAGAGCAAGGCGAAGCCCAGCAGCGAAAGCGGGGGCGCGCTTGCGCAGGCTTCGCAGATTCAGAGACCTTGGAGAACCCGTAACCTGGTTGGCCCGAGCAGGCCGCTGGGCCGCTTGCGGCGCTGGGGCAACAAGATTCGCAGGCGGCGGCGTATGCCTGGGCAGCTTACGCGCCCAAGCTGACGGCAGGCGGCTTTGAGCCGGCGGAGTATAAGGAGCACGTGGAGTTGGATGTGCAGGTCTCGATGACGTACTACAGCGCCACAGGCTTGGCCATCTACCATGTCTACCATGAGGAGTTGCTATTGGGCAAAGTGCAATCTCCGCCGCAAAGAAGCAACGGCCTGTCGTGTCAGCATGTCCGGGCTGCCAGTCCATGTTAGGGAGCGCTTTTTGTGCATGCGCGGGGCTGCTGTGATATTACAAGTCCGTGCTGCCGTGCTGTTTCTAGGCTTAGGCAGGTTGGTGTAGGGTGCGTTCGAAGTGGGTGTTGGGTGGGTTTGGGACGGGTTTAGGCTGGATGCTTGGAGGTTTTGGGGTGGGACGACTTTCTGCAAAACCCATCATGATCCCACCCTCAACCCACTGCAGGCCCACCCTAACTTCGGCCGACTTGACGCCGAGTATGTTTTTTTCGATGCCCCCAAACCCTTCACGGCGCTGCAATATGCCGCAGCGCCAAACCTACCCTAAGCCACCCCAAGCCAGCCCCAACCAAACCGCACGACCGCAGCCCCAATCGGAGGGGTTAGGGACGCAATATTTATATGCATAGACATACTTATAAACAAATAAGTAGATGAGTGAATAAAAATAAGTAAATAAGTAAGTAAGTAAATAAATGAATGAATCAATGAATAAACATACATATATATATATATATATCGCGTGGAGCCTCCCTCGACGGTCGTACAGACAAATCGGTGCATCCTTAAAAAAAGGGGCTCGTTGTTTTAAAGCTAAACTTTAAAACCACCCGTCAGAAGGGCGACCCTCAAAAAACGACACCACCAACTCGTTTGCCAACCCAATAGGCCCGGCATCACCCGCCCACTACAGGCCCATTTAGCGAAAACTCGCCCAATGCCAGGCGTTGACTCTTCTTGCAGGGATGCTGATGGACCGGAGTTTCCAGAAGCCCGCCCCGGCCTGTTTTGATTGAACGCCCGCTTGTGGCGGTTTCCGAAACTGGGATGCGTGCCTTGTTTTGGGCTACTAGTTTCGGGGTTGGTTGGAAGGGACCAAAAACAAAACCGCCCGTTGGTGTGTTTTTTGGGGCTACTTGAAAGGAAACCAAGACAGGCCGCCCATTTCGAGCCCCATCCCCGGGTCCCAGCTTCAAGCCTCTGGCCTTGGAGCTCAGTTCCCTTTGACTCGACGCAGCATTTGGAACGCACCAACCCTTCTCAGCCACCCAGTTGCCCAAAAAAAACAAGGTCGTTGGCATTTGAGGGTTTCAAGGGCGGGCAAAACAACCATTTCGAGACTCCGGAGGTGTGAGTCGACATTTTGCGTATTTCATTGGCCAGCAATCAGAGAGCGAGGGAAGAAGCTGATGGTGGGCACTTGCAAAAGTTAGGGCTGTGACAGTGGACTGAGCTCAACCATGACAAAGGATCTTCACGTCTTTTTACTTCAGGATCCCTTATTCCTGGAAAGTGAATCCGGCTTCATCCTCGCATCCTGGGGTCTGCCAGCAAGATTGGCGCTGCCAAAGGTCGGACTTCTGTTGTCAGAAGCGGTGCGTCCTGGTTTTACCACATAGAGTTCAGCTTGCGTTGCATGACATTAATGATGTATCATCCTAGAACCCTTCCTTTGGTCCACCCAAATGGGTATGCGTCATCGAGATACTATCTCAAGTTGATGGTTTTCCTTTGGCCCCGGAAAAAGGAGAAAAAAAAAACAGAAACAACCAGGTGAAACGGGCCTGTCGCCGAGCAAGGAAGCCACAGACTTTGAGGGTTCCTGTTTTAGCCAAACCCACATGGATGCCAGGGTGATGATGAACTATGTCAGCAACGAGCCGCATCTGAAGCTAGGGCCCCAGGCAGAGCCGGATCTGTGGATTTGCCAGGCCACGCGACGCCCTTTTTTGGGGTGCCCCAAAGGGGGTTGAGGTGCCACGTTAATTCTGTAGGGCAAACGCGGAATCCTCTGATGGGAAGCCTGTGAAAGGCACCCCTGTTTTTCCATGGGCAGGTCCAACATTTTGTTGTTTCTTCCAGGTTTCTTTTCTATAGGAACACAACCCCAAACCCCACGCAGGGTCCCTCCTGACGCATCTGACGAAAAACGTCTCGCTCAGGATCATCATGAACCTTCTCCTGGCGGACTCGAAGAGCATCCAATCCGAAGCCTTCCACGTGTGGCCCGGCCGATTGAGCGGCTCGCTCGCTCGCTCCCGGCTCGGGGCGGGGGGTTGCGGGGGGTTGCGGGGGGTTGCGGGGGGTTGCGGGGGGTTGCGGGGGGTTGCGGGGGGTTGCGGGGGGTTGCGGGGGAGGGGTTGCGGGGGAGAGGGCGTGGGGGGTCTGCCCTTTTTTCGCTTCCCCCCTTCTCCCCCCCCTCCAACAGCTTGTATTTGTTGACACAGTATGGGTATGGGTCAAGACTAGATTGTGAGGGGACCGCAGGTTTTAGTCCATGTTTCCGTTTGCCGGGCTTCCATTTTGCCTATTTTTGGCCCACAGCCACATGAAGCAGAATTTGAACATACATTTGCTTTCGGTCAAGAGTTTGACAAAGAGATGTGGGGGATTTTGGGGCAACCATCAGTTGTGCTTCCAGAAAGTGCGGGCCCCTACTCCAAATACCCGTGGTAATTTAATTTAGCGATCAAGGCTGACAACTGAAACAAGTGAGTATTTGGAGTAAGGGGTATCCTATCTTCACTAACAGGTCTGGCTCCCTCCAGGACAGAATGGGTTTGGCCGCCTGTCACTCCCAAACAGATGTTAAAACTGCTACAAGCATTTGGTTTTCCTTCAGCGACCCGAAAAAGGTTCCCACACAAATGCCACCCAAAAGTTGCAGCTGGGGGATTTTGTACCCAAATGTCAGGCCGTTGAAGTGCAATTCATCTGGAGAAATGTGTGTGTGTGTGTGTGTGTGTGTGTGTGTGTGTGTGTGTGTGTGTGTGTGTGTGTGGGGGTGTGGGGGTGTCGTTGTTTCGGGTACCCTCGTCAGGTTGATTTAGCGGGAAAGCAACGGGAAGACCTCATTCCGTCTTCCAGGTCCCGCTTTTTGCACACATAGGCAACTAAGGAAACCCTACTTGTGGTAGAAGATCAGGCTGCGGCTGCACATTTTTCCGGCAGGCCATGCTGAAATAATCACAGAAAGTTTGGCATGCGTTTAATCCTTGGGGGGGGGAGGGAGGGAGGGAGCACAACTGCGCCCTTGTTGAAGCCCTTCAGCGTTTTTTAGGGCTTATTTGGGCCCCCTCCGCTGCCAGGTCGTGAACACATAGTGCTTGAATCGCGTTCTGCTCGGCTTTGAGGTTCAAAATTTTCGTGGTCAACCCGCAGAAGCCGCTTCGCATCCAGCAGATCCTCGTCAAGAACAAGGAGCGAGCAAAGTTGACAACGATCCAATGGCGAATACTTGGGTCCGATGGCATTCCTTGGCTTGTTTAGTTTTTTTTTGGGCGGTTTCCATGATATCCCACTAAAAGTATCATGTTGCTCGGATGAAGCAGAACCCTGGTTGATATTGATTGGGGGGTATCTCCCCCAAAAGGGTGGTGATTCATCACTTTGGGGACATCCCTGTGAAAAGGATTCATTTTTGGGAGGGGACTCTCCTTTTTTTTTAATAAATAAATACAATTATTATTATTATTGTTTATTTCTGGGGTTCACACCACTGCCCTTCCTTTTCCTAGACGGCGAATAAGCCTTTGGACGTTGCCAGCCTCAAGCATGGCGCTTCCTGGGACCCAGGCAGGTCCTATCAACAGCTCTTGGCTTCGCTTAGCCACCAATCCAAACCAACTAGGGGGAAACTGAGCAATTCTGAAAATGGCACTGATGGTGTGGAGTTGCAACCGTCATGCTTGCAATGCGGGGGCGATCCGCTCTTTTTCATCCGGGTGTCTCAATGTCCGCAATGTGGAAATCTGGAGCAATCAAAGGCCCCCTAGAAGGGATACCCGCCCTCCCACTAACATAGCACCTCACAGAGGAGAAAGCCTACCCTCTCACAGGCGCTATATTTGTGGGAGGATGGGTATGTGTCAAAATGGGGGTTGCGATTCGGGGCCGGTTCTTTAATTGGGCGGTCTTTCGTTTTGGATTCTTAGTAAACCACCTCAAAAGAACCTCGGGGTCGTGCAAACGATGGACCCCTTGTTGACCCTGGGTTTTTCAATCTGAAGCAAATTGTATTTGAGACGGGTCCGCTTCCTACTGTGGATGGACGAAATCCATTTCGCAGCACTTTGAAACCATAGGAAACCATGGTTGGTTGGTATTTACGTTAGGGAATCTTTGGATTCTGACCGGTGGTGCGAAATGGATGGATTTCATCCATCCACAGTGGGTGTCCCTGGATGGGTGTCCACAGTAGGTGTCCCTTTCATGCCCTGCACGCACTTTCGTCGGCTGAGCGCCTGGAAGCCTTACCAAAGGCCTCGGGTGATCGGGTGAGGCGATGAGGCGCCTCCAAACGGTGAAGCCACCAACGGCCGAGTCCTAGTGCCCAAGTTTCACCACCTGCCTGGTTTTTTGGACGTCCCGGTACTTGTCAGCTTCTCTTTCACGGTGGTTTGGTTTTGCGGGGTGCTTTGGCATCTACCCGCTAGAAGAACCAGGGCTCGACGCCCCAAAACCACCAATCCAAACCAGCTAATCATGGCCCACAAAAAGTAAAAAATGGAGCTCCAACAAGTAGGGCCCGTTTTGGGGAGTTGCGAAATTTGTGGCCAGGACAGGCTCGTTGCGTTGCTCCAAACCCTGCAATCTGGGAGGCGGGCTTCTTTTTTTTTTCCGTGCTGGGGGGGGGATCCGGTTTCTCACCAAGGAGGAATTAAATGAAGGTGGGGCAAAAATTGGGTTGCCCTGGTAAATGGACACATGGACGTTAAAACCTGAGGGTTTTTCTGGTCGTTCAATTTTTGACCCACACCCAAATTGCACACCTGGAACCTTCCCCACTAAGCTAAGGTGAGTCATCAAAAACTGGCAAAGTGGTCCCCGAACTCACTTTCGCGCTTTGATTGCGGCTGCTTCGCGAGCTGCATGAGCCTGTGTTTGTGTGCTCGAGGCTTGACTTTCTGTTCCTTTGGACTAACTTTGGGGCACCAGCACCCTACAAGTGAAAAAGGCGATCTAGATGGTTGCAATTCAGGTGTCGGAGGCTTCCAGACCGCGACTTTTTTTTCTGACGCCGGTCATCCCCGAAGCCTAGCATTGTCGGTCTTGTTCTACTCTGACCCTCACGGGCCCTCACGCTTGATTCTGGGACATTCTTTTGGGGAATACGGCCAATCGCGCAATCTGTCATGTACACAACACAAATGCGCTGAGTCCAAAGGGCGAGCAACGCGCGGTCTTCAACGTTATGTACTGACGCTGGGTACTATGCACTCACCACATCGACCTTAGAAGTTGCGGTTTGCTCAGTGAAACTGGATACAATTGATATTGACCGTGGCTCACATGCAGAGCCATTCTTCCGAATACGTCTCCCACTCGCCGAGGTCTGAAGATGCAAACTTCAACACCGATCAGCAAAAGGCGGGAGATGCTGCAAGGGTCTTCCGACTGTGTTTAGAGGACAGTGCAGAGTTTGCTGCAGAAGCATTCTCGGCAGGTGTTTCTGAAATCATTGCGATAATGTATACATCTATCTCACAAAACTGCTTTCAAACCGACGGGGGAGTCCACATCCCATCGTTGAGTGTCTTCCAAGATCGCCTTAGGCTCGGCCTAGAACGGCTTTTGGCGTTCTGAATTTGCGAGGAGCTCAAGCTCCCAGCAAGCTCCCGCATGGGTTTTGTACTCTTGCCCCATTCTGGGAAACCAGCCACTTTGGGGCTGGTTTTCTTGTTGTGGTTAACACCAAGGGGGCATTTGTTTGGTGGTCGCGCAACGGCTTCGTTTTGGCAGGTCATCGGAAGATTGCTGGAAATGAACTTGCCGATTCAAGAGACCATCACTCGGTTGCGCCCTCGGGATGACCCGTGGCTGGGGAAGGGTGCCAAGCGATTTGGACTCCCTTCAAACCACCCCCCAAAAAGGGTAATTACCCGCAAAGAAGCACATACCCCAATGCCCAAAATTGGTGGAATTGCCCTTGGTTTTGCCTGGAAAGCCAGGCAACCAGAGGTTTGCCAATTTTGAGAAAAGACCCCTGTGTAATCAATCGCTTGCATTGAAGAACAAGACTGCGTACGAGATACACTCCCCCAAACGTGGAAGCAAGGAGGGTGCATGGACCAAGCCACGTGTACAATCAAAATCCGGTAAGGGTCGTAGGGGACAGTCCCAACTAAGCGGCCTGTTGTTGTATACTGCCTCAATTTCAGCGCACGGTCGCTTGAACATATATTTTGGCCTGGAAAATTGAACCGGCGTCAGCGCTTTCAAGCGTTTTGTGCTTCTTGAGCACTTGCAAAGCTGGCCAAAGAAGTCCGGCCACGACCCTCTGGGTGTGTCTTAAAATAGGAACCGAAACCCCCAAATAGCTTGATGTTCTTTTCAGTTCTCTTTAAACCAACCCCAAAAGGGTACCCTGATAAAAAGAACACGCACACACACACACACCCACACTTTGGAGGATTTGGGGGGAGAAGCTTTTTGTGCACCTGCCTTGTTTTCTTCTCTTTGCCCGACGTGCAACGGAAAGAGGTGTACCAAAGACTTGGAACTCCTTTGGGGGTAGCAAGATAATCCATCTTTGCCTTGGGCCAACCAGACGATAGAACCGAATCGACAAAAAACAACAGACAAGCAAACCAAGAAGACACAAAAACCTTGGTTGTGTAAACTTGGCTTTTGCCCACTTGATTGAACCGAATGAGTTGCACTTGGGAGTTGCCCCCCAGGATTCGGAGATCACCCCTGTGACTTGGCTCACGGGGCTTCCCTAAACAGAAGGCCTGGCCATTCCTGGGGGGTCATTCCTATTTTGATAGTTTCCCACAAAGGGAGACCCCAAAAACATCCAGGGAACCGGAGGCCAGTCTCCTTTATGAGTTCTTTTTTCCTCTGTCACGCTCATGTTGCACTGGCCTCCTGACCGCCTTCGCCTTCTAACCGCCTTCGTGCAGGTGCAAGCCTCTGGAAGAACCCACCCGTGTGACGGGGGCCCGGCATATTCCTGCCCAGTGCCAGTAAAGAGCTTGGCGATTGGGTGGCGCGGGGTACAACGAGAACTCCAGCGATTGGATTGGGGGGAGGGGAGACTCGAGAATTTTGTTTTTCGAAGGAGCGTTTTGTTGGAAGGGCGACTCATTCTAGACCGCTAAAGCATAGAGGCATCCTGGGGGTGGTTCTCTCACTTTTCCGAAAACCCCCAGGTGAAAAGCCGCTGGCTTCTTTTGGCCTATTTTCTGGTGAAACGGGCGGCTGTGCGGCCGTGGGCCGGAGTTTGGCCGGCCCCTTTTCGGTGCCACCGCCCGTCCATGAAAAAAGGCGAAGGCTTTTGCTCCCCTCCCCATTTTGGAAGACGGTGCTGGAGTGAGCGGCTGAGAATCCAATAGTTGGGATGACCGGCCGCCGGAATGCCAGTCCCATTGATATCTGTTGGGTCTGCGCTTCAATTCGGGGGCTCTTTGGTGACCTTGGCGAAGTAAACGCTAGCAACAAATCCCGGTGAGCAGGGGGGCAGTCCTCTCACTTGTTTTTCTGTGTCTCCGACGTGGCCGAGGGTGGCCCACGGAGGCGTTATATCGAGGGAGCGGTGAATCGCTATATGTGGTGTTTACTTCTGCCGGGGCTTCCAGAGGGTCCTGAATCTTGTGGGCTCCTTGCTGTACGGCATGCAGTGGAACTGCCAAGCCCCGTCCGAACTGTTGCATGGAGCCAAGGGCGAAAACCGATCGATCTCTTGGGCGAATTCGGGTTTTGCGTTTCGCGGAGAGCTGCAAGCATGGCTCTTTTTTTCTTAATTAAAAACAACCGTTTGGGACATAACATCACGTCTCAAAGCATGTTTTGATCAGATCAGGGACGCCTGGGCCCCGTGATTTGGGTGGAGTTTGGTGCTGAGGGAGGTGAGGGAGGCGAGGGAGGTGAGGAGATGAGGGAGGCTTTGCTGGGTGTGAAGTAGCTCACCATGTTATTCTTTTCCAAAAAAGAATATGACAAGAGAAGCATTGTTTCTTTTGTTTTTCCAGACTCCCTATTTGTTTTTGAACAACACCAGCCACTTTCAGGCGACCCTTATTCCTAGGACGCGCCGTTTTTGGTTGCGGAGTGGTTGCGGCCCCCAACCAAAAACGGTGATCCTGGGGTGGATGGAAATTAAGTATGGCTCACCAACAAATTAACATGGAGCCCAATATGTGGGTCCCCCAAAAGGACATTCCTCTAATGATGTTTTTTGGGGTTCCATGTTGATCTGCAAAAGCGTAGTTCGGGACGGTCCCAACAAGTCTTGGTTCTTCAAATCGGGGGACTAACAGCTTGCTTTTCCACAATATTTTCCTAAAGACCAACACAAGGGGTGCGCTCAAGACACCCCATGTGTATTCCTTCACTAGGTTTTGATCACGGATGCCCGGAGTTTCAGCAAGGGTTTGCACTCCCTCAACATGGAAGCCCCCAGAAAAGGGAAGCCCAAGTCTTCCAAAGAGGAATCGCCTGGGCGCTTCCATGTTGAATCGCCCGGAGGGTCGCAGTTTCGCCCGTCCCTCTGCTTGGTCTGCCGTCCAGATCGAATTCAGTGCTGCAGACGCGCTGCGCAGATAGTGGAGACACAGGATCCGAGCTCACAGATGGCCCCCATCGGTTTTCTCTAGGAGCTCTAGGACTTCAGTGGTTGCCTTCAAAACGAGGGGTACTTCCTCTGTGCAAAATCCAAGCAGCCCGCAAGGGCCCTTTGACTTCAGTTGCTAGGCACCCCGCAAGTCAGAGAGAGCCGGGACCTGGTTGGCCTCAAAAGTCCCCCACACCCCCCCCGGATCTTGGCTCATGGTGGTCTTTGGGTTCCTTCCCCCCCCCTTTCGAGCCTTCGGGCCCCTTCCGCGCTTTAGACCCAAGCGCGCCTGGGAGTCCGTGAGCGCGTCATGGAAGGGCGATAGGTGAGGCGCAGGCCGGTGGGGGCCAGTGGGGGCCGGTGGGGTGAAAAAGGAGGGTGCCGGTTCTTCTCGTTTCTTGTGCGTGGCAGTTGAGTGATATGTTCAGATGGCGGGGAAGTGGAGAAGGGTTGGCATGTGCCTGGCATGTGTGTGTGTGTGTGAGTGTGTGTATTGTTCCGATGGCTTCTTCCACACACACTCTTGCCCAGAAATTTCCCTCAAAAGGAAGCCACCAGTTGCCAGTTGGAGGGTGTTGCTTGGGCTCATTCCATTTCTCATTCCCATACTGGGCACCAGCAAGTTTCTTCCCGGAGCGGTTCGGGTTCGGGTTCCCAGCGAATCCTCCAATTCAACAAGAGGTGGTTAGATGGGTATGGGTCAAAATCAAACCACCCGGGGACCGCAGGTTTTAGTCTTTGGTTCCATCCAGGGTTCCATTCTGGGTACCGATTTTTGACCCACAGCCAGATGTGTTTTTGGTTGGTGTGGTGGGGTGTCCGTATCTAAGACCCACAAGTTGAAGCTTTCGGCAGGAGATCTGCCTGCTGTGAATGGACGATATCCATTTTGCACCACCCGAGAAACCCAAAAAAAACCCTGATTCCATGGTAAACACCAGCAAACAATGGTTTCCTATGGTTTCAAATTGTGGCGCTGTTTTCTTCTTCTTCTTTTTTCCGCAACCACCCACAGTGGGTGGTGAAAACTGCAGCACCCCTGGGGGTGAGAGTAGAGTTGATGCTTACAGCGCTTGTTTTAGTTGGCAGCATGTCAACCCAAAGACTAAGAAAGGAGAGATTCATGGCGAAGTCGGGGTTTGAACAGCGGGTATTTGGAGTCGGGGTTGATGAGTCGTAGAAGTTCGTGCAGATACAAAGTGGGAGTTTCCCTAAGAAAAGGGGAGCTGCTGGATCTGACAGATTTTTGGTTTTGGATGAGGGGACTTACCCCTCACTCCTGACAGGGGACACCCAGAAGAAGTTTATTTTCCAGCTCACGCCAAGTGCCCGAAGCTGATATGGGTTATGTCTCAAAAAATGAGATCGGGGACCTCCAAAGTGTTTTGACTTCCTGTTGGCTTTCCCTTAAACACACACACACACAAGTCACTCAAGTGCTTTGATTTCCTTAAACACACAACCCCCCGGGCAAAGTGTTCTGACTTCCATTTGGCTTTCCCTAAAAAGTGGGCAGTCAGGAAAAAAAGGGGCCTAGAGGGCAAGATATGTCCCTGATCTTCCTTAAAAGGGAAAACAGTAGGAGCTGGATCTCTTTGTTTTGGTGAATGTTAACTTTGGACTTGGACAAGTCTTCCATCCTTCTTTGTCACAGTCTGGCGGATTGCGGCTCCTTCCTTTCTGTTCGTTTGGGGTAGGTATCCCTTCGGGATCAACCCAAGGAAACAAAGGGCGCCCATGGAAGCAACGCATCTTTCTTTCTGTTGGAAGCCGTGGGCGATGAGAAGCTCCGCGTGTTTTGCATCAACATAGGCGAGATACTGGATGGGCGAGATCCATTTCGCACCACTTTGAAACCATGGTTGAAACGATTGTTCGTTGGTATTGACAAGAGAATCATCGTTCCACGGCTTCTTAGGTGGTGCGAAATGGATATCGTCCATCCACAGTATGTTTCAAAGTGGACTTGGCCCCCCAAAAATGGCTTCGGCGTTGATTTTGAGTCGAAGCTCACCGCCCCTACGCCATTCCTGGCTAGGCCGGTTGCTCATGGCCGCCGCTCGGCGGAAGGGCTCGGAAGGCTCCAAAGTCCCAAGAGGATGAGGCGTTTTAGAGGCGGTTCTAGCTGATTGGCATCGTGGGTTAGGGCGCAGAGTAGCTTTGGTGCATTTTGCTTGGATGTTGGGACTCTAATTCTTTGCCAACTCATGGGTTTTCCATTAAACCCAGAAAGCAATCGAGGTAAGCCTGTAAAGTCTTGCTAGAGCCAAAGGTCGAAAGCCAAAAGGGGAGCCCGCTCAAAAGAGCCCCAGTCAAAAGTGCTGTCATCTACCCCCAAGTTCCCGCACGGAGTTTGAATTTGCTCGCCAAGGTCCAGTGTCAGCGGCTACACAAATGAATCAAGAAGTAAAGCAACCTGGTTTGCTGCTCCAGCTGTTCGGCGGAGTCTCACTTTGAACAGCGAGGACAGCGAACAACGTATTTGCTGCTGCTTCGCTTGGACTCTCTTTCTCTGGTTTCCAGGCTACTCCGCCTTGGAGCAACGGAGTGTTTCGGGCTTAAGCCCTGAAACCAAGGAAGGCCCAGGCAGAAAAGTTGGCCAGCGAAAGAGGTTGGCCCCCCAAAAAACACGAGGAAATGCGGTGGCCTCAAAGGGTAAAGCAACGTTTGCAACCAGTTTGACTGGGTCTTTGCAACCTTTGGGTGCATCTTTCTCCACCTGGGTTCTGACGTCACTGAAAGGGGCGATTAGCTTTGCATGTCCTGGAAAATGTTTTATAGGGGACATGTGGTTCTGTCCTTCTTTAACCCGTTCGGGATGGTTTTAAAGGGACGCCCAAATGTTGAGGGTCCCCACTTTTTGAGACAAAGCCACATACTTAAGGCTCAAAAAATAGGACCCGTTTTTGGGCCCGGACAGGAGCAAAGACGAACACTTCCGTAAGCCAAGTCCAGCTGTTCCATTTTGGCCACCCCCAAATCGCCAAGGAGCCTGTCGTTTTCTAGGAAAGCCCCAAAACCCTCAAAATGGTGGAAATTGTCTTCTTTTTGGTTTTCCTACCCCCAAAAGGACATGATTTTCCTTTCGGTTTCCTTCGAACCATAAACCATTTGGTTTGCTTTTGGTTTCTCTTTGCCTTCTTGAACCCCCCAAAAAAGGGCACCCTTAAAGCAAGCCCTCTTTCGCATTTGCCTCGCCTCCCGAATTTCTCAAAAATCCGCCGAGGACGACGGGCGCCGCCGGCGGTTTTGATAGAAAGCGGGGGCAGGATGGGCAGGGGCTCACTTTTTTTTGGTTCTGAAACCGACAAACCAACATGGAACCCCACAAAAGGGGTCCATCTGCCAAAAAGAGACTTCTTTTGGGTTTGGGGTACTCCCCTAGAAATCGTTTGGAACTTTGCCGTTTGGAGCTCTCAAACACACCACAACCGCCTTTCCTCGCCTCCCAAAGAATGGTCAAGAAGGGTACCCTTAAAAAAGACACACCCATGTCAAGGAAACCTGGCTGGTGTTTTTTTTAGTTGGCTTTGAAGGGAAACAGCAGTTGAACCAAGCCCTTTTATGGGTTCCCCCGACAACTTGATTGGCGCACCCGCTGGTCGGAATCCTCTTTTGGTCTTTGCCATTCTTAAAGCAGACTCCTTTGGGTACCATTTTCGGCTTGATCACCCCACATGAATTGCCATGGGCCGGTGCTTGGGTGGTGACCCACGTGGTAATTTTGATGCCTGCCCGAAGGATCGTACGGCGGGTGTCGTAAGACGTGTCGTAAGACGCGTCGGGGACCCGCTTGGCTTCATTCGTGTTTGACTGACACCCCCAAGGTGCGCTCGCTTTTTTTTTTCTTCCGCAATGTGGGTGTGTCTTTTGAAAGGCTACCCCTTCTGGGGTGTTTTAAAGGGAATCTATCACTGCTGGAAATATTTTAATGTTTCCCAGGGAGCTTAGCAAATGGACGTTGGCATGTCTTGGACATGAGTTCCCCCAGCCAACCTCCCGCATTCCAAGGAGTTGACTGGTTGATCGCTCCTTCACATCGGCCGGGAGGGGGGGCTTTCGTTTCTCAACCAGGCAAATAAATCCGAAAGGTGAGATGAACCACAATCGAAACCGGGGTAGAGCAACGGATGAAGGTGAGCCAGGGGCAAATGCCAGCCATACATGGCTGTGGATACCCACCTGCCTTTTAGTTTCTTTTACAGTGATTTCGGTAGCAGCTGATGTTCGAGGATCCTGGAAAAGTCGTTTCTTGGACGCAGGATTCCCTTTTACCTGTTTTGCACTTTGAGGGGTTCTCAAAAAATGGTGTTTTTTCGGGGTTTTTTGTCTTTTTCTTCGAGGAGCTTGGATCTCAAATGGACCCGAGGCCAAAGGGGATTTGTCCCGTTTTTTTCGCTATTTCTTTTTTTTCCGGATGGGCCCAAGGCCCGAGGCCTCAACCACCCTTCACCGGTGCTCTCCGGCTCCAGCCTTCGGCTCCCGCCAGCCGTCGGGGCGTCAACAAACATCCGCGCGAGGTGCGCGAGTCCTTCGCCAGGCACGGGCGCCGGAAGATCGTGCTGCCCCCCGGGCACTTCAGCAGGATCTACAGGAGCTGAGAGCTTTTTTGCTGAGAGTGGGCCTGTGGGTCTGCGCTTTTTCTTTTTTTCGGACCTCCAAGAATGGCTGTGGGTCAAAACCAATGGGATCCCATTTTGGGGGTAGGCGAATTCACCGCCCATTTTAGGTTTCCTATTTTAGTGGTTGGATGGGGATGTTCCCTGGGGGTACTGGGCTGCGGGCCTTTCCTTTGGTTTCCCTTTCGCCGGCCTTACGTTGCCCGTGGGAACCTGGCGCGACTCCGTACCACCGGTTTTTTTGGTTTCCTTCTTTAACGCCAAGGAAAGAACGGGGTCTCCTCCCAAAAAAGGGCCCGACGCAGCCGGCTTCTCAACTGCTAGACGAAGGCCAAAACGAGCGGTAATCTCGTAGCTTCAATGGGCCAGGCCCAGATGAGCTCTTTTGGGTGGTTTGCTTGGAAGGTTTCTTTCGGGACCTGGGGATGTCACCTGGGCTTAGTTCAACTGGATCTTTGTTCCTTTTGTCTTAGGGGGCCACTCCTTGAGGATCAGCTATTGAAACAAGGGCGCCTTTCTTTTCTTCGTGGACATCCACTGACCTTCCTTTCCCCCGCTTTACGCCGGGCTTTCGGAAAGATGTAGAACCGCGCATCAACCAACCGGCAGCGGACAGGGACTGTTCGCCTTGATTGGTGGGAGGGTACAGTTGGGTAAATTTAGATGGTTAGTCCTCCCCTTCACTCACCCACGTAAAAAAGGATTTTGTGCCATCAGCATGTCACCCTGGCGAGGTGTGATCTCCCCGGCTTGCCTCTGCCACCGGTTGTATTTTTGTCGGGGTTGGTTCAAAGCCAAGAGGGAACCGCGCATGTATCAACTGGAGCTGGTGCTGCTCACATCTGGGTCCGGGATCATCAGTCCCTGAAGTAAACCACCCCCCCAAGTGGTGGGACGTTTGTTGTCCATTCATACCCTTGCGCCCACGAACACGGAGCCTGGCGTCTTGGGGGTGTTGAAGCTATTTTCTGTGGTGGGTTCCATGGCAACGTGCACAGGAGGGTAAGACGATCGGATTTCTGCGAGGCCCGCAGATCTTAGGTGATGCAAGCGAGTCTCAAGGATATTGGCAAGCGCAAGCCGTCAACATCGGCATTAGGTAGCCCCCAACCCCAACCCCAACCCCAACCCGAACCCCCCCCCCCCCCCCCCGCCAAAAAAACAAACAAAAAGAAGCCCGAACCCGAACCGGAACCGGAACCGGAACTGGAACCGGAACCCGAACCCGAACCCCCCCCCCTAACCAAGCGGACATGCCACGTCAGTCCGGAACCCGAAACACCCCCCCCCAAGGTGCAAAGGGGCAGAGGTTAGGTTAGGGGTTAGCCGGGGTACACTGAACATCGGCGGAGCCGACGAAACGCCTGTTTTCAAGAAACAAGCCTCCGCGCGTGCTTGCGGTACGCGCGGAGGGGTCACACACATACACGTGCATCTTTGTTTGGCATCACCAGCCTTCTAACTTCTAACGCTCCTGCTTGGAAGCAAGCCCACGTCGACCGCCCAAAAGCTTCAACCACGGCAATTTGTCGAGTTGGACTTTCGGCCATTGCTTCACAACTTGATGGGCGCACTTTTTGACAATAAAACCGCTGCCAAGGGCTTTAGCTCCTGCGCGCGCGCATCTATTCCGAGTTCTGGGCGTCGCTTGCTAGGCAACACACACACACACAAATCACGATGCAAGTTGTGAACGGCCCTGCCTGCCCAGAATTACTGTGGATGTGTGGATGGACGAAATCCTGCACCACCTAAGAACCCCCTGGTTTCTGGATGATTAAATTCTAAATACCAACAAACAGCGGTTTCCCCATGATTTCAAAGTGTTGCCACAGTGCGTCATGGTGCAGAGTGTGCGTTTTGACCCTTGAAGAAACCAGAACTTGGTGGCTCCCAGCCATCCGGTTCCTTAGCTTTTTAGCCTTTTAGTGTTTAGTGGAGACTTGCATTAGACCCACTAGAAGTTAAAATTTTAGCGGGGGATCTGAGGACAGCCCAGAGAAGGGATGGCTCAGTTTCGATTCCCTCGCGAGGATCATCGGGCGCATCGTGGCCGCGAGGGGCCTGCCGCGCCTCGCTTGGGACCGCGGGAAGGGCTCCCGATGTTGCATGGGACCTGGGAAGTCGAGTTGGCTGTGGCTCAAGAATGGGTAGCCCAAATGGCACCTTGGTTAATGGAACCAAGGACTCAAACCTGCGTAACCCTGGCTCTTACATCTTGAGCCACACCCAGTTTTCCGCAGAGCAGTTTTTTTTTGAAATTTACACCCAACCTCCCAGGAGGTCCCTTTCAGCCTTTTGTTGAGGCGAAACGTGCCCCGCCTTTCGGGGTCCCAGTGTTTCCAGCCAAGCCGGCCTAAATGGAGTAAAAAAGCAGGGGTGGATGAATCCTGGGGTCCCATTTCATTCAGAATTCCTTGCAACCCACCAGTTGCTTCAAGGCAATTGTTGTTTGTCTTCCAACTTGATTTTGACCAGTAGGGTCAGTTCATGGAAGCTCCCACCCCTTTGGAAGACTCCTGGATCGCCAGTTGCCGTTTTTTCCATGCACTTTACCCCAAAAACCAGCAACAGTGACTGAAAAATGCAGCAACTTGGCTATCTAGGCTTGTTTCCATTTACAGCCTTCTGGGAGCCTCCATAGTCGTTGGGATCTTCCGTTCGAAGGCGTCCATCGGAGTTTCTCCCCTCAAAAGTCCGAAGCTTCTCCTGAGGATGAGGGGAGGCAAACCTGTTGCTTTGCGCCACTGTGGAAGTGGGTGTGTGTTTTTGACCGTTGAAAGGGAAACCGGCAAGGACCGCCAAAGCAAACATTTTTTGGGGTTCATCCTACTATGACGCGTACCTGGGTAGTTGTAGGGATGGCCACTTTTGGTACCGAAAGCAACATGTATGCATGAGCGCTTTTACTTTGTCAAACAAAATACCAAAAAAACAGTGCCTTTGAGAACTGGACACTGATGTGAGGTGGTGCCAATTGGACACTAATGTGAGTTTTGGCGCATTTTTCTGAGAACGACTTGTGGCTGAAGGCTCCATTCTTGAAGAACCACACTTGGAGGGTTGTTGCCACACTTGGCATCTCAGGAACACTGACGCCAATGGCAAGTCCGACCCCTACTGCGTCCTCAAGGCTCACGCAATGGCCAGGACGCAGAATGGCTAAGAGTAAAGTAGTTTCATATTGTTATGGTCATATCATATACAGAGTTCTATGTTCCAAGGGGATGAAACCCAGGGTTCCGTTTCCGCTACAGGGGGTGGTTGGGCAGTGTCACACCTTCTCTTTTGATGATGGCTTAGACGTGCCCTCGCATTTTTTGTTGTTTTGCCATCGTAGTATCCAAGTCCCTCTGCCTCGCTTCTGACTGCGGCCCAGTCGCCTGGAATCGGGATTGGTTTTCTGGTTTGGCGAGGCCCATTTGACACGGTGGACCGTTGGCCATCGTAGCTGGTACTGCACGAAAAGACTGGTTTCTGACTGCAGTTTAGCCACGCATGTATCTTTAGGAGCAAATTCTCTGTCTGAAGACATGACGCATGACGAGTTGTAGGAGGTGGTTGATGGCTTGCCATGCAGGTCAAACCCACCAATCACTGTGCCAGAAGGCGTTCAATCTTCGCGATGTCTGAACTAACCGGCAACGAGTCCCATGGCGTTCACTACTTTGTCAGTTTCTGCCACTGTGATGAAGTCACAAGCTCCAGCCCAGATCAAGGTGGGTAGGGGACTTGTTTTGTTACATACTTGAAAGTCACAAAGAGGTAATCAAACGTAAGATTCTCAAACCGACTCGGTGAACACCATCACCATAAAGTAACTTCCAGAATTTGGGGGACTTCACAGATGCCCAAACAACACAGTAAACACAAACATCCCAAAAGGTCGATACTTTTTGGAAGTCCAACAAATCCCGCAGTCAATGCACAATTCCAACAAAACTTCCCGAATTTGAAAATCCCAAAGTTCCCAACGTCTCAGTAGCTATGTTTGGGATAGAAATGGAACTCTCGAGGCTTTTTTGGACTGTTGCATGTACTCAAGGTTTTGTTGTGAATTTCCATCCCCGACAAAGTTGCTGAGATTTTGTGAATTTTTGGGAACTCTCTCGAGGTTGAACATTTTACATCTTCCGATGTGTTTTTTGGATTTACTGAGAGTGTTGTTGGAGTTTTCATCAAACAGGGATTGTCCCCTACTAACGTTGATCTGGGCTGGAGCTTGTGCCTACCTTGTTTGAGGTTTGTCATTGTTTAATTTGTTTGCTGATTGAATCTTTGCATGTTTTTCAATCTATGTAAAACAACATAATGGGCGTGGACAAACTCAGCGCTCACAGCGTTGTTTTCAGTTCTCAATGTGTTTGAGCAAATAGGTAGAACCATTGAGGCCAATGGTTTGTTTGGCACAGCTCGAGTTTTCGAGGTGGTTTCAGTGGGTTGCCTGGGAGATCTAGTAGGAAATCAACAGGCAGCCAAAAAACCAAGCGCTTCCTCGTTGTCTTGTTTGGAGACGCTGGTCGAGTTTCATTTTGTGCGCTTCGCGCTCGGACCTCCCGTTTTTGTCGCAAGCGCGCGCGCGCGCGCCGGGCGAGTCGCGTCGAGGGCATCCGCTCGAACAACCACATGGCCAACATTTGGGTCACCAAGGCTGTCCAGCGGCTTGGGCGAAAGATGAATGGATCGGATCGCGTGCCACGCCGCCACGCCTTGGTTTGGATGCAAATTCAAGGACCCGGGGAACCCTCGTGAGCCACTTGCTCAAAACCGATTCGGGTAGATGAACGTTAGGGGACAAGCCCAACCATAAATAGGTGCGGATATCCGCCTTCTTAATTCTTTACCTGGCTCTCGGTAGACCATTTTGATACCGGGTTTGATCATGACTCAGGTGTTTTGTGTGGTCTTTCTATTTGCCCGGGGGGGGGGGGAGGCGGAGGTGATTTGGATGGGCAGCTTTGGGTCTTTTTGACTTGGATGGTCTAGCCCACCGGCAAATGACTCACCAGGGCCATGGTGGTTCTGGGTTAAAACCAGGGTTGCTAGGGTTACAAACCACAGTTGAAACGAGCAACTGACAAAATAAATTTCCCCCCACCAATCCACAAACAGCTGAACACTTTCACGGATGTAATCATGAACAGGGCCTTGATGCTTCAATTGCGCGAGAATAATGGTCGCCGGGTTTCTGTGTTCCGTACTCATTGCCATCCAGGCCATGCGGAGTATGGGGAATCCCGGACTCGTTGGTTTTTGATCGGGGGCTGCTTCTGGTTAGTGGGGGTTAATCATTCTTGGATGGGAACCCCCCCCTACTGTGGAAAGACGAAATATTGCACCACTTTGAAACTCTGCAATACCCTTGTTTTGCGAAATGGATGTATGAATACTGAGAGTGGGAAATCCTGCACCACCTAAGAAGCCCTAGAAGTATGATTCCCCTGTAAAAAGCCAACAAGCGATCTGGCTTCCCATGCTTCAAAGCAGTGCGAAAATGGGTGTCGCACACCATCCACCGTGGGAATTGGTTCCGCTTGGCTCCAAAAACCCCGAGGCAGCCCGCTCCGAGGGGCCCCGGTCTTCTTTGGCTGCCTTTTGGGTTGGATCTTTTGAGACGTCAACGAGTTCAGCTTCTTGCGGAGGGATCTTTTGACGGCATTCCCTTGGACACCCGCGCGACAAACAGAAGGGTCCGATGAAGGACGGGGACCGGTGGGGTGGCCAATGGGCGGTTGGTGCCACGGAGCAGGGGCTCTCTCTCGCGTTGAAATCAGGAATCTGGGAACATAGCGCGTGGTAAAGGCTGGCGGTTTTCAGTTGGTGTTTCATGCCCAATGTGGGAATGGGTCAAAATTACACCACCAGGGCAGCGCAGGTTTTAGTCCTTGGATCCATTTACTAGAGTTCCCAAGATGGGAATGGGTATGTCGATTCCAGGTACACGTTGTTCTTGTTGGTAACAGGGAAGCCAAAAAAAACAGCCGCTGGGCCATTTGGCGCGGAAAAGGGCGGGGGTGGGGGGTTCGGCCCCCCGGCTTCTGAGCCACGCCGACCGAAACCTTTTTTGGGCCGGCCCACTTGTTCTTGAGCTGGGCTTGGACGCTTGAAACGCCGACCGAAGCAGTTTTTTTTCTGCGGAGCGCGAGAACCTCAGCTTCATGAGAATCTCGAACTCTGGGAGGTGTGCTGGGCTGCCCGGTATCCAAACTTGCTGTTTAGGGAAGTTTTGTGGGGCTACCGATGGGAGGTGTGTGAGGACATGGTAGGTCTCCCTTGGTGTACAAATCCTTTGCGGTGTTCTCTGGCTGGCGCATCCGAGGAACACCTTGTCGCCTCACTGGGAGGACACTGGGGCTGGGAGGGCTGGGGCGGGGGGCAGGGTGGGCCGGCCGGATCGGGCCTTTTTTTGGTTGGTTTCCCTGCACACCAAAGGAAACCCTTAAAAAGAGAGTTAGACCCAAACAGGCCAGAACTTGTGTTTGACGAAGGGACCCCAACAACCGGTGGGGAACTTGGCCAAAGCCGGGCCCCCCCGTTTGGCGCCCAAACTTGGCTCGGGAGAGGCGGGAGGTATTGCAGCGGCGGCCACCTGCTCTGTGGAGTGGTACACCGACTTTGCACCCGTTCTCGCTCGAGGAAGCCACTGGTTTGCGTAGACGAGCTCACACATTTTACAGTTCAACAAGCAACCGGCACATAGACTCGACTGAGTATATGGGTATGGGTCAAAATTAAACCACCGCACGTTTTAGTCCATGTTTCCATATTCTCATAAGTTTGTCGCTGTCATCTTGTGAGGGCGCCTTTTGGGTTTAAAATGAACACCAAAAGGACACCACAATCTTAGGTTTCTAGAAAGCTTGTACTTGACTAAATGCCGCTTGAAACTTCAAGTGGGCTTTGAAACATGAAAGCCAACCCTTGAGGGTCCTTTTTTTAACGACGGCTCCAGCCGTCCCCTTAGGTTTGAAGGCTTTTAGTCAGTTTAGTGGTTGGGTACAAGAAAACAGACAGTCCATTTTGAACACACAGCCCCACAACTTGATTGCTCTTGGGTTGGGTCTTTAGACTTTCACTTGTTGACTTCCAAAAGTTTCCATTCAAATTTCCGAAAGGAACCACTTTAACTTGTTGGTTTAGCTTAACGAAAACCTTCCGAAAGGAGCCTAAGGTTTCAAGCAGCGTTGCTCTTAGGAAGAGTTCGACTTCATGATCCCGGCTGAGTGGGGCCTGGTGGAGCTGGTGGGATTGAAGGCCGGGTAACCGGGAAAAAAGGCCGAAGCGGACCAAAGGCGAGCTCCAGGGTTTATGGGTTTTTTGGGTTTGTGTCTTTTTTTTGAGGGACCCACGCCCCAAAATGGCGGGTTTTTCCTTTTGGTTTCCATTCAACACCACCAAAAAGGGCTTCCTCAAAAAGACAGACCCATAGCCGGTCAGCCCTCCCCCGAGATCTGCGCGCGTGAGGTGCTTGCTGCCCCTTAGGTAGTTTTTTCTGCATCCTTTGCTTCCAGATTTGGACTGGACTTTATGCACAAAGCTTTTGCTCCCCGAGCTGTGTGCGGGGCTGGACGCCTCCGGTAGGCTCAGGGGGTGCCACCACATGATTTGGCCGCGTGTGGTTACTGGCACGCCAGAGGCAGACCAACCCACACATCCGTTTCTGTTTTTCTGCTGCTCTTCTTCTGGTCTCTGCTCCCTTCCGTTCGTGAAGCGACGGGCAAGGAGACCACCCAGGGAGACGGCGGCGGCGGCGAACGCCGAGGCCGACGGACAGCGCAGCCGAGCGCCGGGTGGCGTCCGAGCTGCACGGCGCGCCTGGCTGCCGCCGACGGCGCGCGACGAGCGCCCCGGGAGGAAGCGAAGCGGAAGGAGGACGCGGGCTGAGCTCGAAAAAGGCCGGCGCGGACGCGGGAAGAAGCGCAAGACGCAGGGTCGACACGCCGCGCGCGGACGACGGGCGTGCAGCGACAGGCAGGCAGAGAAGAACGCGGCGCCGTTTGCCAAGGAAAAGGCGCACCTCGGAGGTGGCGAGGGAACGCGAGGGGCGGCCAGCCGGCGAAGGCGAAGGAGGCTCTTTCAGGGACAAGTGTTGCCAAAAAGCGCGAGAGGCTCTGAAAACGAGCATGCAGAAAGTGTTGCTGCCCCTAAAAAGAGCCCTAAAATGCTGCGAGATTCTCAAACGTCAGCCCTCAGAAGCTCGAAAGACCTCTCGTTTGGCTCAGCAACTGGCAGCGCAAACCGTTGAGATGCCGCCTTCGCAACGAGCGCGCGCAGCGAAGTGGAAGAGGTCTTTAGTTGCTCCAGGCGGGCCATGATGAGCTCACCCGCAAGCTTCGCGCAGAACATCTGGTTCCGAAAGCGGGGGTCTTGCAGGTGCTTCAGGTGTGGCAAGGGCAGCTTGCGCAAGCTTGTCAAAAAGCCAGGGCCTGCTGTCTTGAAGCGTAGATGCAGCCACAAGACGTGCCCGCGCCGTCCATCCACTCTTTTCTGAAGGGACCGGCTATGGGCCTTACATCTCGGCAAGGCCAGCGTGGTCTTCTCTTCGCCCCTCAAGCACTGCGTCCGCCCGCCGCGCGCAAGCCGACGCTCACCCTGCTGCCCGCGGAAGGCATGGCGTTGTGCTTTTGCAACCAGAAGCAACGGTGTATGCCTGAAGCATTGGTTCAGCCAGAGTGGCGAGTGGTCGCCACTTGCTCGCAAATGGCTTCAAGGCGAGTCAAGGTGGGAGGCGAGTTTGTTTTGAAGAGCCCCCGCTATCGCCAAGCGCAAGGGCCCGCTCGTGAAGATCAAGAGCGGCGTGCAGATTGTGGACAAGGCGGCGCTTCATGAAAGGCTTAATTTGGACAACCAACGTAGCAGCACAGGATCTGGCAAGTTGCGCGCGCGCAAAGATCAGCTCAGCGCAATACGAAGACTGGCGCACACCAAAGACTTGGGACGCATCTGGAGAAAGCGAGTGTCCAATGCAACTTGCGTCTGACCACTTTGTTAAAGGCTGCAGGCTCTGCTCTGCACCTTCAAGGTGGGTCCTGGAAAGGTAGCATGTCTATTTTCATATCCAAAATTTCATACATATGCACATATATCTGTATATGCGCGTGGCGTTCCATTCCAGCCCCCCTCAACATGCTCATGGTGCTGTGGGGAGGTGGCGGGGTTGGTTGGGTTTGGAGAAAGTTGGTTGAGGATGGGATAATTAGTGTGTAGAGTGAGTTCAGGCTGGCTGAAGCGTGTCGACTTGGGTTAGCCCGGAGACTGTGGGTGGGGGGCTGGCAGGGCCCGCGCGATGCTGGGGAATTTCCGCGACAAGGGCTGAGGCCCTGGGCCCTAAAGACGCATCACGAAGTAGCATTCTGGCCCCAGTTTCGGCTCAATGGGAATGTCGCGCATTCCCCACATGTTGTGCAACATTTGACAAACAACAAAAATTGAGAAAGCAGAGACGAATTTGGATATTTTTTCGATATGGCACGCACCGTTTGGAAGTGTTGCGCGGCACTTTCCACTCTCGTGCAACATATTGCCCGGCGCTGCAGTGGGCCGAAGAACCAAAGCCCCCAACAAAGCAAAACATCCCAGCCATGGTGGGGTTTGGATTGTTCTTTTCGGCTAGTGGTTCTGTGGGAATGTGGGGCTTGACCTTCATTTTTGAGGGGAACATGTCATACACTGCGCAGTTTGGCTTTTTGAGGGGAGAAACGGCGATCTGACAAATGCCTAAACACACCACATTTCTTGTGTGTGCTTTTTTGGTTTTGCGAAGAGGCATATACATGTCAATTTGGTAGTTTTCCAGTGATTGGTTTGGTTCACTCGTGCTTGCATAGAGCTACATGGAGTTTGATAAGAGCAGTTAACCTTTTGGAACTGAAACCGATTTCAACTTGCATTTGTTCAAGATTGTTCTCCCCCTTCTTTGTTCTTTTTAAATTAGGGATGTATAAGGAAAGACAGTTGTTTAAAATTGCATTTGTTTTGACGTGGAAACAGTTTTTTAGCTTGGGTTTCCTTCTGATGTGTGATTTTTAATAAGCATTACAGGCCAGACAAACACGACACAAACTCGACAGGAGTTTGTTTTTTTAATGATGGAGTTGAGAATTGGAGTTACGCAGGTTCCATTTACCAAGATTCCATTCAAGGTTTTTGTTTGTTAGTCTTTGGTTTACCAAGATCTAAAACCAAAGTAATAACCGTGACCGCAGGTTTTAGTCTTTGGTTCCATTTACCAAGGTGCCATTTTGGGCACCCGTTCCTTTTTAAGTCACAACCAATATAGATGGGAACGAATTCTTTCTTCAAGGCCACCTCAAAAGAGGTTCTGGCGCCCTCCAAACCGTAACGCTCTTTCGGGTTTGGCGGAAAGGTTGGGGCCTTGTTTGACCTCGCGACCAAAAAAGGACGAGTTGCCATTTTTCTTAAAATGGTATCTCTGTAAACGGCCAACGATGCCAGCTATTGTAGGCAACATCCAACGCTGGCTTTGATTGAGCAAAGCGGAATTTCAAAGGACAAAGGCCTTCCCCCAGCAAAACCGTGCCTCCTCCAAATGGCTGGCTTAGGTGACGCACACATTCAAAGACAAGGGCATCTCTTCGGAGTGAAAAGGCGCAGTTCTAGGGAGGGGTCTGTTTTCAAGTTTGTCTCAAAAGGATTAGGACCTCAATGGTGGTTTTCCTTGGAAAGGGTACCCTTGAAACGGCGAGTCACTCACGCACACACACACACACACCCACACACACAAATCTTGTTTTTGGGGGATGTGGTGGTTTGCGTCAAGCTGTGCAGGCGATGGTTTTCGATGCAGACGACTTCTTCATCACCTACCAAGGCAGGAGAGATTTTCCGAAGGTCGCAGATGATCGTTCCCTGGTCTGCAGTGGCTTTCCAGGTTTGGTGGCAGGGTAGCCAAACACACTCAGACCTTGGGAGAACTGTGACACTTCCGAGCTCAGCTGGTTCACACGAACTCGGTTGAAGGGTTTCTTGGGCTCTTGGATTCCTTTCTTATCCCGCGATCGGGGATCGCGGGGAGGGAGTTCTTCGGCCAGACATAGAAGCAGTTCGGATGCCAAGCTTCCAGTCCCAAAAGCAACCAGGGCACTGAGCTATGGCGAGAAGGAACCGCGGCTTTTCCCCGGCTTTTTGCGACAAAAAGAAAAAAACTGTGGCAAGTTGCGCGCTCTCCCTCTCTCTCTTCTTTGTGTTCTTGGTGCCAGTTCAAGGGCGCGAAGTATTTCCAACAGGACGTGGCCTTTTCTTTTCTCCTGTTCTCTCTCTCTTTCTCTCCGCTCTGCTCCCTGAGGCTTTTGCAAGTGGACAGAGGACTGTGTTCCAAGCCCCGTTCAGCTTGCACAAAGCGGGTGACCCGAGACCTCTGGCAAGGCACCCCCCCCACTGGATCCTTCGCTACCCCCCAGGCCTGCCGACACGCCTCGCAGGTGAGGTTGGCATCCAATGCCCCGAGGTTTGAGATCTGACAGACGCCCTGTCCGCAGCCCATTCCGGCCAGGCAACGAGGACTTCCTGGGAGGATGCGCCTTGGATGCCACCGAGGGGACGGCTCTGGAGAACAGTTTGGACGCGCTGGACGCGCTTGTGGTGGAGTTCAGTCCTGCTCCCACCCCCCCAGTTGGACATCTTTAATACGCAGGGGTGGATTCAGATTCGTCGCATCCAATCGGAATTTCCAGATGTTGCGTGGAGCTCACAGACCCCCCCTCTCCAAAAGTGTGTCTCAAAATTTAGAACCCCCAAATGGTTAGTCCCCTTTCGGTTTCCCCAAGCCAGCCAAAAAGCGGTTCCCCCCCCCCAAAAAGAATAGACCCGCCCCCAACCACACGTAGCTTCCTGAAAGTTGCAGGCTCCCAGCCTCTGTCAGCTTGCTGGGGTCCCTATGTTTTCTCTCATGCCCCTGTAGGAGTTTAAGCATCACTTCTTGGGTCACCCATGTTTGGGCGAGTCTCCTCTGGGCTGGTGAATATTTAAGGGAGAACACGTCCGTTGGTTTGGCGAGTGACTGGGATGTTCACCGGGGGAACGGGATTTTGACCCATGGCCACATATTCTTCATGTTGCCCTTTGGGTCACACCCGCGGGCTGGGAAGTTTTTTTTTTTTGCTGCAAGGGCATGGATGGGTCAAAGACTGCTGGTTTGGTCCTTTCCATCTACCCAGAAACGAGCCATTTGGGGCACACATTTTTCTGACCCACCGCCGCACGGCTGCGCGGCTCTTTCTGTCCGGGTTGGATCTTCATGGTGGCCCAGGCGACATCGACCTCTCGAACGCGGTGAGCGGCCGCGGGGGTGCCGAGGATTTGCCCGGCGGAGGGGTCCACATTTGGTGGGAGCTGCGGCAGGGGAGTTTTGTTTTTTTTTTTTTTTTAAACAGGCCTGCGCTGGGTTTGCTTTTTCCTGGAGCGCCAGTTGCGATCGTTTTTTTTCATGCACTTTACGCCCCAAAAAACAATCGCAAGAGTGCCTGAAAAAAGCGATTTCAACTTGGCTATCAAGTTTGTTTTGTTTTCCCGGCTTTGTCTTGCTGCTGCGATAGGGAATGTGGTTGCACGAACCGGGGGACCAAAGCCAGGGTAGGGAAAACCAGTGGGAGAGGCATTACTCTCCGGCTCAATGCTACTGAGTTGGCAAGCTGGGCGTTTCTGAAAACTGGGGACCCCATCCAGGTGGTTTTAAAACCATCCCGAAAAGGGCCCCCTGTTTTGAGAACCTCCTCACAGAACTCAAGCAAACGGCTTGTACGCGCCTTTTGTGGGTTTCATTTCCCCCTTTAGGCTCTTTCTTGGTACTCGTTTGGTACTCTTTTTTGGTCGCCAACAGGGGTGGATCCACCAAAACCGCATCCAAACCTTCTTGTAGAAAAACCTTGTTGGAAGTTTGATTCCCAGCGTCTCTATATTTGACAACATTGTTTGCACGCACGGGTTTATGGACAAAATTCATACCGCTTCTTTTTTGGCCTACGCCGCCCACCTTTCCCGAGGCGCGATGACCCATGAGCTGGAGTTGGCCGGCATCCCCATGAACAAGGTGGGGGGGACTGGCTGGGCGTTTGCAAAGTATTTGGGTAGGCTCACGCCAAAAGCTGCTTAACAACCCCTACGCCCTCCTACTCACCCGCTTGAGCGCCATCCATTTTCGGGCTGTGGGTCAACACCAATGGGATCCCATTTTAGGGTAGGTGCACCACCCATATTAGAACCTTTTTTAGTCGGGATTCACTGGGGGTACGATTTGGATGTTGACCCATGTGCCATACAATTGTGTTTTTGCTTGTGGTTTCCCTTGACCTTGTATGGACCCCGCTACTCGCCACTTTTCTCTGAGCAGCCTCGTTTCCCTCTAACACCAACTGAAGAGGGTGCCCTTACTAAAAGACACACCCATTTGAGCTTCAAACTTAGACTTCTCATTACTTGTCGCTGATTTGTGCGTAGACGGTGCATGTGTGTTGAGACTTGGCTTCGTTGATTTGAACAACACTGGGATCTCTTTTGAAGTTATGCTAAAACAAGGTGCACTACGAGCCAGAATCAAACTTGCGACTCTTGGTTGGGGGGGGGGAGGCTGGTGACAACTGTTGAAGTTCCAACTTTTCTCGGTGTTTTGTGTTTGCTGTCTTGAGAAGCTGTATGCGTTCATCAACGCCGCCAGAGGCAAAATGCTTGCTGGCGCAACCCACTGCCGCCCAAGGAACAAACAAGCTCAGGCGATATCCTCAAGAGCATGAGACACATTCCTCGGAACCGGCCCCATGCATCCCCCATGCATCCAGCAGAACCCCCTCCTCCGAACCGACCCGCGCATCCCGGTAAAGGCCCCATATCTTTCAGCTGAGGAACAACATGAGATTGCTTAAAGCAGGGGCCCAACCCTGCCCTACAGAGAAACATGGAACCAACAAGTCATCTTTTTTTCGCCTAGTCCTCCATGTTGATCGCCAGGGGATAAGCCAGCATCCCCCCCAAGCTGGATGGCTCCTTTGGTTCCCCTTTGAGCAACCAAGATACCCTCAAGAAAACAATACAAAGAACAGGTGTATGCCGGTTCCCTTGACAATTTCAAAAGAAAGACACACCCTTAGCAGCCCCCCTAAGCTGCTGCAAACTCAAACCAGCCTGCCCCGTTTATTGATGGCCCTGTGTCAAAAGTGTGCGCGGTTTTTCACTTTGGAGAAGCGACCCTGATCCCCACACCCTACATGGAATTGGGGGGGGGGGGGAGTGGCGGTTTGAGGAGTCCCATTCTGTGGTTGGAAGACTCCAGTGACCTTTGGTTGGAAATCCACGGGGACCCGATCTGGGTAGAAACCAGACCAGACTTTGCTGGTGCGTTCGATAGGCAGGCGATGAGAAATGGAGTCTGACCTCTGACCCCAAGGAAACTCTCCAAGGTGGTGGTTTCCTTTAAGGGGACCAACGCCTGGTTTCCTTCCCACATTTCCTACTGGAATGTTCGGCCAAGTTAGGTGGTTAGCTACTTGCTATAACCCCCCTAATAACAGGGACTTATAAGTGGGTTATAACCTAGGTTTCCAAAGAAATACAAGCTTGGCGCATCAAACACCCAAGTGCCTATCGTACCAACAAGCAGAGTACAGGCCATCAGTTTGTCCCGGTGAGGCCAAGGGCAAGAAACCGCGGCTGACCATCGTGGTGACCGTGTACAAGGCGCCGTGCTGACTTCGGTTAGGTTGTGATTTTCTTTTGCTCCTGTGTCCCGTTCTCTGTGAAACCAAAAAAGGCCCCTCAAAAAAGTCCCACGTGATTCTCATACCAAACGGTTTTTCCCGTTTTCGGCGTACGCTGCAGCGGGTGGGTTGGATGGGTGGGTTGCATTTGGTTTTGAAGCCTTGGTTCTTGTTTGTCGGGAAGCCACCCAACCACCAAGACGTTCTCTGTGTAACCTGTGGCCTTCAATCAATTTGTTTGCCGCCTGAAGGCCGACATCCCCCAAAAGGGTCCAGATCGTTCTCAAACCAATGAGCCTTACGCTGGAAAAACCACCACTCTGCATGGGCAGGGGAGAACGGAAAGTCACTCAATCCATATTTGGTGGTTCGGATGGGTCGTTCGAACCCAGAGGGAGCCTGGGGCGAATCGGTGGCCGCTCGGGTTTCTTGGGCTGCCTTGGTGATCAATTTGTGTCTTTGGAAGGAACCACCCAACATGGCTTCGGTTTTTCCTTTTGGTTTCCCTTAAAAAAGAACAAACACAAAAAGAACAAACAACAAAAGCACAAACAGTGGGGGCCCCCCAAACCATGCACACCCAAATAGATGCCTGATTTCCCGGCTCGGTTCCCTGGAACTCGCGGGTGTTTCTCTCAAAAGAGGGGAACCCTTGCGTGGGTTCCGGGACTCTGGAGGAAAGGGCACGTTTGTTCCGAGCGTTTTCGCGCTGGCCAAGGCAAGTTCATAGGGCTTGGAAGTCCAAACCAAAGAACAAGTAAGGTTTGTCAGGGCTCCTTAAAAGATACATGTTGCCACCATTTGAAACATGTTGCTTTTTCCGTACAAGTTGCAATGTTCAGGTGTATTCACTGCATCCGGATCCCTGGAACATCCCTGGAACGTCCCTGGTTCCTTTTCAGCAAATTGGTTTGAGTATGGTTGGCAACATGTTTGTTCAAATCGGGGTCCATTTCTCTTTTCCAAAACCAGGCTGACTCGAAGGTTTCTCGGGGGACGGGCAGGAAGTGATCCCAAAGCCGAAGCCCCTCTTCGAGCAGCTGGTTAGCAGCATGCGGGAGATGCACTACGTGCGGGAGGCTGGGGAGGGGGCGGGGCTTTGCATTGGAGGCGTGGTTTTGGTTTTTTTCGAGTGGTCTTTGCACTTTTTTTCTTCTTTTGGAAAGGTGCTAGTGATTCCCTTTGAAGCTGAAGCTCCATCACCAAGCAAGGGGCTGCTTTCATAGGTCTCCTTTTTAGGTTAGTTTGGTAAGAAATAGATGGCACTGGTTTAGATTGGCTTTATTTCATTTACCAGGGCCATCTATTTTACTAGACGGACGCCTATGGCTTCTTTGTTCTTTGTTCTTGAATTCACAGGTCGACGGGTAGACCAAGGGATGGCCGGTGAGTTGAAGCCTTTTTCGTGGCACATGGCAGGTGGGATCCCTAGGCTCTAGGGACGGGCGGGAGATGACAACATGCATTTGTTCCGACGAGATTCACTGCACACAAATCCAGATCATCGTATTAATAAGATTGCAACCTTTCATTACTCTCAGATTGCTCTGAGAAGCTTGGGACGTCAAGAAGGGCCTTTCTGATGTCACGCTTCCAACGGAGATCAAGACCTCAATGGCTCCAACGATGCTTGGGTCCCAGTGTTTCTGAACTTTTTTGTTTGGTAGACCATTTCAGTGGGATACAGTGTACAGGTTTCGACCTTTCTGGGCCCACTCAGGAAGTCGAAGAATGGAGGAGCTCGTTTTTCCGGGCTCGTCTTTCGCCTTGTTCCAACTCAGCTTCCACAACAACCTCCAGGCCCCAACCAAGGGTCCCCATATTTCCAATTTTGGCGATTTTAAACGTCACCTTTTTGGCAACCATGAAAGGTGAGTGTCCCTTGGTGGTGATGTTTTAAGGGGGAAATATGGGTATGGGTCAAAATTAGTCACCACCAGGAATCGGACCGCAGGTTAAATCGTCCTTCTTTCCATGTGCCAGGGTTCCAGCCAGCCATTTTGGGGTTACCAACTCTTTTTGACCACCACAGCCATATGGCTGTGGCTCAAAAACATGCACCAAAAACGCAGCTTAAGTGCCACCAAAGACTTAACCCCGCGTAACCCTAGCTCTTTAGTTTTTTTGATCCGCGCGCGCTTCGCTTTGAGGTGGCCGGCAAGGTCATCAAGGCCCAGGCGCGAAAAAAGTCGTCGACGAACATTTTGAGGCCGAGGGTTGAGGCGTCGTCACCTTCTCTTGGCGAGTTTTTTGTTTGTTGGGGGGGTCTGTTGGGTTTTCTCTTGGCGAGGTTTTTGTTTTTTTGTTTTTTGGGGGTTCCGTGTTCGTTTTTTTGGAAGGGGGCTGCAAAAAGCCGTCAGTTGATTTTTGCAAGGCCGCGAGAAGGGTTGTGAAGTCTTGGTTGGCTCTAGGCGCAGTTGCGGGCGGTTCTTAGGGGGGATGATCCCAAAGTGAACCGACGGGAAGGATCTGTTGGTATTTCTGGGGAATCGAATGAGAAACCGTTGGGTTTCCGAACGGTTTGCGACTTTTGGATGTCGCAACTATCCACAGGAGATCCCCTCCTGGTGGCCCTTGACCCAAGGACGCGATTGTAGGATTTCTTTGGGGAAGCCTGCCAGGTCAGCTTGGCACAGTGCAAACTTGCGCAGGGCTCCTTAAAAGAAATTCATTTTGAAACCATTTGAAACATGTTGCTTTTTCAACACCAAAATAAAGAAAGGAACAAACCATTTACAAGTTGCAATGTTCAGGTGTTTTTCATGCATCCGGATCCCTGTTGGTCAGAAAGGAACGTGGTTGAATGGACCCAGTTGCTTTGGTCCCCTGAAAGGAACTCACCAGTTGGGCGGTGTTTTTCTCGGGGAAGGTCAGACGCCATTTCTCATTCTGAGAACCAGCAAGCAAAGTTGCCGTGGCCCAGACAGGGGCCCATTGTTGCGAAGCCATTCTTTGTGGGTTTCGAAGAATGCACAGGTGTTTGATTAGAAACAGATGGGTTCTACTGGCTTAGATGGGTTTCATGCCCCATTTACTAGGGAAGCCCATGCATTTTTGTCAAAAGGCCATGGAAGAACGGCGTCAGAGGCAACTTCGCGGCGGGTTCCTGTGGCCTCTCTTGCGTGGCTCGGGGCTCCGCTTTGCGGTGTTTGGCATTTCCTGTACCTGTGCCACCAACTTTCGCGTAATAGCTTTGCCACCATGTCCACTGCTTTTGGGGGCAAACTGGCGGCCAGAACCCCCTTCCCGCCGTGGACACACGAGTATTGGTTGGCCCATTTACCCTCAAGAACCAGCCCCCCCCCCTTGTTTCAACAAAATCTCCACGCCGCCAATTAACTTTCTGGGGCCGATCTTTTTTCCTTCCCGTTTCCGTTCCGGGGGGTCGAAAAAGCTGCAGCGCTCGCTCTACGGCTCTTTTTTGCGGCGCAAGCGCTCCCCGCCCCCACCCGCCCCCACCCGCCGGGTCCGCGTCCCGCGCCACAACTTCTCTCCGCCGCTTAGCGCCTTGTCCGGTAGGCGTTGAAGAACACGGACCTGGTGGGCACCAGCGACCCCCAGTGCGTGGTGCGGGTGGCGCTGCTCAGCGGCGAGGCAGGCGGCGAGCGGCGAGCGGCGAGCGAAGTCGGGAGGTGGGGCGGAGGGGGCTGGAGGCGGGGGGGGGGGCGGCACCCATCTGGCGAACATCCCACCAGTCAGCACGGAACCTGGCGGTTGGGATCCGGTCCCTTTAAAAGGAAAATGGCTGGATCGCCACCCCCGAAACGAAGCGTCAAGTGTTCCACGTTGATTTTGCTGGGAGACGCAGGGAAGGAGAACTGGAATGACCCTTCCACCCAACTGGTGGTTTTTTAAGGGGATGCTTGGGAATGAATCCCACAGTCCCTAGTGACCAGCAAGTAATTAGTGGGAGGGTACGTGGTTGTGTTGGGGTTTTTCGAGAGCGCGGCGTGGCAGTGGGCGAGAGCTTGGCTTCCTCTTAAAGCAAGCCCAAAAATGCATCCCCCTCCAAAAAACAAGAAAAATGAGAAAGCAAAACAACTCAACGCAAGAAGCATAGTCTGACTAGAAATGGTTTAGATGGGTTTCATTCCATTTGCTAGGGAAGCCCATCTATTTTAGCAGAAGGACACCTATGGCAAGAAGGCGAGAACCGACTCCGAAAAGAACGGCCTAAAACCCGGTGAGGCTCACGACCCCGGTGGCAGGTGCGAGAGATCCACCGCACGGCCATTGTCAAGGACAGCCTGGACCCGGAGTGGGGCGAGGCGCGCGCCAGGCCAAACGCAGCTGCCCTGGGTCAAAAGGCGCCCCAAATAAATGCTGCTGCTGGCAAATAGGCGCCTTAACATTTGCGCCATCTTTCAGACTCCGATGTTTCGGTCGAACGGAGTCCGTAAAGCAGCATCCTCAAAATTTCCCGAGCTAACACCCCGTAAAGCCATTTCTTTAAGGGACCCTCCAGCGCGCCATCAAACTCGTGTTTCCAGAAACCGGTTCGATCGGGTTGTCTCTTCGGCGAGGGTCCCAGGTCTAAACAGAATCCAACTTGTCATAGGCAGTCAAAATCGGGATTTCCCCCCCCCCCCCCCCAAAAAAAAAGGAAAGAAAGAAAGAAAGAAAGAAAAGAAAGAAAGAAAGATGGGTGTTCTTTCAGTTTCACTTTGAAAGGCGAGGGAAGGTGAAAGGGGGGCAAACGCGAAGAAAAACACACACCCATGTCGGTGTCATACCCGATCAAAGTATCTCTTGTCTATGCTCTCCAAAACATGCAGCGCCCAATGCCCATTTTGGCTCTAGCAAAATGGTAAAGGCTTATAGAGCCATTCGATGGTTGCGAAATCCATTTCGCGCCTAAGAAACCCTGGTTTCTGCTTCGCTTCCCCAACGTAAATGCCAACAATGGTTTCAACCATGGTTTCATTTCGTTCGAGAATGGATGGAGCAACCATACGCAGTCGCACCCCATGAAACCAGGCAGGAGGGAACCGGCCGCAACCCAAAAGGCCCAAAGGAGGGACTTCTTGAAACCAGCGACCTGCAGCTGGTTGGGCCTTATCGCAGCGGAGTCGTTTAGGTCCTATTCACCAAAACCGTGGAGTTTGAGCCCTTGAACCACTTTTTTGTTTTGGCCAGGCATTCCCGCTAACACGTCATTTGCATCAACCGCAGCTTCACTGAATGACCCGCATGAAAAACCTGGTTCAGTTTGGCGGTGTTCCCCCAAGTGAAGGATCCACTGAGACACCCTGTCCAGAGGTTGAGTCACCTTGGTCAAAACTTTCACCTTAGTGACGATTGATGTGCGCCCCAAAGGGGTCTGTCTAAAAAGGGACCCCGCCATCCGTCGGCCTTCCCAAATCGGTGGCTCCCGGATCAGCAAGTTTGCAAGCACCCTCCCCCCACCCCCCTTCCCCCCAAAAAAAAGGAAGAAAGAAAGACACACGAGTGGTTTTCCTCCTGATCTTTCTTTACAACCCCCTAGAGCAGTACCCTCAAACAACCACAGCCCCAAATGGCGGCGAATCAACCCCTGGTGGGGCCAAATGGCCGTGCCCCCTAGAAAAACAAGCCGAAAAACAAGCCGTGCCCCCTAGAACAGCTGTTTTGCCCCTTTTGATTTCCGTGTAGACCAGCCAACAAAGGGTACCCTCCAGAAACACAAACCTCTATCTACACAACCCTGTCTTTGTGGTGTGAGGGTGGGAACCGGTTCAACCAAACAGAAGGGGGAACCCTCCATCCGAAAGGGGGGTCTACGATAAAATGCAGTTTTTGCGTTTCGGGGGTGGGGGAGGTCCTTCTAAACGGTTTCGCTTGAAACCCACCTCCCCAAAACTGCGACGCTCCAACCCCCCCGAACAAAAACTCCCAGGGTCCCAGCCATCCGGTTTCTTAGCGTTTTAGCCTTTTAGCCTTTTAGCCTTTTAGCCTTTTAGCCTTTTAGCCTTTTAGCCTTTTAGCCTTTTAGCCTTTAGCCTTTAGCCTTTTAGCCTTTTAGCCTTTTAGCCTTTTAGTGTTTAGTGGTAGGTTCCATATTTGACCCACTAAAAGTGATCCTCACTTTGAGCCGGGCATCAGAAAACGGGCAGAAACCCCAGAACAGAACGAGCCGTCAGGCCTTGAGCCGAAAGAACAAAATACCACCCCTCAGCTTAAAAGATACATTTTGCAACCATTTGAAACATGTTGCTTTTTCAACACCCAAATAAAGTTGGAAACCACCATTCACAAGTTGCAATGTTCAGGTGTTTTTCATGTCAGGATCCCTGTTATATTAAGATGGGGGTGTCCATTTCTGGTCTTGGCGAGGTTGAGGGGCCGAGGATCCCACCCCGAGATGAATTAACCCACCTTGGGCTTTCCTCCTCCGTCAAAAGTTACCCCTCCGCCAGCGGGGGGGCGGGGGCGAGACCTTCCACGCGAAGTTCGAGCAGCACGAGCAGCCGCTGCTCATCGCCCGGGCCCCCCGAAACGTGATCGGCCGCGCGATTCGGCCCGGGCTCGGCCCTCGAAGGAAGCGGGGGGGCCGTCAAATCAGAGGAGCTGGATTTGGGCCATGAAGTTTTAAGGGTTGGGACCACCTCAAAAGCGAAGAAGGTGGACAAAAAAAAACCCCACCCGCATCTTGATGTCCATGAAAGGGTCCCTTCTCTCCTTCCCCCCCCCCCCCAATCCCCCCTTTTCCCCCACCTCCCCCCCCGGCTTTTTCTTTTCCCGGGGGGCACTCGCGCCACTCAGATCTTCGACCTCTGGGACTCCGACGGCCCGGGCCAGCGCGCGGAGGCAGGGCTGGAGGGCGCATCGGTGGCATCGGAGGGCTGGAGGGTTTGGGGCGTGGTGTCCAGGGGGCATTCTGTGAGTGGGTCTTTTTTTCTCGGGCTGGGGTGGGTTTGGGGATTGTAGGGTGGGGGTTGAAGGGATGGTGGGGTGAGGGTTTAGGGCTTTTTTTTTTTTTTTTTGGGGGGGGGGGCGAGGGGTTGAAGGGATTGTAGGGTGCGTCCAGCAGGGCCATCAGTTTTCGTTTGGATATCCAGGCGGCATGTACCTGCGGCCTTCTGGTTGAAAAAGGTCCCCCCCCCTCCCCGAGTTTTTGGCATTGCCAGACTTCCCGTGTCCATGAAAGTGGGCCCCTTTCCCAACTTAGTTACCTGCTTCCAAGCCCACGAGCGAACAAAGGGTTTCGGGTGTTGCCAGGGCCCCCCGGCGAAAGGACGAGCTGGATACCCCATAGTCTGGGAATGGCGGGGGATCCAATTCACGGAGGGTTTAGTAGATGGGTTTCCGGTTTTTTGACCCACGAAAAGCGGGTCGATTTGAGCATGGACAGCTACGAGCCCAGATTTCCACTTGTGACGACACCCGTCTTCTTTGGGCATCTGGTGCTCGGGAAGGATAAAGGCTGGGGGCTTTCTTGCGGCCTCCGGGCACCGCCGACCTCTTTCAGGAAGGGCGGTGGTTTCTTTTTTTCGAGGCGAAAGGTACCCCCTGCCCCCCTTCTGGGTCGATTTGAAGGGACACCAAAAGGACACCAAAAGGACACCAAAGTTGATTTTGGGGGCTTCGAGCCAAAGCCACTATGTAGATTGGTGCTGGGAGGCTGAGATACGCAGAAGCTCACCGCAGATTTTGGTCCATGTTTCCACTTACCAGGGTTCCGTTTTTGGGTACCTATTTTTGACCCACAGCCAGATGAGTTCATTTCTTTGCTTTGTGATGGTCGAACGCTGTTTGAAGGCGACTTGAATGCCCATCACCAGTGAGAATGGGGTTGTTTGTGATCTCATGACTCGCGACCCGAATTTGCCAAAGGGTCGACCCTTTCTGGGGCCCGCCTTTTGCCTTAGCATTCCCAGAGTCCAACTCGGCCTTTCGACACGAGGGCGGCTCGCCCTTTTTTAATCCCCGAGACGGTGGCGTTTCCTGTACCTCTCAAAAGGGGGTTTCCGCCCAGCCTCAAAGAAACAGATATGAACTTTTGACCCCTTTTGACTCTCTCATTCTCCATCAGAAACAGGAGAACAAAGGGCGCACACACCCACCCACACCTCGGACGCTTGTCGCTTAAAGCCTCGCATCACCGAAACCCAGGCCCCCCTTCCCCAACCCCCGCAACCCCCCGCAAACGCCGAAACCCCGAAACCCCCTCGAACCCCCCCCCCCCCCAAAACCCCCGCAAACCCGGAACCCCCCCCCCACCCCCCCGAAACCGACCCGCAGAACGGGGGCGAGCACTTGGGCACCTCCGTGGTGAATCTGCTGCCTGGGACCCTATGGGTGGCTCGGGTTCTCGGATCGAAGGCTCCTTCTTCAACTTATTTTTGTTTTCTCGTTGTTTCTTCTATTTTTTTTGGTTTGTTTTTCTTTTCCTTTTCTTTTTTCGTCTTCTTCTTCTCGTTTTTTGTTGGGTTGGGTGTTTGAAGTTCAGGCCTTCACTCCGCAAGTCTCGTTAGGAAAATCTGGAAGCGGGCGGATGTTCAACTTGGCGCCTTCAGGGGCAACATGTGCCGTCTACCAAAGAACCCCGCGGGTTTGGCTCCTTGGAACATGCGGCGCCCCGAGTCCGAGAAAAAAGGAAGCCGTAGCCAAAAGGAGCGCAGCAAGTCTCATAGCTGAAAGGAATATATATATATATACATATAAATATACATATGTAGATATTTTTTTTCAAAGAGTATGTCTTTATTTTGCAGTGGGGCGAAAGCTCAAATGGAAGATCATCATTCTTTGGGGCGTTGCCGTATTTCCAGAAGCACACATCTCAGGCAGGCGTGTTGAGTTGAGCGCCCAGACCGTCGTCCTTGGCACTCTAGGTGTCCTTTTTGGTTGTTTTGGTAAATAGCGATTCCTGGTGGACTGATCGGTTTCGTGATTTGCCAGGGAAACCCATCTATGTTTCCAAAAAAAAACGCCTATGGTTGGCACTAGACTTCACGTTCGGAACTTCACGTACTTCGACACCAGGAACTTCTGTGAATGGTTGCGCAATCCATTTCGCACCAGGGACACCCGAGAAGTATGATTCCCCCGTAAAGACTAACGAACAGGATTTATCCATTTGCCTGTATAGTAGGTAACCAAGGGTTTCCATCCTTTAAACACCACAAGGAAAGTAGCTGGTTGCCAACTGTATGGAAAACTGGGGGGTGAGGAAGCAACAAGATCTCATCTCTTGCAACGGACAATACCCCCCCCCCCCCCCCCGGCCGTCCTTTCCCCAAGATCGGACGAAAGTTGTTCAGACAACCAACATTGAACACCCAGTGGTTTCAACTGGCTGGCTGTTTCAACGTCTTTCCGGCCAAAGGCCCCTCCCCTCCCACTTCTCACTTCTCACTTCTCCATCTTTTCTCCCGAGGGACTGCCTGCCGCCGGAGTCCCGCAAGAAGAAGCTCTACCTGCAGGGCGAGCCCGGGGGCCCAAATCACCAAAGCGAAGCGAATCGCGGCAGTCGGTTTGGGTCAGGAGCTCCGTGTCGTGTTCCCCCCCCCCCCCCCCCCGTCAGCTGAAAGCTATGGGGGCTTCGCCTAGATGGGCTCCTTCGGGGTGCTTTGGGGCGGCTTTCAGGGGGGGGTGCAAAACATCAGGCAGAGACATACCAGCCCCCCAAAAAACACCCATTCCCTTCGATGTCTGACTCAGTGCAGCTTAAACCCGGCAAGGTTCTCAGAACCCCGCTCCCCTGTGTGGCTCCAAAGAAAAGGCTAGGCAGCGGACCACGTGCAACAGCTCAACCACACCTCGGCCATGTTTCCCCTCGACATGCATGAACTTCTTCGAGACAAGGATGGGCCTCTTGAACTAACATGGCAGCAAAAATGGACATGCCTTCACCGAAGTTTCCTCGACCGGGGCGCAACATCTTGCAACGTTTCCAGCTTTGTCAAAAAGAAGCGAGCCTCAAGGCCCTTGACTCTGGCGCTCCAAAGTGCGGTTAACAAATGCGCTCGTTTGTTTGTCTTGGCGCGCGGTCACATGGGCACACGTAGTTGTGAGCGCAGAGAAACGTTTGTGTTCGATTTGTGCTCGCTTCATGTCGAACTGTGTTGACATCTGAGAGCGTCGCTCGTCGTAGAAGAGGCAGTTTTCTGAAAGGTATAGCGTCAGCAGGGCCAGATCGGTGCGCCGGCAGCGCGCGGCCTGTGAATGCCTCAAAGCGCCGTGGCTCCTTTCGCAGCTTCCAGGCACCATTGCTCCAGTTGATCTTTAGGAGTGCCATTGCTCCTCAGACTTGCTCGGGTGGCCCAAGGAGCGCCATTGCCTCCCTGGGATTGCAAGGGTGCCGACCCTCCTCAAGTTTCAAGAGAGGCGCACGACGCGAGGCCACAAAGAAGTGTTTAGTCTGTGCTTGTTTGTGCTACGCCTGCATTTGTTTGAGGCACCTACGGGCGCGGTTTACCCGTACTTCTCAATGCGTTGCGTTGGACACAAGCTTGTCACACATGGCGCAAGCGCATCCAAACCGAAAGGCATGCCTTGCAGAAAGCAGCGCGCGAGACCTTCGGCAAGAACCGGTTCTAACAACCCGTCTGTTTTAGAACCAGGTTCTGAGACGGTTTTGCGAACCCTTTGGGAACCGCCCCGCACGTTCGCTAAGAACGTTTGCTAAAGAAACCCCCTCCTCCGGCGGCAGGTTTGGAGAAAACACAGCTACTTGGCTACGTCCGGCCCGAAGAGGCCGGAGTCCATGCACCTGCTCTGTCTCAAGTCGGCCGGCGTGCGTGCCTTGATGGAAGTGATTTCATGCCAGTCGTGCCAGCTTCAACTTTAGTAGTCTGGGCCGGCAGTCTCCAAAAGCCAGCCCAATGATGTCAGGCACTGGCGCCTGGCAAGGTTGGCTTCAGGAGGAAGAAGCCGAGGCTTGCTTTGTTTAGACGCTTTACGTGGAAACTAGCCCAGCGTAATTGCGCGCTGTCGGTGGACATTGAGAGTTAAGTCTTGCCGGTGTTTCGGCAGTCAGATCGAAGTTGTTGCAACCAGACATGGCAGCGAGCTGAGTCGTTTGAGGTGTTAGGGGCGCTCTGTTTCAGACACTGCTTGTTTTTGAGCAAACTGACGCAGCGCTCCTTGGCAACCCGGACACGCGTAAACGCGCATAACTTAGCACGTTTTTTGACAAGTTTCAAGGCTCATGTTGCTGAACTCAGCAACAGCCTGCATGTTGGACACCCCTAAGCTCATTTCTTCTGCGTGAAGTCTTCGCATCACATACACACACCCGGGGGGATGCAAAAACCGCACGCCGCGAGCCATTCTTCTTGCTGACTTGCGGCGAAGTGCCCAACCCAGAGCCCGTTCGGAGAAGGGGGGGTACTAAGAAGCATTTAGCACCGGCAGCGTTCTGAGACACGCTTGTTCCGCTAAAAATTGTGGGTTGGGCGTTGGGTCCTGGTTGTCTGCCTCAGGAATGGCTGGCAGAGGCTCTGCGTCCCGGTTTCATGGTGGAAGCGGAGACCTTTTCGGCCACCAAGACTTTTTTTTTGCAACAAACTAGATCCGATCCCCCCCCCTTCTTTGAGCTGGGTTTTGAGGTTGTAAGGTTTGGGGGGTTCATCCAGCCCGAGAAACCATGAGTGGGGGTAGCTTGGGGCGTGGAGGTCCTGCGCCCATGTCTTTGGCCTTTTCCCCAGACCTTTGCGGATCCAGACGGTAGGCATTGTCTGTCCCCAAAAGTGGCGAATCGAATTTCATTGAAACCTGCCAGACAGCTGGCAGCCCCACCAGGGAATTCACCAGGGCAATTTTCTTCAGTTTACTTTAAACATGTGTCTTTAGGGTTTAGTGGATGGGTTGCTATTTAACCACGGACAGCCCAGGTTCGACACTCCAGGATCGGCCTGAAGCGAGCGACGCGCGTGTTTTGGCGTCCTAGGACGCAGCTGCACGAGGGCCGGCTCAACAAGAACGGGGCCAAACCGGAGAAGGCGGGGCCTCGCCCCGCAGGGATGACTTCTGCGTTTCCGAGAAAGGGGGCGTGCCTCCAGTTGGATTGGGAGTTCCTCTCAAAATCATCCGAAAAAGAGGGTCCGAAGCAACATGTTTCCCAAAAACGAGGGGTTCCTCCAAACTTTCGCTGGGTACTTGAGGACGGGCACGGTGGATGCCAACTCAATATTGCAAGTAGGGGAAGATTGGGAAACCCAAGGGTCTAAAACACAACTCAGACGTGGTTTGTGGTTTGGGTCTACTTGCAAAATTGAGTTGGCCCTGGGTCAACCCCAATGGTACCATTGTGGGGTAGGTGCACCACCCATGTTAGTTTTATTTCGGTGGGGATTGGGATGTTCACTGGGAGTACGATTTGGGTTTTGACCCATAGCCAGTTTTTTCTGGTTGGTGTATCCCTGCAATATGGCGCACGGGGCATCCACCGTGTCTTGACGCTTGGGGGTAGCACCGGATTCGTCGGCTTTTTCTGAAAGGCAGACGAGGCTCGGGCCTCCAGCGGGGAAGAGTCCCTGAACTCGCAGGGGGCCCTGTGGCGAAACCGGGGCGGGTGGGGGGGGTGGGTGGGTGGGTGGGTGGCCTTGTTGGAGGTCTGATGTTAGAGGATCCGAATCCATCCAAACCAAATGGTTTCCCTGGGGTTCAACCTCCATGAAAACAAAGGTTGACCCAATTTAGATGATGCCAATCCCTAGGCAAATTTTTGGATTTATCCTTGCAGGAACCCTGGTTCTGAGACGTGTTTCGACTGCATTTTACCCGGCCCCTTAAAGTGGTTGCATTTTGAGGGGTTCTCGAAGGAATGTCTCCCAGTGGGAAGTGAATGGGAAGCGAATCCTCAAGGAAACTATGGGGTCATTCCCGGGACCTTTTCTGGGAACCGGCAAGTTTGCCTGGCGCTAAAAGAAGAACAGCTCGGGCTCACCAACCTTCCCCGATTTCCACTTTGGGGGATTTTTTGTTGGGATCCGAACGGCGAATTTGACCAGGCTGGTCCATGCACTGCTTTGTGCCTTCTCGTCTTTTTTTGGGGCGACAAGCAAATCGAAGTTTGGCTCCAGCATGCCAAGATGACTTCCCGCTGGGCAAGTTCGGGCTCCCCCCCAGTCCTTGTGAAATTCGCAGATTCGCAGTTTGTGCATTGCAGTGTTGGGGTTTTTGAGTCTGGGCCATTTCCCTTTCTTGGAGCCTCCAAAAGGACACCAGGAAGTTGCAACTTTTGAAGGGGACTAGTTCATGTTTAGAAGGAATCTGTCGAAAAAGCAGGCTTTTTGCTACCACACCAAGAGCTGTGAAGAGAAAATGCGACCAGTTTCATCTTGGGGACCCCCCAATTCTATCCACCAACCCCAACCAGGTCCCCCAGTAGTGCCCTTTCTCACACCTTTTTTTTTTTTTTAAAGAGTTTTGGGTTCCCCCAACCCAACAAGACAAAACCGGCAAAAAAAAGAACCGGCACCAACTTATTCTAACCTTTTCAAAAATCTGGAGGACCACCCGCATGCACTGGACAGACCTGTCTCGCTTCCAGCTCCGGTCGCTCGGCTCGGAGGTCGGACCAGGAGGTCTTGGACATGGAGAAGCCCAAGCAGTCGTGCCTGGACAGGCGAGGCGGCGCAACAAGAAAGCAGCAAGACGGACGGTTTTGTTTGCCCAGTTGCAACCCGTGGGTTGCTGTTTTTTCTCTTCCCATAACCTTTTTTTTTCATAACCTTTTTTTCCCCCCATAACTTTTTTTTTCCTCGGAGTTTTGGGGTTCCCTTTTTTCATCTTTTTGTTCGGGTTTTGGGGTTCCCTTTAAACTCCACCCACCAAAAACGCATCGGATGCCGATTCGTTTTTTCCCCATGGACCCGCTGGGCAACTGAGTTTTGATCCCTGTCAGGGGCCGATTCGCAAAAAAGGGACCCCTGGGCATGTTCTCAAAAGGACCCCTGTGGATAGGCGAAATCCATTTCGCAGCACCTGAGACTCCCTGGTTTCTGATTCGATTCCCCTGTAAGTTTTCAACGAACAAGGGTTTCAATCATGGTTTCAAGTGGTGCGAAATGGATTTCGCAACCATGCACAGTATTAGCCTTCAATAGACCCTGTTACTTGCTATTAGCCCCTATTGGGGGGGGCTTTGATAGGTTGAACAAGGTGAGAACTCCTGGGATCTGCATGTTTGACTGTTAAATGCTGAAGTGCAGATTCACCTGGAACCTCGCCTCCAAACCCCTCTCAGTTTTCGGATTGGAGTGTCTTTCGGGGGCCCTTTTGTGTTCCTTGTTGATTTGAAGGGGCGTGAATCACAAGAAGCCGGGGTGCTGCAATCGGACATATGCTCTTCAGTGCGCACGTAAGTCGCTTTCACAGCGAAGGTTACCCACAGCTGTTCCAGAGTGGCTGGAGAGGTTGTGGAAAACCTGATAGAGGCCACGAACCCGAATGCAAACATGTGCACCCCCAACGGTATTTCCAAAGACATCCCCAGCAACATGACTAGAAAGGCGCCCAAAAACAGCAACATACACATGCCCAAAAGCGCCCCCAAAGATATCCCCACAAGCACAGCATTCCCAAAGACATATCAAAGGGCAAATCCAAAGACTTCCACCAAGCGCCCCAAAACAAACCCCAAAGTCATCCCCAACGACATCTCCCGAGACATCCCCAAGACGTTCCTAAAACAACTGCAAAAGTCATCCCCAAAACAGATGTTCAAAGACATGTCTTAGAGACAAATCTCCAAAGACATCCCCAAAAGCCTGAAAGACACACCGCACAATCCTCTCAAGACAATCCATCCGAGAAGTCCCAACCGACAGACATCCTCAACCGAAGACCCCCCAATGACATCCCACTCAAGCTCCAGACGTGCCATGCCAAGATGCGTTCAGGTCACCTCCCTTTTTCGTTTTTTCCCTCCCATTTTGGTTTTCCCCACTGCTTAAGTTTTTTTTTACCCTTTTTGGTTTTTGGAGGGAATCCATCATTACTGGAAATTATGTTATTCCCCCTAAAGTAAAGTTTGACGAGGGCTCCACCAGGGTTCCACCAGGGTTCCACCAGATCTCCACCAGGGTTCCACGAGGTTCCACGAGGTTCTGTGAGGGCTGCGGGGTGCGAGCACTAAAAAGAGCACCGAGTGCTGTTGGGGATATCGCCTGAGCTTATTTTTGGGGGAGGGACTAGGGCTGATCCTTCACTCACCGGGGAAGTGAAGGGGGGACGATCCCTACCACAAAACAGATCTTTGGTGTGGGACTCCGTCCTGTTGAACTCTTTACACGGCTCTGGGTCTACTATTTTGAGACCAGGTTTTGATTATGACTCATAGGATAGATGAGTCGATGGTGAATGTGCGGACGAGGGGGGCGCTCCTCAATTCCCCACGACACGGGGGAAAGAAAAAAAACACATATGCGTGACCTTGGCTCTGACCAAGCAGCAACTGGTTCACCGCTTCCCGTGATTCTTCGTCCCGGTGCTTGGGTATAGAGGAAGGAAGCTGAACCGCCTCCGTTTTTGGGGGTAAAGTAGATGGAACAAAAAACCCATCCACTGGCGATCCAGGTCCAAAGTTTTGGGCAGTTTTGGGGGGCTGCTCCGAAAAAGGGGCGCTCACACCAGTGACGCATGAAGAACGTGGCCGGCCCCCCCTTTTTTGGTTTGTTTCCGGGTCGCCTTCGCGTTTCTCTTCCAGGTTGGTTTGGTTCCCCGGCTTCCTCCCGGTCATCTTCCTCTTTTCCAAGGCTTTGCTTTCCTGGGTCCCCCAGCCAGGTGCCCTTTTTCATCCTTTTTTGGTTGGTTTTGGGTTCTCCTACGAAAATAGACTACAGCAAAAGACAGCACCCTTGTTCTAACCTCTCTACCAGAGGACCTAGTTTCGCTTTCCTAGCTTTCCCTTTTTGGGTTTTTTCCGGTAGGCTGTCCAAAGCGGCCGTGGACATCCGCGAGAAGGTGAAGACGCTCGGATGACCATCCTTCGGTGTCCTTGGGCTTCGGCACCACTTTGAGGTGTGGGGAAGTCATGGGGTTGGTCTGGGGGCATTATTTTCTCCGTTTCTAGGGGGCTATCAAAGCCAGAAAACCCATCACTTAGGGGGTGACTTTGATCGTGGTAACATACTGAGGCTAGTTGGTGGTGATGAGTGGTGGGACAACTTCCCGGTTGTAGAGGTATGGACACCACCCGAATGTTTGCAGTGCCCCTAGATAGCCAAGTTGCTGCTTTTGTCAGTCGCTGTTGCTGGTTTTTGGGGTAACGTGCATAGAAACAAAAACAACAAACAAACAGCAACTGGCGATCCAGGAAGTCCCGCCAAAATGATGTCACACTTGCAGATGGATTGCCGGCTTGCGCATCCGACAGTTCCTTTCTCCCCCCCCGATCTTGGCTCGGCATTCTTTTTGGTTTGAATCCAAATCCCCAACCTCCTGAACTCGTGCTTTGCAGTTGCTTGGCCAGACACTTTTGAACGATTAGAGGCTAAGTTGTTCTAGCTGGCCGGGCCTTCGTTTTTTACGCACGCAGGGGTGCGCTGAAAAGGACACCGGGCCATGTGAATATCGGGCCTTGTTTGAGAACCTGCGGAATTTGATCTGGTTTTGGTTTCGTCCTGATTCTGTTTGTGATTGTTTTTTTTGGGGTTGTGGACCATCGGGTTGGACTTTCACGCCTCCATCTTGAGCAGCCCGCACCACATTGCGGAAACCCTCCAAGGGTTCGTCTCAAAATGGCGGGGCAAAACTGCCTGGTTTCAAGGGTGGGGTCCTTTCTCCTTGCCCTACCCCAAAAACATGGTGGCCCCCCCATACTGTGGATGGACGAACTCCTGCACCAGCCAAGAAGCCGCGGAAGGATTTGATTCCCCGGTAAATATCAACAAGCGATGGTTTCTGCTGGTTTCAAAGTGGTGCGAGAAGCGGATTTCGCAACCATCCAGGGGCAACCCCCATCCACCCCTTTCGCGGGTGAGAGCTGTCTTTGACCGAGGAGTGTGTACTACTTGCAAAAGGTCGAGCGCAGCTGCCTCACGGCACGGGGCCAAGAGAAAGAATGCCAGCTCCAACTGACCTCTTTGCAAAAAAGTTGGCCGTCTGGGTTTCCTTCGTTTTCCTTTTTTTTCAGCTGCTTGGATCATTTTTTTTTGGCTTGTAGTTGTTCGGTTCGCTTCACTTTTTAGAAGGGGGCCCCCAAAAAAGCAGCGAGTGGTTTGCTCAAAAACCACCCAGTGGCTGGTTCCTCTCGGACCCGTGGCGCAACCGTTTTCGACGGCCAAGCTTCCGGAAATTCCGGCCGGCCGGTGCGTGCGAGGATGGTCGTTTCTTTTCCCCCGAAGCGGAGCTTCCGATTTTAGGCCCCAAGAAAAACCAGAGGCCCAACTGGGTGTGTGGCTGTTGGACCTGGAAGCTCCAAACAAGTAAACACACCCTGAAGACGAGAGAGAGAGAGAGAGAGAGAGAGAGAGAGAGAGAGAGAGAGAGAGAGAGAGGGGGGCAGTGCGCAACATGTTTGCAGGGCGGGCCCTTTTTTGACATGGACTAATAAAGGGTTTCTGGCTTTGGCTGAGAATCCACCGGGCGAAGTGTTTCGAGACAAGCATATTTGGAGACCCCCCCCCCAATGGTTGTGGGAAATGGCATGTTGTCGCTGTCCAACACAGTAGGCGGTAGGGATGGGAATCCCACTGTGGCAGCTTGGGGTTCTTCAGTTATTCCCACAACCATTGTCTACAACTCAGGTAACCCTTAGATACCCGGTAGTTGGTGGTTTGGTGCTTTGGATTTGGATTTGAACCCCACCACCCAACCCAAGACCCACCCTCATAAATATCTGGCGTCCCCTGAAAACCACCAAAAAAAGGTTTGTACCCTCAAAGAAAGATCCAGTAGGCGAAATGTGAAACAGAGTCAGAACATGTGGGTTTGTCTCAAAATAGGGGAACTCTGAAAATTGACTGTTTTCCTTTTGGTTTCCTCGTACCACGCAAAGGGTACTCTTTCGCCTCAAAAGAAACAAACAAACACCCCCTCCCCCCCACCCGCCATGTTCTTTTCATACGTTGTGCCCCCCCCTCCCCCCAAACAAAAAATAAAGGAAGAAGGAAAGAAGCAAACAACCAAACAAAAAATCAATCAAGCAAAAAGAAACAAGCAAACAAACAAAAAGTCAAACAAACGAAACGAAGAACAGACCACAGAAACCCCAAAGAGCTCATCCCCGTCTCTTCCAGTTAGCCCGCTAGGTGGAGCTGCGCACCCGCATCAAGACGGAGCCAATGCCGGAAGCTCCGGTTTTTTTTCTCGGGTTTTCGGGCGTGCCGTGGTGATTTTAAAGCAAGGGTTCGACCGGCTCATTTACTTGGGCTAAAACGGTCGTTGGCATGTTCTTTTCATTTTTTGAACTTTGTTTGAGTGTTTTGAGTTTCCCGTTTTTTTGGCGGTTATTGTTTTTTTGGGGTTGCTCTTGCTCTTTTTTTTTTGTGTTTGTTTGTTGTGTTCTGCTCATTTTTGTAGGGGCTGAAGAAGCCTCGCACCTTTTGCCAGCGGCCATTCCGTTCGGGAACTGAGTCGTTCGGGAACTCCTGAAAGAAATCGGGTGGTTTCCCTCTGAGTTCAAAAGGCCGCAGGGCCCTGGTGTGGTGCCTTTCCGGAGAACACCCTCCCCCCCTTGTAAGGAAACCAAAAAGAAAGCGTTGCTGTGAAGGTCTCTCTCTCTCTCTCTCTCTCTCATAATGAGACTTTGACCCTCAAGATGGTGTTCATTTTGTTCTTTTTCCTGGTAGCCCACCCAGAAAAGCTGGTATCATCCAAAAAAGGGGCACTCCCCCATATCATGGGCATCCCCTTTCGTTTCGACCAACGGAACCTTGTCCGCTCTTTTCCTATGATTCGGGATGGGATCCGAGGGAGGCAACCTTAGAGCTGGACTCGGAAGACTTTCCTTCTGGGATTTTGGGCGAGGGCGGAAAACATCAGAACCGACTCGGGTGATGGGAGCGAAAGCACACGCTTCTGGTGCCGGTGGTTTCCTTTTTGTCAACTTTTTTGGGGGTTTTGGGTCCCCCTTTCGACTCAACCAACCAAAAAAGGATGCCGATTCTTTTCTTTCCAGGGCCACTGGGCATCTGAGAAAGCAGTGCTAGTTTACTCCCACGAGTTTGAGTTTCGTGCCATAAATATATAATGTGAGCCCCGAATTAACATACCCCTGGTTGTTTAATAGGGGGGTGTCCCTTTTTAGGCGGGATTCATCACTTTTGGAGGGACCCCCCCCGTATTAGTAGGACAGTTTGCTTTTTTGTTTCAACTATTAATAACCATCAGATGGAAGGTTTCTGACAATGTCCCAACATGTAACGCGATCTCCGCTTGGGCGAAGTCTCTGCCATTGCTTTGGGTTAGGCGTTGAGTATGTGAGCTGAAGGTGAAAAAACGAGCGGGTCCACTTCGGGTGACACTACGAGTGGGCCTTTGCCTGGGAATTTCGCGGATACCCGAACACGGAACTTGACTGGGAAGCCTGCCGCAATTTGACAGTGCCGGGGTTGTGACTCAATCGGCCAGTAAAAAGCGGAGTGTATGGCCAGTCTAAAAGAAAGCTGCGAAGAGAGCTTTGCTTCGTTTCACTCGTGAAGTTGATGAGTTGATGGGATCCACATTTTCGGGTCTAGGATGGCGCCGAAGAAGGGTTGTTTGTTGTTGTTGGGGTTAAAGGAATTCAAGCGCGAGCCGTCCCTTCGGAAGCTGCCCTCATTTCAAAGCACGCGCCTTTTCTATTATTATTATCCTTACAGGGTGGTTTGAACAGGAAAGTACAGGGGGAGAGCCTTCGCTCACTTTTGCTTGTTTTGGTTTGCCCAAACCGCATCCATTCGGATCGCAGGCCGCTGATGTGCTTCCTGGACAAGGCGAGGGGGTCAGCGGGGAGGAAGTCTTGCATGGAGAGCCGCACCTAGAAAGCTCCTCGCAGAGCATGGCCGCGTTGTTTTTTGGATGTACAACAAAAACCTTCAGCAGAAAGGGCTTTGCAAACCCAGTGGCAAAGCCAACCGTCCAGCCAGCAGAGCCGCCCACTTAGGCTGCTGCGTCCTCTTCTTTGTGGCACCCCTTTTGAGCCCGCAAAAGTGAGCGGCCTGGGCTGCGCGAAAGCGCGAAAGCGCGCGGGGGAAGTATTTCTATCGAAACTCGCCTGAACAGGAAACCTATGGCACTAGCGGCGAGTAGCGCGTAGCGATTGGTAAGTTCGTAGTCTCCCCAGTTGATAAATATCCCAAGTGGGCTGTTTGAAGGTGGGACTTCTGAGCTGGGGATATTGATCACTTCCTGAGCGGGTTTCATATGGTCAGGGGCGTATGCCCAGGATTGACTCAGATCCTCCGACAAAGCATCTCCGGGTTTCTGAATATTTGAGGCAAAACCTGGGACCCTGACTCGCAAACCCTGGAAGGGGACCCCCCCCCCCGGCATTTCTGACTTGGGAAAGGGGGGAGGGGGAAGGAAAGGTGGATGTTCTAGGGGCCGCGCGTCGCTGGGAAACCTAAAATGGCTGCCTGGTGCGCGCACCACCCCTTCCGCTGGTTTGCTCTAAGAAAGGCCTTCATTCGTAGGAGACTTCTGAAAGGCCGGGATGCCAACGCCCAACCCCCTTTTTTGAAACACGCATTGTTTCGACATCCTTTGCTTCACCCCCTTTGCCAAGGCAATGTTGACCCCATACAAATCAACCGCAGTTTTGTAATAGGGTGGGGGGTGTTCCCCTCCAAAAGTGGTGAACATTCCTACCACATCTCGCCCGAAACGGACACCTTTCAGCCATTTTGTTTTAGGCCAACACCGACCCATCCGGTTCCAACCAACTGCCGGGTGATGCCCCGATTTCGGCCCAACGTGGCTGGATCCGGTTCCAACCGTTGCCTTGAGGCCACGTACATCGCCGACGAGGACGACGCGGAGCGGGTCTTGTCACTCAAGGACTGGGACAGGCCGGGGCCCTGGCTGATGTCGATTGATCGGATGTGTGGATCGATTTTTGTCTTGCGGGCTTTTCGCGGCCGAGGTACGAGTTCCTTTTCTTCTTTCTGTTTCTTTGTTTCCTTTTCTGGGTGGCAAGCCCAGCCATCCGGTGGCTTTTACTTTGCTTTTTAGGCCGTTTTAGTTGGTGAAAGGTGGTAGAGGGCCTTGCTCCTTTGTCAAATTTGGGGCCGGGCCGGGGGATTGTAGACCCTTTGGTCAGAAAAAACAAAAAACAAAGCCCGTGGTTTCTGTTTCCTGTCGGTCCTGCCAAAAACAGCTGCCAAGAACATGTACGTGACGAAGTTGTGGAAACTATGGGGCTATCTTCTTGCTGGCTCTCAGAGTGGAATTCCCTTGGAGCCGTGCATCCCCTAGGAAATTTCCAGTTGCATAGTTTGGGCTCATTCCCGAAGCTGGTCTGCTGAGAAGCGGCAAGAAAGATGGGCCCGTCTCTTGCTTTGGTGGTCAACGCCCTTCCTGAAATGGGACACATCCCCACAAATGCTTGGGTTCCTTTCCGGAGCCTCGAAAGCGAAGCCAAGCAGAAGTGACTTGTTTGGGACAAGCTTGCGATCGGTCCGATAGGCAGGGAATGAGAATATGAATGACCCCGCGAAGAACCATCCCCGATTTGGTGTCCTAGGGAACCCCCTTCCAGTTCAATGTCTCTCGCACAAGTCGAGTGAAGCAAAAATCAAGTAACCCCAAAGTGGGTTGCCCTGGAAGTGTGGACTAAAACCTGCGGTCCATATCCAGGTGACTGATTCTGCCCCATACCGTTGTGGGGCATGAACCAAAAGTTCGGTGATTCCCTTAAAGGACACCATGGTCGACGTGTTTTTCTTCTTCTGTGTTTTCTTGGGGTCATTCAACATGTGTCAGGGCACGTTTGGATTTTGAATCAATTCTGTTTCCATCTCCAACAAAAGCATGGCGTGTGAGATGCGTGGCTGCATGGACCACGTCCTGGACCGCCAGTTGCTGCTTTTTTTCCATCTACTTTACCATCCAAAAACCACCAACAGTGACTGAAAAAAGAAAGCGATCGCAACTTGGCTATCTAGGTATCCCATTGACTTTTCATCTTCTGCTTTAAGATGGTGTATGTGTCTGTTTTTTGGTTGCCGATCGGATACGAAGCGGAGTGAGGTGCATGTACCCGCCCCCGCCGGAGATCACGGTGAAGGGCCGACCCCCGCGGGGGGAGCTGAGCGGGAAGCAGCAGATCTGCTTCGTGCGCCTCGAATGGAGCGGGGCGTGGGGTGAGGGGGAGGGGCTGAAGGGGACGGAGCGAGCGGAGGGAGCGGATGCTTTTTGGGGTTTGGGGGGGGAGGTGGGGTGGAGGGTGGGAGGTGGGGGGAGGTTGGAGGTGGGGGAAGGTGGGAGGTGAGGGGTGAGGTGGGAGGTGAGGGGTGAGGTGGGAGGTGGGGGGAGTTTTCTGTGGAGTCCGCCGTGTTTTTTGGGCAAAGACGGGGTTTGCGTGCCAACGATTCAAGGGCCACCACAGCCTGTTTCTGTTTCTTGTGGTTGTTTTACTCTGTGCCTACCTCTGCCTACCTCTCTGCATTCCCTTGAACTTTCCCTTTATGTTTTTGATGTGCCCTTTGCTTCTTCGGGGAATCAAAGACTCCCAGCCTGGACAGCGGGGAGGGCCGGGCACCCGGTTTTCACAGTGGACTGCACAAGGAGTTTGGTTGTTACACTCCAGACGCACGTCGCTTTACGGGTGGTAATGTCGACCCCGGATGAATAAACCCAAGATCCTTGCTATGGGAGGGTTTTCTCCTCCAAAAGTGGTTTGCATCCCCACTAAAACCAGAACGGACACCCTTGGAGTAATAAACTGGGCTTTATTAGCTCCGGGCCGACATTGGAAGGTTTGCGCTCTCCGCCTTCCCCTGCGGATTCCCAGAACCAACAGAACCTTGGGTTATCAAAGTCGGAAGCTCAGCTGTTGCCCCTCAGACCTCAGACGGGAGTGACCTTGACAGTGATTGCTGAATCATGGGGCCGTTGCCATCTTTGCGATTGATTTCTTTTCTTTCATTTGCTAAAGTGTTTGTTTTCTTTTGTTTCAAACTTTTCCCGGTTGGTTTTGGAGGGAATCTATGTTCTGCTGGACAGATTTCTTATTATATATTTTTCCAGGGGGACTTGAGCAAATGGAGGTTGCTAGGTCCCTTGACTCATGCTGCTTGTGGTGAACACATGCACAAGGGGCGCAGTCACAGGCATGCGTGGTCCACGGACCAGACTGGTTGTTGGTTGGTCTGGTTTGGTTGGGTTTGGTTGGGTTGGGTTGGATTTGTTGTTTTTTGGTTAGTGTTGTGCTCTATTTTGAGATTTGGGTTGTGTGGTTCATTTTTAGCCGATGCCTTGAAGGAGCCTGGGGTTGTTTGCTAACATACCAGGGCACTTGGGCAAACCTCCTAGCCGGACAAGCAATCACATCGCGACGGCGTACCCCCACATTGGGGTCGGCGTCCTTATTGAGCTGACCCTGTCGGATTGCCTCAGCTCCATGAAGACGAAGTATTTGCAGGCGAGCTGGCGGCTTTTCCCAGGTGGCTCGTGCTGAAGGTGCTCCCCCCCCCCCCAAAATGGCGCACCAGTTTTGCTGGTGGTTTCCCAACCAGCAAAGGGTACCAGCTCCCGCAGCAGCCCCCCCGCTGGACCACCTGGAACGCCCTTGCAGACCCGCCTAAAGAAACCACCCCCCGGACCCAAAAATGACGAGCCAGGTTGCAACTGCTTGCTTGTCCCCCCGCCCCACCCCCTCCCCTTGCACCCAACCCCCCCTCCACCCAACCCCCACCCCGCCCCCGCCCCTTCCACCTTCACAAGAAATGGGTCGGCTGAGGCAGGGCGTGGTGCGGGGAGCTTCAGGCCTGCCCGCAGCAGGCGCAGCAGCAGCGTCTTTTTTTTGGGGTGGCGGGCCCGCACCCGGTGGGTTGCGGCCATAGATGTCCTTTTTCGTTGGTTTGGTTGAGAAATAGAAGGCGATTCCTGGTTTGCCTGGTGGTTCAAGCAACTACCAGAGAAACCCATATCTATTTTCCCAGAAAGGACACACCTATGGTGGCGGCGCCTTCCTTTAAAACGAACCGCAAAAAGACTCCAGGAGTTCTGGTTCTGCTTTCCCAAAACATTTCCGAGGGGTGGCACGGTGGGGAAAGATGAGAGCCTTTGTTGCCATCAGCTCTTATCCAACCTGGGCGTGGGTTGCTTCGGGGTTCGGTCCAGAGGTGTAGAGTCGATTTCCAGTGCCGTGGGTTTCTTGCTTCGCCTTTGGTTTTTGGTTGGTCTCCCCGAGTAATGTTTTTTGCTTCTTCTTTTCGTAGCCACGCGCGGAACCTCAAACAAAAAAGACAGCTTCCTCAAGCCCGCTTCGGATACTGCCGGAGAGAGCGGGGGCACGGTCCAGGAACCCCGGTGGTTCTGAGGTTGTCCATCCCAGGTGCCAAGACGGGATCAAGCAGGTACCCTTCCACAGATGCATTTGGGTATTTTCCTGTTTTTTTGGATTTTGGGAGGTTGGGGCCCCTTTTGTACAGGAAAACCAACAGCAAAGCCGAAGCGGTGCGCCATTTTGGGGGGTCCCCCAAAAACAGAGGTATCTCGTACCCACTGTTCTGTCCGTACCTTCACCGTTCAGGGATCCTTCTCTTCAAACAACTTGCCACAGAAAAATGGGTGGTTTCCAAAGGTGAAGAGAGTGGGGAATCAACCTCTTGAGCTGTGGGGACCGGGGTGCCGCGGTGTTTTTTTCCCTGTCAGACGACAACGACCTGAGCGACCCCTTCTGCATCGTGGAGGCCATGAGCCGGAACGCGGAGAAGATCTTCGTGCACCGCACACGGGTGGCGGCCCGGCTCGGAGGTGGATTCGGACGGCCGGCGCTTCCCTGCTTTTTCCCGCGTCTCCCAACCTTTTCCCATCCCTTCCCAGCGCTTTTTGCACCTTTGTGCGCACCTTTTCGCACCTTTTGGGTGGGTGGGTGGGTGGGTGGGTGGGTGGGTGGGTGCTCGTTTCTCTCTCCCCCCCCCTGGCGGGTTTTTTGAGGTGAAGAACAAGCTATGCCCGGAGTGGAACGAGGCGCCGTGGTACTTGGAGAGGGCGTCGTCCCTGGATTGAGGTGAGCCAAAAGCCAGGGTCGAAGGTCCTTCGCCGCCTTGGTAACTCTTTACCACTTGGGTTCACCAGTTTGGTGCCAGGGTTTTGATCATGGCTCAGGTGTGTTTCCCTTTGGGCGGTTGCAGATTCAATGTGATGCCACCCGTTTTTTTTGTCGAGTCCCCAAATGGACATGCCCAACAAACCGTATGAGGTGCGGTCAAAATACAGTCTATGGCTCCCCGGAATTTCCCACCCGAACTACATGTCGCCAGAGGGCAGCCCCGGATTCCGCCTTTTTCTGTGGAGGGCGGAGGGAGTGTCAAATTTTGATCATCGCACGCAACCAACTCTACATATATATATATAGATAGACAAAGATATATGTTTATTTATGTGTATATATATAGACATATATACATATCTACATATAGAGACATGTTTATATACTTGTATACACATACGTATATATATATATATAGATACATGTGTGATCCAGGTGCGCGGGCCGCAACCACCTCCTCTCCCCCCCTTCCACCCCCCTCACCCGCACCCCAGCGCCCTAGCACCCCAACACCCAGAACCCAACCCGGGTAACCCAGGACCAAGGACAAGGCAGCCAACCTCACACCCCCTCTAGACCTAAGCCACCTAAACCAATCCTAAAGCAGCCCCAAGTAAACCCTCCCACCCAACCTTAATTAGTTTTCCTGGGTAATGTACTTCTTCTTTTATCCTTCTCCATCAATCGGAGTTCGTCGTGGAGAATGCCAAAGGGTAAACCTCATGAGCCATGAAGGTGAAAACACATGAGCCTTCTGTATGATGCTTCAGGGTATCCGGTGACCAAGCGCACCACGGTATGCCGTATGCATGGCTGGATTCAATTGAGCTTCGTCCTTTAGGTGCTTCTCAAATCTTGAAGCTCATCGATGGCCACTTTCTGGTGGACGTTTGATGTAACCTCCGTGCTTGGGCTCTGTCTTCCATTGGATTCGCTGACCGACAAAGACGCAGTCATTGTTGTCCTCTGAGCCCCGGAAGGAGATCCAGGGGCATAACCATGGACTTGTCTGCCTTGGGCTTTATTGCCTGAGACTGGATTCATGGTAAATTTCAATGGCTCCTTCCAGGTTGAACCCATTGTGATGGGCTGTTGTTGCACTTAGTTTGGACTTGGAAACTGTGTCCATAGAAAACGTAGGTGCAGCGGCCATAGTACCGTAGTGAATCAAGAATGTTCCACACGTGCTCCAATGTACGGAGCTGTTTGTTGGTCATCTTTTTGCCGGTCTTGGAAGCCACGAAGCACCAAACGTGCTTTGTTTTAAAGGAAGTTTCCTTCTTTGTCTCTCTTGTCGAGTCTCTTGTTGTGTGGCTTCCATGCGTTTCTTGCCCAATTAGCTGTTGTGTGGTTGAAGCCTTGCGCGGTTCCTGCCAGTGTGAGCGCAGCTCGGTCGTCGTCTGTGTGATGTCGTCGTGTGTGCGCGACTATGAACTTCAGCGGGCTGCGCTGTATGGAGACTGATTGGCTTCCCCTCAATGTTTTGTGGCACAGTGAACGGACACACTGTCTGGTCGTGTGCATTTCAGGGGTTTGGCAAACGTCAACGTTTGCCCAGCCCCAAAAAAGCTGCATTTGATCGGCTACTACAACAGCAGACTCCTGCCTCACACAGCACGATGTAAACCAAGGTTCACGAACGCCCTTCACGCCGATGAGGTAGCCTCAGCCGCCTCCGGCATGTGGTTTAGTTTTGCTATGCTGCGTGGCTGTGTGTTACTGTTTACTGTTACCTGTGTGGTAATTGCGTTTGTTATTCAAAGACTTCAGGAGTCGGGAGCTTAGACGCTTGAGGTGGTGCGCTGCGGCCCAAGTACGGTTGGCATCCGCGGCCTCCGCCAAGATCGTGGATGTGAGAGGGCGGTAGACAAGAGTGGCTGTTTTCGACAACCAAGCACTGTGCTGCGATTCAATGCTCAGCGGCTCTCACCACTGTCATGTTTTCTTTGCTCAGCCACCGCAAGTAGCAACACAGTCAAACATGTCTGTTCGGAAGCTGCCTGGACGTGACCCGCCTGCTTAAGTGCTTCGCCCGTTCTTGCCGGCATGGTGGTGGTGTTCTTTTGCGTGCTCATTTGTTTCTCATTCGGTTCTCCCGCGCTGGCCTCCGCGCGCACATTCTGGAGCTGGCTTCGGGAGCAGATCGCGGTGGCTGCGCCCCTTTGACGCGGATCGCGTGGGTCTTTGGACGGAGAGGTAGTGCCACCGCCCCCCCATTGGGACCTGGATCACGCACGTATACATATATATATATATATATCTCTCTACCTAAAGCGCTGTTTAGCGTCTGAAGGTTCGCAGACGAATGCGATGGGGCAAACTGATGTGTTCGCTGAAATTATGGTCACAGGGTTCGGGGGGGGCGGGTGTTTTCTTTGGTTGTCCTTCGAAGGAACAGAAAAGGTAGTCTCAGAAAAACACAGCTGGGCGCTAGGAAGTCACTCTTGGTTCTCCCGACCCAAATCTCAAATCTATCTCTGGCACCCGATCCGAGCAAAGAGGTGCCTCCAAAAATGGGTGGCTACGCGGGTGCTGGTTGATGTTTAGGAGAACACGGGTGCGTTATGATCAGCTAGAAATGTATTTGTCTCGGTTGTCCTTGTGGCTTCCCTGTAAAGGTGCAAAGGCAGCCTCAAAAGCACAAACACATCCCGGACGACTAAAAGTCACTGAGTTTGGGTGCTGCGCTTGTGGGCGCGTTTCAGCCGGAGACGTGATTGTGATGATTTTTTCGGGTTCGTACCAATGCGTTTGCTCTACTTGGTGGTTTAGTCCTCTACCAGAGCCACCAATTTCCCTTAAAAGGACACTTATGCTCAGAACTCTATGGTTTGCTTTACGGGTTTCTTGCGTTAATCTGTAGCGTAAAAGTTCAGACGGGGGCTTGGATATTGGTGGGTCGGATTCCATGTTTCGAAGGTTGTACCACCAGACCCCAACGAAGGTTTCTTTCGCTTTGGGGTCCACTTTCCTCGTATCGCAGGTCTTCTACATGGCCCTGCCGCCCACCTTCGAGCTGAACCGCCTCATGCCGCTTCGCCTATGTTCGACTTGAGCGACAGCAAATTGATTAAAATCGACGTGTGGCCCAAAGGCGAAGGGGTGGCTCGCTCTTTTTTTTTGGGTGTGTTTTTCCATTCGTTGTGGTGGGTTTTAAAAGGACGCAAGGTGTTTTTATTTGAGTTCGTACCCCTTCCCTTGTTTGCGTGGGTTTTAAAGGGAAGCTAGCATCTTTGGTTGAGTTTACCCCTTTTTGGTGTGGGTGTTAAAGTGAATCTAGCGTCTTTTGCTGAGTTTACCCCTTTTTGTGTGGCTTTTAAAGGGAATCTATTTAGAAGGCTTAAAAGGGTCTTGGCGGGTCCAATTCCTCAAAGAGACGCCCCCGCATTGACCTGAAATGACACATTTTTCCCGTTTTAATTTAGTCAAGGTCGCAACACCTGTATTTTCGGGTCCGCCAAAGAGCGAGACAATAAAATCCAGAAGCTCCCAGCGAGAAAGCAAGGAGCTTGCTTGGTGGGTTCTCTAAGGTCCATGGATTAGGACCCCTGATTCTTGTAGTTGTAGAGGGCAAATTGGGTGAACTTCAGTTTCCAACCCCCCGAAGCACGAAAGCAAGCCAGATATTTCACCCTTCCCTCACTTCGTGACTTGGATTGGGTTGATAAAGAGCAAATGAACAAATCGGAGGGTTCCAAACAGCCAGTTCTGAATTCTAGGTGTCCTTTTTGGTTGTTTTGTTCGAAAAGTCGATGGGTTTCGATTCCTGGTAAACACCTGGTGGTTTCATAGTAGCTCAGGGTTGGGTACGCCGATTTCCCCGGTCCAAAGTTTGTGCGAGGGTGCTGGTGGGTGCGTGGCTGGTGAGCTGCGCTTGGGATCAGTTGCGGCGGTGGTTGTCAACACGGATCCCATTTTGGGGGTCTTTATGGGTGAATTCACCACCCATTTTACTCTATAGCGGGGATGGGAGGTTCACTGGAAGGTACGATTTGGGTTTTGACCCATGGCCAGTTGCGGGGGCAAAGAGTCCCAACGTTTTCGCATTTCAGGCTGTTACTACATTCGCAGAGTGAAGCTCCCACGCAAAATTCACACTTCCCTAGCTGCGGCTGCACTGCCATGATGCCGAAACTTAGTTTTTGTTGAAGTTCCCACTTGAACCGCTCGCGCGCACAGCACCTTAAACTCTAAGCAGCATGGATTTGGGGTCGCCGCCAGGTTTTTGGGCTTGAAGCAAAGTTGGAAAGTTGAGGTTCAGCATCTACGACAGGGACGAGACCATGGGCGCGCTGCTCACCAACCAGTTGGACCCTCTGGAGCAAGACGAGTTTTTGGGCCGGGCCTCCATCGACATCTCCTACCTGAAGAGCGGCGACAAGCTCGAGGCGGGGTTTTTGCACGGCCATGGAGGAACGCAGGTTTTGTGGGTCCTGAAAACCGCCGCGTGCGCCATTTTTTGAGGCTCGGCCTTCTGGAAGTCGAAAGGTGGTCCAAAAGCGGGGAAAGTCGCAAGGCAGTCCAGGGGAAACAACCCATGTTGTAGTCTGGCTGGGCCGGGTCTGAGACTCGCCGACACGTTCCTCAGGTTGAGACGAACGAAAGGGACCCTGGGGTCCCATCTCCTGATGGAAGTGATGTCGACCGCGCCTCACAGAGGGTTTTAGAGTCACTTCCTTTGGGGAATATTCCTCCGAAGGTGAGGGATGGCAGTTGTTCCCTGCGGAAGCTGTCATTTGTATTTGTTTTTCAATCGGACGTCACTCAAATTGTTGGGTATCCCCCTAGTTGGTGGTTTGGATTGGTGGGGATGAGAACGGGTCCCTGGCTCTTTGTAGCAGGGTAGTTGGGGAACCCCTCCTAAAGACCACCAAACCACCGATTCGGCTCCAAATCACCCGTTGGAGTTGGTTAAATTCCGCGGCTTGAACAGAGGGATTTGGCGTTATGGGGCACCTCTAAAGGGGCTGCGCCTTCACCCAAATCTCCGCCCCATGGCGATCCGTGGAAACGTCCGGTCAAGTTTAGGGTCTAAAGAAATTGGCACAGGTGCTTGAGAAAAAACAAATTAGGGCAAGAATGATTATGGGGGAAGAATGCGTATATGGCGCAATGGCAGCGCCTGAGGGAGGTTGCAGGTTCAAATCTTGTTTGCACTGTTTTTGCCAGACCTTTAGTGTGGCAGACTTGCAGTGTTGGAGCTTTCAGAGCCGTTGGTCCTAGGTTTGTTCTTGCGTTGTTCGGTTTTCGAGAACCGTTTTGTCACTTCTCTTGCCGTCCGACCCACCCAGCGGAACCCGGGATCCCTAGCTCTTCTTTTCATGCGGCCTCTTCGCGTGGATGGTTCGGGGATGTTTGCACTTGACTTGTTTGGAGGTTCCACTGAACATATGTTTTCCTTTCCAGTCACGACGTCGACCCCGGATCAATGGACCTATTTTTTTCTTCTTTTTGTCGTGATCGAGTTTTAGTCAAAAGTGCAAAGATTGCCTCGCTGAACAAGCCCAAGTCCATGTCCAGCGGGGACTCATTGGGTTTGCTGCTCTCCAGTGCCTTTTGCATCGCAAGGATTTTGCTCTTGTGGCTTTTTATCCATCGCTTTGTGACAGACGCGCGGCATGTGCCAGAATCGGGGGCCTCTTGCAAGAGGATGCTGTGGTTTGGTTGGAGAATGTCCCACCCTCATCAGATGGGGCACACCCAAATGCCCTGCCCCCCACCCCGGAAAGGACAGACCCTAAAAAGTTGTGTATGTTTTGAAGCACACACTTCCATTAGTTAAAGACTATTTCTTATTTTCCCCTGTTGGTTTTAAAGGGAATCGATTTCACGACTGGACATATTTTTGTTTTTTCCAGGGGGCGAAAAACCAAATGGAAGCAAAGAACGCCAGTTCCCTGGTTTGCCACCCTCAAAGCCTCAAAGATGGTAGCTTCGCGGGCCTCGCGTGGCCCACCGAAGAAGTTTTTCCTCGCAGGAGGACATCCCGGTGAGCGGGTCCGTGGTGGGCAACAAGGCGGGGTCTGCTGCAAAACGTTGGCCCGCCCGACCGCGCGGTTTTCGCGAAGACGCGGCTTTTTTGCGCCAAAATTTGGTTCCTGGATCGCCAGTTGCTGCTTTTTTCCATGAACTTTACCCCAAACAACAGCAACAGTGACTCAAAAAAGCCAACACCTTGGCTATCCAGGTCGTTTGGTTTGAAGTTCTACTTCCGGCTTCCAGTTCCCAGAGTTCCCGCCAGTGGATTTTTGTTTTGCTGCCTGGAAGCGGAATGGACGCCTTTCATCCACGGGCAAGCTGCGCTTTTTCCTCGGCTAAAAAATGCCTGGGTCCCCAAGCCACTTTTTTTCTCCAGCCACTTTTTTCCACTAGTAGCCCGTAGTTTGGCGTAAAAGTCGCTGGAAAGTAATTGGGCAACTGCTCGGTGGTTCCAAGTTCTGCGGCTCCGAACACGTTTTTCTTTTTTTGCCGTTTGGTTGGTTTTGAATACGGGGGATTGGCGTAAAGGTGTCCCCCGCGAGAAGTTCGTGACTGAAAACGGATCTGAAGCCCTGGATTGCCACCCCCCCCACACAAAAATATAAAATCCTCGCCCCCAGTCTTGAGAGCAAACAAAGACGTGGATAGCCTCACAAGTCGGTCCTTGCCGAGGGTGCAAGTCGGCCCTTGGCGGAGCAGCGTTGATCCAATTTCGCAGGTCGGATCTCGAGTTTGAGACGAACGATCCCCAATTTGGTGACCACATCTTGAGACAAAAGCAAAAACACAAGGAAGTCCCCCCCCCCCCCCAACACCCCCCGACCCCCGGATTTGGAACCAAGTCAGTGGCCGGTTTGGCAAGCCAAATGGAGCCCAACCTCTACGAAAACTTAGAGGGAAGCCATGAAGAGCGATGCATTGGGCGCAAATCGTCCTCGATTTGAAGTGACACCCCCATCACTCCACAAAGCCCAAAAAAGCCCCCTTTAGGGGCCTCGGGAGTCAACTCAAGTCAATCAACACGTTCATATGACATACAGTGGATGGTTGAAATCGAAATCCATTTCGCACCACAAAATGAAACCATAGGAAGTTGGTATTTACCAGGGAATCAGGCTTCCCGGGTTTCTCAGGTGGTGCAGGATTTACAGGATTTAGTCCATCCACAGTATGACGTAGGAGATTCGGTCAATGGTCTATTTGGCAGGGACATGAGGGACTCCCTCAACACAAAATCCATTGACTTTGGGTTCTGCGAATATAGTTATCACGTTTATTTAAATGTGAGCCTTACTTTCGAACGGAGACCCAACAGAGAGCCAATAAATTGAGAAGGGTCCAAGGCCTATTTTGACACATACCCACATTTCTGCGAAGCCGACCATTTTCCAACCGCTTTTGGCCGCCTTTTGGAGAACCACTTTCCGGGTTCCTCGCCCATCGGGGCGGCGCTTGCCATATCACGGCGCGCGAGGAAAGACCCTCGGGGGCATAGGTGTTCTTTTGGGTGAGTTTGGTTATCAATAGGTGGGTTCCACTGGGTTTAAGTTGGTTTTGTAAACCATTTGCCAGGGAAACCCGGAAACCATCTTTTCGAAAGGCCGATGCTTTCGGCAAACTTCCTGCAGATCCCAAACCCTCCAAAGACCTCTTGTTCAACTGGGCTGGCGGGGCAAAGCCCACTGCTTTACCCCTGAAAAAACACCTTCCAAAGAACCAGTGAACACTGATTCTTTTTCTTTCCCCGGGCAAAAAAAGGCCCCGCAATTTCGTCCTTTTCTCGGGTGATGTCTTGGGTCCCGGGTTTCGGGTTTTCTCGCCGCGCCTCCTTCGTTTTTTCTTTTTTTTTCTCTTTTTCTTTTGCCGCCCGGCGTCTCCGTCGCCGCTTCGAGGTGAAGACCACCACGGGCTTCCGGCGCACCGCCACCATCGCGGTGGAGGTCTCCGTGCAGCGCCGCGTCAAGCGACTCGTCCAGCGCCGCCGGTCGCGCCGGGCGTTGGGCGCGCTGCGTGTTTTTGGGCGCCGGGAGGTTCTCCACGTCTTGGTCGTTTTCGCGGCTTTCAAGGGAAACCAGGAGATGGAAACGGCTTTTTCAAGAGAAACCAGGAGATGGAAATGGAAAGACGCAAGTAGGAGATGGAAATGGCTGAAACTGCTTGGGGGTGTCTCTTTTTGAGGGGTACCTGTCTTTTCGCGAGTTTTCAAGGGGAACCAACAGGAGAACCACCAGAACCACCATTGAAATGGATTTCTTTTCTTTTGGGGGGAATCGGCCCCTCATGGATGAGTGTGTCTTGGAATAGGGTGAATACTCTGAGGCTGCCTCGCTCGGATCCCATCCGAACCAAGCAAAAATAAAAATGCGAGCCGAAAGTTGCGTTGAGGTCTAAATGAAGGCGGAAGCGATGAGGGATACTGTGGATGGTTGAAGTCGAAATCCCTCCGTTTCGCACCCAAATCAGAATCCCAGGTGTCCGATTCGATTCGCGAAGGTAAAAGCTAACCTCGTGGTTTCAACCGTGGTTAAATGGAATTTGTCCATGCACAGTACCACAAAAACCGGCAACCATGCAGTACAGGCGGGTACGCCCATGTGGGGGGGGGGGGGAGGGTGGGGTAATGCAAGTCTAGGTCCCCCAGTAGTGCCCTTTTACCCTTTTTTGGGGGAGGGTTCCCCTACCAAAATAGACTACAGAAAAAAGAAATGGTACCCGTATTCTAACCTCTCTATTGGAGGACCTAGAAGTGGCAGTCCTTTGCCTTTTTGGAGGCGAGGACGGTGCCCTTTTGGGAGGCGAAACGGGAGAGCAGAGCCGTCCTTTTTTTCTCCCAGGCGGCGCAAACGTGTGGGAGATTCTTCCATTTGCTTAATACATGTTTTTTCCCTTGTTGGCTTTAAAAGGAGTTTATCACAACTGTTTTCTCTGTTTTTTTTCCCCCGGGGGTCTTTTTTTTTTTCCCGGGGGGTCTTAACCGAATTCCTCTAGGAATCCCAAGGTGTTTCTTTTGTTTGGGGCCCTTTCTTCATTGTTTTCCGGGTTCGGCTGCGACAAACCGGGCTCGGCGTGATTTTTTTCCCGCGAGCTCCCTACCGCTGGCGGGCGGAGATGCCTTCGCCCGGATCTCGCCGAAAGCGAACGAAAAGATGGCGAGGCCCGCCTACGGCCTGGCGCCGGAGGACCACTCCGCAGTGATTCCCCGAAGGACCCACAAGGCGAAGACGGGGGGGGGGGGGGAGGCGGGGGCGGTCTCCAGGGTTTTGTTCGTCCCTGGGCAGTGCCCGGTCCGGGCCAACTTGGGTGTTTTTAAAGGTCTTTAGTTGGTTTAGTGGTTGGGGTTCGTCCGGTTCAACTTTTTGGTTGGTTTGGTGGTTGAGGTTTCCGTGTTTAACTCACGAACAGCTCGTCTCTTCAGCAGGGGAGCTGAAGGATGTTGCGCAGCTCCCTTTGGGAAAATGGCCCTAACCAGGACCCCGAAACCTCAGCCTCCACATGAAAAAAGGGGAGGAACCAACTGAGAAACACCTTGGTTCTTGGGAAAGAAAGAACACAAGACAATTATAGAGGGGTAGCTAAAAAGGGGAGGAACCGACCGTTTCACCTTGGTTCTTGCAGCTCGGCGTGTGCTTTCTTTAGGCTCAAGCTGGTTGAAAGGCAAGCACACACGCACACATCTTCCCTAGGGACCTAGTGGGTACCAGGTGTGTGTGTGTGTGTGTGTGTGTGTGTGTGTGTGTGTGTGTTTTTTGAGGCCCTTTCGGGCTGGGAGGTCAACCATTTTTTAGGAACACGGAGATCTCGAGCCCGGTGTTCTTTTTGACCCTCGAGCCGCAGGCTAGTTGACTGCTTGGATCTTCGTTGCGTACCGTGATATTTGCCCAGCTCACTGAGGGATTGGACACCGCAAATGACCAGTTTCCCTGGTTACCTACTCACTTCCTGAGTTCCCGGGCTTTAATTTTTTTGGAAGACCATTGGTAAGCAAAGAGTTGAGACTTTTTCCGGCCAATCCGCTCAGGAAGTGAGACTATCATTGTGTCATAGCTGAAAGCACTGAACATAAGGCACCGGTGAAAAAGGTGTGACCCCACGCCCGCCCAATAACACTGGATGCCCTGTATTCCTTCTTGCTCACGCAAACCAAGCACAAAAGCAGTGGTTGAATGATCTTTTTCTGTTGGGCGTCCTTGGTTCCCTTGCAACACGGCCTTTGGCGCCATCCGCCGTAAGAACTGAGCGCTCCTCGCGAATGGCTTCCGTTTCTCTGAGGGGCTTGGCTTCCCTGGGTTCCGAACCTCTATATGGCCGTGGCTCAAAAAACCAAGAGGGAGTTCCAAAATGGCGCAAGCCCGATCGGGAAGTGGACACATGGGTACCAACACCTGCGGTTTGCCCCTCCTCCTGCTTAATTTTTTGAGCCACGCTTATATGGGTAGAAAAAAAACCCTTTTGGGGAGAGGGGTATGAACATCCGCGGGGAAGCCTGTTGGGTTCAGTTGCCCTTTTGGGCTATGTAAAAGTCTATTGGTACCTTCCCCATTCTTTCCAGGGATCCTTCTTTCGGGAAAACGGCTGGTTTCTGAAAAGAACGATGGTTGAAAAGAATGGGGCATCAACCCCTAGAAAAAGTGGCATGGTTTCGGGTTTCGCTCCGCCGCGCCAGCCGCCTGAAAAAAAAAAAGACAGCCGATTCGAGCCAGGTGAGCCGGCCGCCCAACACCTTCCCCTTTGCGGACCCCAGCCAGTTCATAGAGGACGGGACATGGGAGAAACGGACCTTCTCACGGTGGGTAGCTGGGCGATCCAGCGATTGGTGCCCGTTCTTGAACATGTTGTTTTGGGGGTTTTGGTTTTGGGCGCCCCTACTAAAACAGACTACAGAAAAAAAGTTGGTACCCTTCTAAGCTCTCTGCTGGAGGACCTAGGTGGAAGAAGGGCAGCCAGAGACAGGCGCGCTTTTTTTTTCCCCCCGGCCTTTCGATGTCTCGGGGTTGCAACAGACCACTTTTTGCTTGAGAATGGACCCGCAGGTGGGTTCGAGGTGCCTGGACGGGAGTGTATGAGGGTGACTCAGGTGGCGGCTGTCCCACTTGAACTAGCAGAGTTTCCATGAGAGGCTTGGGCCGTTTGTCCCATATGTCTCCTTCCAACATGGTTTTCCCCTCAATTTCGCGACTGGCACATATATTCTCCTGTTTGTTCCTGGGGACGCAAAAGCACATTGACATGGAGGTCCAAAGTACTCAGTAGTCTACGAGTCTACGGCTGTGGGTCAAAACCAATCGTACCATTTTGGGGTAGATGCACCACCCATTTTAGTCTATTTTAGTGGGGATTGGGATGTTCACTGGGGGTGCGGGATTTTGACCCATGGCCACTTTTGGCGCTTTTACAGCTGAACAGAGCGGAGTCTTGCAGACGAAGACTTCCTATCAACCATTACAGCCACGTTGACATAGCTTCACTGCTGTTTGCGTGTTTCCAGGTCTTCAGTCTCTTGGTTCTGTTCATTTTTAGTGGGGGGGCTGCAGCACCAACACCGAGCTCTCTCTATTTTGTTTTACTACCCTACCAAGACTGGGAAAGATGAAGCAAGCACGCCAAAACCACAAGAACAAAAAGCAAAACCATAACGGGGAGTCCGTCTTCCTTTTCTCTCGCTTTTCCTCCCCGGGGAAATTGTTCGGCGCGTTTTTCCTTCCGGGGGGGCGGCCGTTCGCTCGCGAGCGCTGGATCTCGGCGCGAGCGATGGCGCGAGGACTTGCCGCTGGAGGAGCAGATCGCCGGGGAGATCATGGAGGCCTACAACACCGGCCGGCTCCGAGGCGATTGCGCGATTGCGGCCGATCCGACCGGGGGGACGGACGACTTGTGAGGAAAATGCCGCGGATTGATGCATTTTTTGTTTTAAATCATTTTGTTCTTCTCTTCTTCTTTTTTGTGGTGTGTGTGTTTTTTTTTTTTTTGGGGGGGTGGTGGTGCTTTTCGATTTTTGTGGGGGGGGAACGTATTGACTCTGACAGACTCTCTGGGTCTGGATGTCCTTGTGTTTGGAGAGTTTGAGCTTTATTTTTTCGGGGGGGGGGGGAGGGGGATGCTGTTGGACCTCTGAAGAAGGGCTTCTTTCTTTGAGCCGTTTTCCCCTAAGTTGGAAGCTCCGAAAGTGGAAACCGAGCTCAAACTTGTCCAACCTCGGTATGGGCTTGCGAAAAACTGTGCCTTTTGGAACCCCCTTCTAAACAAAATGAACAGACCTGAAAAAAACCGAGGAAACAAAACCTGATCCAAGAACAGTGGTGAAGAATAAAAGGTCAAGCTTTTGGGACCGGTACTAAACATGGACCAACAGGGGAAATCCGAAAGGACATGTCAGGTCGATCCGCCTTGAACAACTGAGTCTCTGAAAGGCTATGATTGTTTGGGTAAGGAGCAACATCCAAAATGGTTGGTGGATGTGAAGCTCCAGCTACATGGTGTCCACATGTGCCCACCAAAGGATCCCAGGCGGATGTCACTTTCATGGATGCGGTAAAGCAGGAATGCCACTTCAAGGAGGGATGTGCTTTGTTTCTCACTTGGGTTGACTGGCCGAAAGAAGCGGACCCGAACTCGTCGTTTGCCACTGAGATGGTCCAAGCCCAGAAAGTGAGCATCAGGTCCGAAACGGAACTCGGGAAGTGGACTCTTTCTTCTCAAGGATCTCACTCTTTGAGGATGTCGACCAGCACCTTATTGGGAATGTTCATCCACCTTCGGAAAACCTAAAACAACCCATTGACCAAATGGTGGATTTTCCCCCAAACTGCCCGCATGTTCAAGAAGGTCTTAAGGAATTGTGTTTTTTTTTGGGGAAACCGTCATGTGTAAATGGCAACTTCCATCAAGAAGGTCTGTAGGACATGATGTTTTGAGGGAAACCACTATGTGTAAATGGCATTTTCCATCAAGAAGGTCTTAGGCAGTTGTCTTTTTTTTTTGAGGTTCAACCACCGTGTGGAAATTGGTTGCAGGGCTCCATTTTTTGCCCCAAAGTGGACTTAAACCCAGGAGTGGCAAAAAGGACACGTATGGATGTTGTTTTTTTTGGTGCCGTCTGACAGATCCCCCGTGGAATGACCCCAGGAGAAACCATCCAATGCAGGGCTGTGGGAAATGGAATCCACTTCTGCGATACAACCAAAGCGGCTTCCCAACGACTAAACCCCCCATGTAAAGGGGGAGATTCCAACTTGTATCACAAAAGTGGTTGGATAAACTCGGAGTGATCCCACCCTGATCCGATTTGGTTTCCTTCAAGGGTTCATTCCGTCTTATTCCCCACCTCTTCCCCAGAGTTAGCCCCCCTCTTTTTTTTCCCCTTATTTTTTTGGGGTCCCCTTTGTTTTCCACTCACCAGGCGAAGAGTCTATTTTTTTGCAGGGGTCCCTTTTTTCCAGCCGATGGCGCCCACAAGCTTCGGACTCCAAGCCCGTGAGTTGGGGCAGACGAAAAGACGGGCGCCGATCGCCGAGGCGGCAACTCCGTGGAGTGGCTGCACACTCCGGAGTCGAGGCTGAGTGATCGTTTTTTTTTCTTTTTTTCTCCAGTTCCATCCCGGGTGTATTTCGGTTGCACCACCGGGCACGGGTGGTGCTTTCCTGGAAGTTGGTGGTGCTTTCCTGGGAGTGGGTGGTGTTTTTTTGCTTCCCCGAATTTCCGTATTTAACCCACTAAACGTTAGTCACTATTAGCAGGAGATCTGAAAACGGACAGCCCAGCTTATGCTTCCAAATATTTGTTGTTTGGATATGTCTGAGGGTACCCGGTTTTTGTTTTGGTCAAAACGGAAACCAACGGGAAATGATTGTTTGGGTCCTCCCCGTTTTACATACCCACATAGGGGACCCAACACAGGTTTGCAAGCTCCACGCATAATTTTCCTCAGGTTTCCTTTGTTTTCCTGTTCGCTTCCTTTTTGGTTTCCTTGTGGTGCTTGCACCTGCTTCCTGAACATGCCCATCTTTGGATGGACTCAGCTACATCAGTATGCTTGAACAAGGGTTGGCTCTGCAACTTGTGGAAGGGCAACCAGTTGAAGGGCAACCAGTCTGTTGGCAAGACCGGCTTGCGGCTTGGAGCCGCTTTTCCTGCTGAGCGCATCGCTCTGACTTCGAACTTGGGCGTCTGTTCTTCCCCAGAATTAGCTCCCCTTTTAGCTTTTTTGGGGTCCCTTGGTGTTCCACTAACCAGGCAAAAATATATGTTTTTTTGCTGGGGTCCTAGTTCCAGCCAAGTGTTCTGTTCGTTGGTTGGTTCAGTGTGGGTCAGGCTTTGGCTTCGGCTTGACTCGATCCTAGCCAAGTTTGACTTTGGATCCTTGACCAGGGCTTAGGATCCACAAGGGTCAATTTCAGGTTTGGACTGGGTGGCTTACAGCTGCTTTCTGTCGGATTTGGAACTCACTGAGAGTTGATGTATATAACAGCGGTTCAAGGGCAGAACGTTCCATTCTACTCTTGTGCCAGTGTTTCGCCTGTTTGGTTCCACCCATTGCGTTGAAATCTCGGGATTTCGGAGCAATCTGCGTTTGGGGGGCAGCGAACAAGAACGACCCGGATCGCCAGTTGTTTTTCCTCTTTTTTTTCCCCCTATGCGCTTTACCATCCAAAAACCACCAACAGTGACTGCAAAAAGCGATCGCAACTTGGCTATCTAGGGAGCTTTAGCTTTGTACCGGATCGTGTAGCATCCCGTCGAACCGATTGAAAAGGAGGGGTCACAGGCACGAAATAGGGCTCAGCTCATGGGCTCGGGACTGAGCTCGGGCTTTTGTTCTTCTTTTTGGTTCCCCTCCATGTTTTCTCCTTTTTTTTGTGGGGTTCTGTCAGTTTTTGTTTCCCCCTCCTTTTTTCTCCTTTTTTTTTGTGGGGTTCTGTCGGTTCTGTCAGTTTTTTTTTTTGTGTGTGTGTGTGTGGTTCTGTCAGTGGGGGTCTGTCAAAAGGTGGGTTGCCCCTTTGGGTAATCCCCTTGAACAGGCACACCGGGCGGCATTGCAAAAAGGAACCGGCACAACCATTTAGGCCCCCCCCCCAAGTGGGTTTCACCCTTTTTTCGCATGTACCCTGAAAGGGACCCCTCCTTTATGGAGGTTAGCTTGTTTCTAGCAATCCCTTGAGATTTTTTCAGGCTTTTTGTTGGTTTAGCGGAGTTTCCATTGAACCTGCTAAAAGTTTAGCTTTTAGCCGGGGATCTGCTTTATGGAGGTTGTAGTGAGGGCAAACCGCAGGCTTTAGTCTCTGCCATTTTGGTACCCCTTTTGTGAGCGACTGCCATTTATAAAAAAGTACACAAATCCCTCGCTTCAATTGGATTCCATGTCACCACTGGAAATACATCTTCTCAATTTCTCGTCCTTCTTGTTCCAAGCCACATTTTCCTCGAATTCCTCCCGATCCATCCGATCTCTCCGCCTGTCTTTCCCCGGATTTTTTTCCCTCTTCGGTCGGCTCGGAGCGAGCGGAGCGAGCGGAGCGAGCGGAAGCGAGCGACGAGGCCTCTGCTGGATCTGCAGCTGCCAGAGGAGGAGGCGCCCGAGGCCTTGCCCCACACCAAGGCGGCGAATCGAAAGGGCGGACACGACGGGGGAAGCGGCGGGTGGAGTGGGTGGGCTGGAGCCGCCAAGCGCCGCCGCCCAAGGGAGCGATCGCCAGTGGTTCTTTTTTTTAATATATATATATATATGTGTTTGGGTGTTTTTTTCTTCCTTTTTTTCCGTTTTTTTTCTTCTTCTGTTTGTTGTTCTTCCCCCATGCACTTTTTACCCTCCAAAAACCAGCAGTGACTGAGAAAAGAAAGCGATCGCAACTTGGCGATCTAGGTCTCATCTTAGAGGTGCACCACGCTTTTGGGAAAAGGGAAGCTTCAAAAGGGGTTCCCGCAGCTGGATGGAGGAACCCTAGTTCGAATATTTCTATGTCACCGGGGATCTGAGGAGAGCCCAGATTTGGACAAGCAATTTCCCAGCGGAATCTCTTCCCCGCTTCTTTCACTCACTGTTCGTAGGCATGATTGTTTATTTTCCCGGGCCGTTTTGGCAAAGGATGTTTGAACCAGGGTGGCTCATATGCTGTAGCAGAGTTGCGGTAGTCCACTGGGTTTCTCAAAAAGGGTCATCAAAACATTGCAAGGCAGAATTGATTTTCGCCTTGAACCAGCAAACAGTGGTCACTCGTCTGACCAACTTAAGTTGCGGCACTTTTGGTAGCAACCCGGCATTGGGGGAAACTCATATTGAATTGGATGAACTACCATTTGTCCATTCAGGGATTGCAAAAAAACACCTGGGCAAGGGACAATTTGAAGCTCAATCTTCAGCCAACCACCTTAGTCACAACATCTCCCACAAGCTGAATAAGTGATTCCAGTTCCCTGTGACATAACCAAGGGAACCACCCGAGAAAAAAGAAAAGAAAGGAAAACACGAAGCGGAACATGACTGGTGGCCTTTTGGGGGTGACTGGGATGCACCCGGGCTGGCCAAAATCAACAAGTCCCATCAGACTTGGGCCTCGGGCCCGCGCAGGGGTTGTTTCAGAGCATCCCTTCTTCGGACCTGCAAAGTGGTGATCGTTTCAACGGACACCCCCAAAGTAAATCGCAACAACACCCTGTTTTGGCCAAGAAACTCAAAACCGCTTCTTTTTTATTTTTTTCTCGGGTGGTTCCCTTGGTTAATGCACAGGGAACTGGAATCGCTTTTTCAGCTTCACCAGCTTTCCACCTGTCAAAACCTTGGTGTCTCCCAGCCATTTTGTTTAGGTTTTTAGCCTTTTAGTGTTTCGTGGTTGGATTTGCGTATTTCACCCACTACAAGTGTTCGTCAAACTTTTGGCGGATCTGAAACGGACATAAACCCCAGAAATCCCAGAAACCCTAAACCAGACACACCCCTTGTTTTTTTTCCTCTCCCGGCCACGCATTTCCTCCGCCGCCCGCCGCCCGTGGCCAGGCGCCGCCGCCGGAGCCTCCGGTCTTCACCTACCCCCTGCGGCCTGGCACCGCAGGCAACTCCCTGCCCGGGCCTCGCCGGGCGAACTTCGGGCGCGCTTGGGCGGGCGCGCGTTGGCGGCGCGGAGCCGCGACTTTTTTTCGGGTGGCAAGGGGGGAAGATCAGCGGAAGGACAGGTGCCAATGCGTTTTTTTTTGGGGGGGGTTCTTGGGGTTCGCAATTTTGAGAAATGCCCAAAGGATGGACATGGGGATATACCATCGATTCTTGCTGGCTGTTTCCTTGCCTGGTGGCTTCCATGCTCTTTTCTGATTGATTGGCAGATGTGTTTTTGGGTTGAAGCCGCCAAGCAGTGTGGTGATGCATGAATGCTGACTTATCGTTCGGTTGGCTCAAGGGGTTTGAGCCAGGAGCAGGCCGCCGAACTGTGAGAGCTCTACGTGTTGGATTCATGTTCTGTTTTGCCATGACCTGTTGCCCAAAGCTTTTGACCTTTTGAGCTTATGGTTTCTCCTTTTTGGTTTCTAGTTTTAGTCATGGCCCCAAAAGGTGATCATTTATTTCTGGGTCCTTTGGGCAAGTGAGCTCATGACCTGGTTGGCACTTGTGCTTTTGTCTCCCCTGCGGCGGTGAGTCGCGTGCCAGCGACCAACTTGACCAGCGACCAAGCTGATGCAAGGCTGGAAGAAGCACACAAGCCTCGCCGGGGGCAATGTGACGATTTGCTCTGCCACCTTTCGGTTTTTCAAGGTGATCAGCTTTTATTTCCAGGTCTGGAGGGGCACCCCAGCCCCCCCCCGAGTCCCCCCCCCTCCCCCGCCCCAGACCCCTGAGCCACTCACTTTCCCTCCCCCAGCCTCCCCCCCGAGTCCCCCCGCTCTCGGGACCATCGAGGCCGGTGCTCCATAGCAAGTTCGAGCAGCCCAAGCCGCTCTTCGATATGACGCAGGAGACGGAATCCGAATCCGAATCCGTGTGGGTCAAAATGAAGCCACTAGGATATGGACTGCAGGTTTCGGTCCATGCTTCCATTTACCAGGGCAACCCATTTTGGGTACATATTTTTGACCCACAGCCCGAATCCCGCGGAATTCGAAGGAGAGCAACCGGACTTCGAAGGAGTGGATCGGAAAGTTGGGGATGGGGTCCCGGCTCCCGGGCCAAAATTGAGGGGAGAGGTGGTGGAGACAAGGGTCTTCTGTAAACAAATGGGAACGATGTGAGACAACCCCGTTAGATTTTTAATTCCCTTCCTTTCTCTTGAGAGCCATTCTTTCCATGACCTGGCTATTGGTTCCCCGTTCAGACCAAGACGAGAACTTGCTTGACAGAAGGGGCGGAGCAGAGCCACCTGAGCCACAATCGAAACCCGGGTAGATGAAGGTTAGTAAGGGACGATCCCAACCATAAATAGCTGTGGCCGCCTTCTCAGTTCTTGAAGCATGGTTCTGGGTGCCACCATTTTTGCACCGGGTTTTGATCATGACTCACCTGTCCCCTGGCAGGAGAGCCACCGGTCCTGCGGCCCCACGTGTCTTGGCGCGGTTGCGGTTTAGCTCGAGGGACGGTGAGCTCCAAGGGAAGGAGACGAAGTGGACGAAATCCGCTGCTCGCACCCCCTAAGAAAACCATGGGACCCGGAGGCTGGCTTCGGCTTTCAATGGAAGACCCGGCCCCTCCAATAGACACCCCGGAGGTGGTTGGGGGACTCAAAGCCAGGTTGTTTGAAGGCCCTAAGTCAATCGGGAGCCTCTTGGGCAGGAAAAATCATACCGTTTGTTGGGCATTTTCAGGGGGAATCGGATCATTGCAGGGTTTCTTAGCTGGCTTGCGCAGTATGTCGTCCACAGGATCTCAGTCCCCTCCCGGCCCGGAACTTTAGCATCCGAATCGGACTGAAATGTCCGGCTCCCCAAATTAGCAAAAGGGTTTCCCCTTTTCTGTGCCTGACCCCCCCTCATTTTTGTTTTCCCCCCAAACGAAAAGAGAACCGAGGCGCCTTTTCTCCTCCAAAAGCGACCACCCCGCTTCCTCCCTTTCCCACTTCTCTCCCGAGGTCAATGGCAATCCGCCAAGTCTTCAACGGCAACTCCACCATGAGCATCGTGCGGAGCCTGAGGCGACGTGTGCGACCCGTCGCCGCGACCGTTCGAAAGTCGACCGGTCGACCGGTCGACCGGTCCGGGTGACGAAAACATGGAGGGCTTTTCGACATGCAAGGTTTGGCCTGTCTCAATGCTTCCATTTGTATGTTTACATTTGTTTCCAGGGGGCTTATAAGCGCAAATGGAAGAATTGGAGTTTTTCCCCAGGCCCCCTGCAACTCGAGGAGGTGAAAGGCTCCGGAGCCCTTTGGGCGACGCCTTGGCTCTGCCAAGGGATGTGGAAGAGAAAGTCACTGTTGCTGGTTCTTGGGTTAAAGTGGATGGAAAAAAAGATCGCAACTGGCGATCCAGGCTGGAAGAATGACTCCCTGTACATGCGTAAGAAACGATATGGTTTCAATCGTGCCTCAAGGTGGTGCAGGCTTTTTTAATCCATCCACAGTATTGCCCAGAGAGCCCGGTCACTGATACGGCGAATGGGACATTTTTCTCCGAGATTTGGCAAGGCGCTTCTGCTCTGCGCATTCAAGACGGATCCCCTTCTGTCTTTTTGCTTTTGAGACATCAAAAAGAAGCAGCCAGGACACCGGCCATGTTGTTTCTCTTCTCTTTTCTTTGTTCGGGGCGGGGGGGGGGGCTATTTTGAGGAACACCCCAAAAAGGACAAATTCGGCCTCTTCAAAGGTTAAACGGATTTGGTGCTGTGGTCTCCCGACACGGAAACTCCTTTCATCCAATTCTTCCAACGCGAAGAGTTGAAACTATAGGTGTCCTTTTTGGTTGATCTGGTCGAAGACTAGAGCGCGATTCCTGGTTTACCTGGAGGTTCAAGAACAACTACCAGGGACACCCATCTATTTTCAACCAAAAAGGACACCTATGGGGCTCCGAAAGGTACGTTATTTTTTTTTTGGGAGGCTTTGCTGAATGTGAGCCCGCAATGTTGCGTGTCGCCATTATGCACCCAGGTTTGGACAGGCCAGTGAAACACTCCTATGCCCCTATGGGTTCGCTCAGAGGTCATCCTTGTGTTTGTCCAGAACCGTTCGGATGTGGCTTTGGTGGATTCACCCCTCTAGGATTTTAAAAGAGTACTACAAGATGAAACAAACAAACAACACGGGAAGAACAGGTGCAATCCAGAAAAAAAACACATCCAAACAGTTGTCTAGAGTTGGGTGGGCACTTGAACATTCCCGTTTTTTTGTTTTTTTTGTTTAAATAAATATATGGTTCTTTAGGTTCGGCACATGTACAATACGACCTAAAACCCACGAGACACCAATCATGTATGGCACGCTTGGAACCTGCAACAACCATTTACAAATGGTTTCCCACAGGACCATTTCCTATTGAATAGACCTTCTTGACATAGGTGTCCTTTTTGGTTGTTTTGCTAGAAACATAGATGGCGATTCCTGGTTTACCTGGTGGTTTAATCATCTACCAGGGAAACCCATCTATTTCCCCCTAAAAGGACACCTATGCTTCTTGATTGAACATTGCAGTTTGAGAAACCACCATTTGTAAATGTTTCAGGTCCCAGGTGGCACATGTTTCTGCACAAGTTCGTTCACAAGCTGGATCGATTCGGACGAGTGAAGGTCCCCTGGGCATTCCTTCCGCAGATATGGAATTTTTGTCTTGCCCAGATGTTTCATTGGCCCTGTTCCAGCCACCATTAAATCCAAGAAGGTGAACAGAAAACCACCATCATTTGCCTAGGTCCCCCAGCTAGGTGCCCTTGTACCCACATTTTTGGTGGAGGGTTCCCCTACTAAAATAGACTACAGAAAACAGGGCACCCTTATTCTATCCTCTCTACTGGAGGACTAGTTGCCATTCAGGAATTTTCCCTCATCTAAGTTGGGTCCACAACAAACAGGTTCTTCTTGGCGGGAGATCCTTCTTGCTTCGGAAACCCGGAGAAGTGCGTTCCGCCCGCCCCAAGTAATATTACAGTAAGGGCAAGCAAGAAAGACTGCAAAAGAGAGGCTCAGTCCGCCCTAATCTTAGAGTCCAACCGATTCCCACTTGGGTGTGGGGACCGGAGGTTTTAGTCTACTTTTCCATTTGCCAGGGTCCCATTTTGGGTACCTGTTTTTGACCCACAGCCACCCCAGGTGACTTTGTTTGACATATGGCTATGGCATTTTAATAGGGAACCACCTCCAAAGAGGTTGGTGGACATGAATCCCCACCTAAATGATGTCCACCAAAGGGTTCCCCATGAAATTCGTGCCCATATCGTTTTCTGTGTCCTCGAGCCAAACTTCCGAACGCCTTGCCTCGGCGCTTCCCTCGGCGCTTCCCTCGGCGCTTCCCTCGGCGCTTCCCTCGGCGCTTCCCTCGGCGCTTGCCCTCTCTTCTCGCCTTCTTGGGGCTGAAAACATGGGACATCACCCGGGGAAAAAAAAAAAAAAACACAAACAAAAACCACCCGCCCAAGCCCACCGAACCATTCCCCCGGGCCCCTCGGGTTCCCCGAAGCGCGGCTCCGCCACTCCGCGCCCTTCGGCCTCCGGCTTGCTTCAGCTCCGAAGCAAACCGCGCCGAGCCGAGCGACTCGGCGCCTCGGCTTCGGGGAACCCGAGTCGCTGGGTCAGGGGCTTGTGGAACAAGCCGATGCCCGAGACCTTGGTGCACCGCAGCCTCTGCCCCTGGGACTTCAGACTTCGGGGCGGACCGATCCGATCGATTCGGCGCGTTTGGGTGAGGAAATTGGGGGGGGAGGGCGGGGGGGAAGCTGGGGGCAAAGCGGACTCTGCTGAACTCTGGGTGTGGTTGTTGAATTGTGATGGTGGGAACCCCAGGCATCCGGTTCCTGAGGTTTTGGATATCTTTAGTGTTTGGTGGTTGGAGTTCCGTATTTGACCCGCGAAAAGATAGGCACTTTAGGGGAGGGATCTGAGGTCGGCACAAGTTCGAGGTGTTTTTTCTGCTGAATTCCAAGCAGTCCGAACATGTTGACCAACCCACAAAAAAACAATCCTGCGGATCGACAGAACGCACACCAAGTGGGTGTGTGCCTTTTTCAAGCGCGCAAGGTTTAGTAAAGGATGGAATGAATCACAAGTACATCCTCATGCTTTCTGGGGGCTATCAGAGTCGGAAGCGTTTTTTTTCTCCTTCTCTCACAGGTGGGGGTGCGGGAGAGGTGAGCCGAGCACGGGACTCAATGAATGGGGGTTTCTCATTTCCACTGCTTTCCGCTTCACGAAAGGGGGGCTTCGGCCTGTTCATTTTCAAATTTCAGGGGTTTCATGGCTGAGTTTCAGCAAGGAATACCCTCATGTTCAATTTGTGAACCGAATTTTGTGAGTCGAATCTTGGCCAGAGGGTGGAAGCTAGATCCTTTTGGGTTCCGTGTTCAGTACAGTGACACGTCAAAGCGGATTTCTTTGAGAGGGGTCCAACCCTGCCGCTCCTCATGCCACCAACATAGAACAAACTTCTGATAAACCTTTTCACACACCATGAGCATTTAAGATCAAACCCTGCAAACCTTGATAAATCCATCACACACCTTTATATCCTTGGACGCCAGGAACATAACATTGAGTGACCTTGAGAGCCAGACAAAAACACCACACCGACCTCCGCTCTTTGCTCGCGCCTCCGCGCCTCCTTCTCCGCTGGCGTCACACCTCGCTTGGCCGCACTGCAGGCAGCTCCGCAGAGCAGAGCCGGAGCACGAAGGACGCGATGCCGCGGAAGAACGCGCACCACGCGGCGGGGAACGCCTTGACGCTGAACCCCACGCGGAAGAGCTTCCGGAAGTAGCGGGGTACAAGGGCAAGCTTGGAGAAATGTACTCGGGCTGGAATAGGGTTAAAACCCTGTAAAAAGTCTAAGTCGACCCTTTAAACCGAAGCCTCCAGAGATATTTTATGTTTGCACCTTTTTGTTTTATTTTGGTGATTGCTCACATGGAAGTGCAAACGAAGCCTTTTTTTTGGAAAGTAGTCTTCCTTTCTTTTGGGGCCTGTGCACTTCTATGGGAGGGTAGTGGTTGCGGGGTTTTTGAAAGCTTATGATTGCAGATTGTAAAGCTTATGGAGGGTGATCAACCGGTAAGTAAGCAGGTTCGGGGGTTTGATGTTTGTTTTTTTGAGGGGGAGCTCACCAAAAAGCTTGCCGGTGCGATAGCGATGAACCTAGGGATTCTCTGAGGCAACCATAGGAGATGGTTTGCGTCATTCCATTTCTCATTCCCTGCCTATCGAGCCAGCACGAAAAAGAGCCCGTTCTCGTTTTCAACCATTTGAGTCACAATCAAACCCGGGTAGTTGGAGTTAGAGCCACTCCCAGGCAGAATTCGGTGCGGATATCCGCCTATTCAATTCTTTACGTTGGTTTGGGTAGACTTTTGCCAACTTATGGGCTACTAGTGGGTAAAGTGGCTGGAAAAAAGTGGCTACTTGGGGATCCAGGTACTGGGTTTTGATTGTGGCTCTGGGGCTAACCCGAATGCGGGATCGATCCGATGTTTGAGGGGGCCTTGGTTCGATCTATTGAGGGGAGGGCCCCGAACTGAGCCCTCATCTTGACTGCTATTGGGTTGGATCTTTAGACTTTTACTTTTTGGTTGAAATCAAGGGGTTTTCCACTAGCCCCCCAAAAAGGTAAACTTTTTGCAGGGGGGTCAACAGCAACCAAGTCATGGGAGGTTGAGTTGGCGAAACAAAAGTTCCACGGGCGGACCTGAGAGAACGGCTTGTTTTTTGGGATGTGCACTTCTGGAAGTATGAGAAGGGACATTGCCGAAGAGCGAGGAGAGTTGGGAGGGAGGATGTCGAGCTCCGGAGCGTTACCAAGGTTTTAGAATGAGCCTTTGGGTACCCAAACCTTCTTGTGCAACCAGACATGACTGGCCCAGCAAAAATCGGTTTTTGGATGAGCATGCCTGGCATTTCTCCAGTCTTTCTCTGCTGCAGATATTCCTTGGGCCCTGTCTCGCGCAGATATGGAAGCCTCACCCACCGGGAACCGGGGGTGGGGGTTTCGCGAAAGGGCGTACCTTTTGACCCGACTTGGGGACCACCCGTAGCGGATCGCGGCCAAGAAGAGCCAACAAGCCCTCAAAGGGGGGGACCAAGAAGGCTGCTCTTGGAGGGGGGAGGCCAATATAGCCCGAGGCCCAACAGCCCAGCAAAGCAAAAGCCCAACGAAGCCATCAACAGACAAACAGCCCAACAACCCAACAGCCAATTCCTTAGGGGTGACAAAGAGGGGGGGGGAGAATGGCAGAAGGAAGCTGCTGCACTTGGAGTGTGGAGAGCCCGACAGCCCAACAACCCAACAGCCAATTCTTATTTTCCGCCCGGGTCGAAAGTGACAAAGGCGCCAACCTGCACCAAGTGGGCGGCTCAAAGAGCCAATCGCCCCGGCAGTGCCCTCGGCCACGAAGCGGCGTTTTTCGCAGCGCCGAGCAAAAGTGCTGCGAGGGTGAGGGTTGTGGCGGTGCTTGTGGCTGGGCTTGTACCCCAGCTGTAGGACACCAACCCCCAGCTGTCAGAGGCCATGAGAAGTGCTATGAGAAGGATTGTGTTGCGGAAAGCAGTCCAACCAAGTTGACCTGCCTCCGAAATGAGGCGGCAGCAAATGGACGAAAGGCCCTTTTTGATCTGCACCAGCCCAGAGCCGCGGATTTTTGTTTAATTGGAGAACTCAAGCCCTGGGTGTCCTTTTTTGGTTCCAAACATCCCGCGCACGTTCCGTTCCAGGACGCTTGGGCTCAGAGTCGAGCTTCACCTGGCCCTGCGGAAGCTGATCCGCTGAAAACTCCTCGCTGGGTCCGCTGGCGTGGCTCAGATGCCCGGTGGATTTCCAGGGGAGAAAAAAGAAGGAAGCGGCAGATCCTTTTTCTCTTGTTTGGTGGGTGGAGTTTAAAAAAAACGGAACCTAAAACCCCCCCCCCCCAAAAAAAAAAAAAAGAAGAAGAAGAAAAGTTGGAACAAGGGGGCGGAATCCGCTGGTTGCAGGGTAGCGTCAAGGCCTGTCAGCGCTTCTCGCGCGCGTCGCGTCCGCGGCTCAGCTCCGAGGGCTCCCGGCGAATCCCATGCCATTCGCCTTTTGAATCGCATGCTGCCAGGTTTGTTGACTTTCTTCGCATAATTTTTGTGGATTTCGGGGTGAAACATGTTTTTGGCGCGTTCTTCGCAGATTTTTGGTGGATTTCGGGGTGGATCTTTTTTTGTTTTGCGCGGGATCCCAATGCACGACTTGTGCAAGTGACCACTGATCCGGTAGTCTGTCGAGAATCTACCCCCTACACCCAATACCCCGCCTTTTTTTAAGGACATGATGTCGGCCCTTCACTAAAAAGGAACATTTTCACCTTGGACAGCACCAGGTTTTCTTCAGAAATACCCGGCAAAAAGCGTGAGTGAGAAAGAAAGAGCTAGCGGGAAAGCATCCAGTGGCGCTTCGGCGCCGGTTTTCCGAAGTCGCCTCGCCATGGATGCGGACGAGCTGCAGCCCTTGCTGCTTCGGTACTCGCTGCGCCACGCGGCGCCGGAGCCGGAGCCGGCGGCTCCCCAGCAGCGCTATGCGAGCCAAGACTTCTGGGACGCGAGGTTTCAGGACGCGGTTGGGTTTGGGCTTCGAGTTGGTTTTGGTTGGACTGATATTAAAGGGGGCATTTCAATTTTGGCACTCGGGTCGATTCGAGCGGTTCCGAAAAGATAGGGTTTGATTCCTTGGCCATTATTCTTTCCTGATCGAAAACCGGATATGTTGTTTCAACCGGCGGACTTTTTTTTTGCTTTTTTTTCCTCAAAGATTCGGATCCCTGGAAAGAATCGGGACTAGAAAGATAGACCAAGTGGAGATTTCCTCACATGTCTGGTCTTCCGATCTGGTCGGGAGGAACTCTCTAAGACCAAGTCCCCGGAATTGCGATCTGTTCAAAGCCTTGACACGCCTTGACACGGTTCCCATCCGGTTCCTCAGCCTAGCTTTTTACTTCCCCAGACTTAGCTCCCCTTTTGTTTCTGTTTTTTGTCGTTGTTGCTTTTTTGGGGTCCCTTGTGTCAAATTCCACGAGCCAGGCAAAGGAGATATTTGTTTTGCCGGGGTCCCTTTTTTCCCGCCGAGTTTAGGGTTTAGTGGCAGTCTTAGCAGGGGATCTGAAGACGGAGAGCCCAGAAAGCATAAAGTGGGTAGACTGGCTAGATCTTGGCTGCGGACTTTTCTTGGCCTGGTGTTTTTTTTTTTTTTTTTTTTTTTTTTTCTGTGTCAGGGGAAACAAACCACGGGCTTGAGACGATACTTAAACCTGGTGCTACTGTGGATGGACGAAATCCATTTCGCACCACCTAAGAAGCCCTGGCATGATGCTTCCACTGCCAGTACCCACGAAAATGGCTGTCTAGAGTCTATGGTTTCATTTCGTGGTGCGACATGGATTTCGATTTCAACCATCCAGAGTATTTCTGTGGCGGATATGGTGCGTTTGCTCGTCCGCTCGTCCGCTCGTTGGTTTGGATGGTTTGGAGCTTCGCATGTCAACAGCCCTGGCTTCAAGATCCGACGCCGCCCGGCTCGCAACTCCGGCCCAGAGGCTTCACCCTCTTGGAGCTTTTGAGAGATTTTCGCTGAAGGGAAGCCAAGAGGAGAGGTTCAGCAGCACGCATTGGATGGAAGAGATCTCGAGTGAATTGCTTCTTCTGATGTTTTTCGCTGAAGGGAAGCCAAGAGGAGAGGTTCAGCAGCACACATTGGATGCAGCTCTTGAAGCCTCCCGCTTTCATTGCCGCAACGAGAGAGCCATCAGTTTACACCCGACGGTTCCATTTCCGGAGGCTGTTGGCTCAAGGCATCGGACCCCGATACAAAACTCGGCGGGTTTGCTTTTGGTGTCCGATTGAAACCACCAGTAAGTTTGCCTCCAACAGGTACCCCCCCAAGAAAGGTGTTTTCCTCTTGGTTTGGCCCTCAAAAAGGGCACCCTCAAAGAAGACACTTGAATAATTGCTGCTCTCAGGGAACCCTTGTAGCTTCCTTTATGGAACCTGAAAAGGACCAAGTGGAAGACGTGTTTCCTCTTACACAGACCCTCTTTGGAACACGCAAAAAAGACACCCGCATGGCTATCTCTGAAGCGTAGCCCCGGATTTCAAGAGATTCTGTCACTGGACATATTTTCTCTCATATTTTTCCCGGGCAAAAGGCAAGCAGATGCTTTCTGCCCCTTTCGGGGACAGTTTCAATGGCCAAAGTGAAACCAAGCAGGTAAAAGAGTGATTTTACGCCCGTCCAAGCGATCCAACATGTCCAGGGACCTGTTGCTTTTTGGTTTTCCCTTCAAGACAACCGGTAGAAAGGGTCTTGGGCCCCAGCGTTTGACGTTTGAGTCGACTCACCATGGGGGCTTGGGGGGAGGGAGGTGGGGGTGGAGGGAGCCTTATGAAGGCCTTGTTTGTGTCTCCCCTCCCCCTCCCCTCCCTCCCCCCCCAGGCCCCATGACAGCACAGAGTTGCAGCTTTCCCCTGAAGCCAACCGCGCAGAGGATGCCTGAAACGCAAGCTGGGCAGCAAACGCCACCAATTGGCTGCTCAAAAAACAAAAAGGAATTCCAAAATGGGTTGCCCGAAGCGGAGACATAGACCAAGACCTGCGGTTTGCCCCTCCGATTTGATTTTGAGCCAGACCCAATTTTGAAAATCGTAACCCTTCCAACCAAGGCAGTCGGCCCTTAAGAGGACGGTAGCCAGAATATGTTTCTTTGGCCGCTCCAAAAGCCAGTACCGATTTGGACACCTGGGCCACAACCTGCCGGTTTGCCCCAGCTGCTTAATTTTCAGCCACACCCATATCAGCTTTGATTGAGGGTAGAGGGGTTCTAAGCAGAACCTTCCGCAGGACAGCGAGGGCCTCTTCGATTGGTACGCGACCTATGAGGCTCGCTCGGAGAGGCAAATGAGCCACAATCAAAACCCGGTAGGATGAAGGTTAGTCAGGGATAGTCTCCACAATACATGACTTGTTTTTTGAATTATTTACATCGTTGGTCATTGGTAGAGCATTTCAACCATGCTGACCCCGTAGTAATCCAGCCAGTTGTTTTTTGGGTTGTTTTTCTTTCTGGGTTTCTGGGGTTGAATATGGGGTCAATATGATCGGCTTTGAGTTCCGCGAGTCGAAGTCGATCGATTTTACCGGCGGCTCCATTGAAACGATGGGATTCCGCTTTTGGAGGCTCCCTTTTAAAGGGACGTGGCTCGGAAACGCTGTGAGGGCGTGTCTATTTTTTCTTCCTTTCTCCCCCTTGTTGGGTCCCGTTGTATTCCCTCAGAACTGCTTAGAGGGTATGTCTTGCTTGCTGGTTCTCAGCAGGGAATGAGAATTGGAATGACCTCAAGACAAGCCATCCCCTATGGTTTCCTTGGACGGAATCCCTAGGTTGGTTCCCAAAATTCTGGCTTGTTCCCTGTCTATGGCACCTGAAAGCTTGTTTGGATGTCGCTTCAGTCCCCCAGTTCTTGGACTTGTTGTTCCTCACATTTTGGGAGAGGATGAGTGGCGGACGTGTTTTTTTTCTTGACGGGGAACACGGGCTTGGCCAACACTTCCAAGATGGACTGTGCGTCTCAAGATAGGATTTGGAGGCTGGTCAAAAATAGGTTAACCCCAAATGGCTTGCCCTGGTAAGTGGAAACATGGACCAAAACCTGCTGTCATATCCTGGTAGTTTAATTTTGACCATACCCATTTGGACCCCGAAAAAGTGGCGCAACGGTTTTCCTTCCTGTGTTTTCCAGGTGTTATGCCGAATGGTTCCCGGAACCTGCCGGAATGCTTCCCAACAGGTTCCCCAAACCGCCCATCTGGGCAGACCTGTTGGGAAGAAAGCGGTCCAATTCCCTTGTGGCTCCCCTTACAACCACTCCAAAAAAGCTCCTAGGTCCCCCAGTAGTGCCCTTTTACCAACTTTTTGGGGGGACTACAGGAAAAAGACGGTACCCTTATTCTAACCTCTCAAATCTGGAAGACCTAGAAACCCCTTAACACCACTCCAAAACGGGCACCAACATGGAGCCCACCGGCCCACCACGGAGCCCGGAGCTACTTTTCTTGAGGAGCTGAGGGACGCCTTTGAGGAATTCTGCCCGCCGAGCCGCGACAAAGTCCTCGTGGTGGGGTGCGGCCGCTTGGACGAAATGGCAATGCCCGGGTGGGTTTCCTCTTCCCGGTGAAAGGGTGTTCAAGGAACCAACCGGACGTGCCATGGTCCAAAAAGCATGTGGTTGTTGTTGGGGAACTTTTTTTTTGGGCTTATTGTGGTTAGTGGTTGAAATCCGACCACCATACCTGCTAAAATTTAAGTTGTTGCTCCCCTTCCAACGTCAACCAAGCTCACTTCCACAGTTCTGAACTGTAGACACTTTTGAATTTTTTCAACCATCGTTCTTTTCAAAAACCCGATCGCTGTTTCCCCTGGGGTTCTGGATGGTTTTCTGGAAAGATTTGGATCCCTGGAAAAAATGGGGAAGGTACCCCTAGAATAGTGTCTGAGTTTGCTTCACATCAAGTCGGATTCATAGCATAGGCTTTGAGAAACTTCCAGAAACTTCCAAAAACAACCAGAAACTTCCAGAAACTTCCGGAAACTTCCGGAAACTTCCTGTTTCATGCTTAGTCTACACTACAAAATACCAGTCTGCTTTGGAGATGGACGCGTCCCCTCGATTTTTTTTCTTTTTTCGACCAAAAGTTCGGACTCTGGCCACTCCGCTCGATGGAAAGTGAGCAGGGATCGATCACAAGGGGTTGGCTCCGGTTGACCCGACTGTGATGCAAGTTGGGTTCTCCCCCTTTACATGGTTGTTGTTGGGACACATTTTACATTTTTGCTTAATGTGGTTTAGTGGGAAATCCCCAATTAACTGCTAAAACTTAATTTTTTGCTCCCCTTCCAACGTCAACCAAGTTTATATGGCCGGTTGACCCAACCACTTCTGTGCTACCACTTCTGTGATACGGGATTCTTTATCGTGATTCTTCTGGCAGGTTTGTCTTTTTTGTCTTTCGGAAGCCATTTTTGTATCACAGTGGTCATTTTTCCCACAGTGAAAGTGAGTCTTAAGCAACCTGATTCACCGGGATGGTCTGCCTGGTAAGAACCCTGGCCCTGAATCACCATTCTAATGATTCCTAGCAAACCATGACCGTAGCTGCCATATGTTTTTTTTTGACCATGACCCCTCTCCTGTTTTGCTTCTTTTGGCTCCCTCGATGTTCAACCAATCTTGTTATAAACTTTGCAAACACCTCTATAAGCCTCTATTCGTCGTAAACGCCTGTATAAATCTCAACAACGCTGAATTTAATTTTAATGGGGAACCGTCTCAAGAGTGGTTGGTGCAACCACTTCTATGATGGTGTCCACCACCCCAAACCGAAGCATTTTCCCCAAGGGTTTAATGGATATACAGCCACTACATAGCCACTAAAGGGTATACACCCCAAGAACACCCTGGGGCCCAGTAGCTTCGGTTTGGGGGTACTGGGGTTACCATGTTATAAATCTCCACCCAAACGATGTGCACCGGGTCCAACCACTTCAAAGTCATACCCATTTGCTCAAGTTTTTGTTTACCCCCAAGAAAACTCATTTGGGGCCCGGTCGCGAACCGGTGTGCGGGTGGGGTGGAACCATAGGTGTCCTTTTTAGGTGAGCCTGGTTTGGAAGGGTTTTCTTCCGTTTCCCAGGGAAACCCATCTATTTTTCCAAAAGGCCACCTATGGGTGGAGCCATTTGCGGCCAAAGCGGCGAGGCAACTCGGCCTTCAGTGCGGAGTTGCTGGTGGCGGGGTATGGGGACATCACCAGCATCGACATCTCCTCCGCCGCCATCGAGAAGATGCGGAAGCAGTTCCCTCAGCCGGGCCGGGCGCCCCCGGCCGACGGCTCGGGACTCGGGGCGCGCGGGGCCCGTGGTTTGTGGTGAGCCCACGTGAGTTGGAGGGCCAGTTTGCCTGCCATGGGTGCGGAAAGGGGACGGCTTTGCATGTCTTGAAGGACGGTGCTCTGCACTCTTCTTGGCAAGTGCTTTTGTCGGTCTTTGGCTCCAACAACAACAAGGTCTTTCCTAGCACACATGGCTGTGAGGTGCCCGGCACGTCCTTTGTGGGGGGGGTCGGTCCATGGGGTTGAGAAAGTTGAGAGCCCCCCGTGTTTTCCTCATGCGCTGACTGCACCCCAGGTCGGTTCCTTGGCGCATCTTCTCGGCTTTTTGGGGTCGATCGCCCCAGTTCCAGGGTCCGGTTCGGCGGGCAACAGCTTTGGCTGCTCACTCACCTCTCGCCTCAACGGGCTCATACCGGACACGGTCCAACATCCTTGCCCTTAGGTAGTTTTACACCTCAACTTGGACCAAGGCAATGTTGACCCAGGATCTAAGTAGAACCCGTCCCATCATTCGGGGGGTGGAAACCCCTCCAAAAGTGCTCTGAGTCCCTAGTAAAAGGAATTGGACACCCCCCAATAAAAATCAACCAGGGGTTTATTCATCCGGGGTCAACATTACCTTGGTCCAAGTTGAGGTGTAAGACTACCTAAGGGCAAGGATGTTGGACCGTGTCCCCATACTCCGGCAAAAGTTACCCTCCAAATGGGTGTGTCTTTTATGTGAGGTGGAAGGTACCCTTTTTGTGCTGGTTGGTAAGTTTAAAGGGAAGCCCCACGAATTCCGGGGGTCCGCTTTAACCAAAAAGAACTATCCGCCCAAATGGTGGCTGGGAAGGGACAGATATCCGCCTTTTTAAATCTGTACATGGTTTTGGCAATGTTGACCCTACATCAATCAACCCCGGTTTATTATTACCCACATTTCACCCAGGGACAGCCCCCCCCCCCCAACAGTAAACCGGGGTTGATTAATATGGGGTCAACACCAAACATGATCTACTCACCATGTAAATAATTCAAGACCGAGAGAACATACACAAAGGCAGCACACATTTTTCAACTACAGAAAGAGCCTCTAGGTCGCGCAGTAGTGCCCTTTCTCAGCCCTTTTTTTGGGGTCTTGGGTTCCCCTACTAAACTAGACCACAGAAAAAAAGGCGGCACCCTTATTCTAACCTCTCAAATCTGGGTTCTTGAGGCTTGGTACCCCCTCTTTGGTTGGTAAGGGACACCAACAGGAAACGACTGGAGGACCTCGGGGCATAGGTGTCCTTTTTGGTTGTTTTGCTCGAAAAATAGATGGGTTTCGATTCCTGGTTTACCTGGTGGTTCTTTCTCATCTACCAGGGAAACCATCTATTTCCAACCAAAAGGGACCTATCTGGGCTGTTCAAAGGTAATCCTTAATCCTTACCTGGGGTTACGCAAGGAAGGGGTTGCCTTTGTAGTGGCTTTCCTATAGGGATTATGGATTAGGATTGGCCAACCCTCCATTTTGAACAGCCCAGCCTATGCCGAGTTGGGTGGACCCCGCCCTTGGAATCCGCGAGAGACGACTCCAGCGGCAATCGGAGGCCTCACCTGGCGCGCCATGGACTGCACGCAGCTGGCTTTTGGGGCGGACAGCTTCCGCCTGGCCTGTGACAAGGCAAGGAGAGGAGTTCGTTCCGCGCGCGCGCGCGTTGTGTCTCCTTCAAAGAGGGAACCTCCCAAAGGGGGGGAGGGTCACAAAAAAAAGGACTTCTACAGTGTGAGCGCCTCGCTTTGCCCCTTTTAAAGAGGAAACCTCCAAAACTTCGATTTGCTGAAAGGCGTATTTTTGGGAACCTCCGAAGTGGGGGCCAAAACCTCTATTTGCTGAAAGGCATAGGTTTGGGAACCTCCTAAGGGGGGGGGGTCACAAAAAAAGGACTTCTATTTGCTGAAAGGTTTTTTTTTGGCGGGGGGGCTTGAGCAAATGGAAGAAAAGGGGGGGGGCTCACCAAAAAAGGCAGTTGTTCGGCTTTCTCCAAAGAAGCGGCTTTCCGTTTGCATTTCTCCCAATTCTTGGGGGGATCGTTTTAGTGGTGGTGCCCACTAAATTTATCAACTCTTGAATTGTGGAGATCCAGTGCCAGTGGAAGGAGGGTGTCAAAGTAGGCTGGCGGGAGTGGGGGGCTCACAAAAGGCAAACTTATCGGGCTTTTCTCCCAAGAACGGCGGTGTTCCGTTTGGTTTCCATTTGCAGAAAGGAGCAATTCCTTGCATTTTCCCCTGTTGGTGTTGAAGGGAATCGATTTCACTGCCACTGTTCTTGGATCGAGTTTCTTTTTTTTTACTTGGTTTTTCCGTCCTGTTCTTTTTAAAAGGGGGCTGCAAAAAGCCTGTAAAGGGAACCTCCAAACGGGGGGATCGTTTTTGGTGGAAACCGCCAGTAAAAATGGATCAACTTATCCATAGAACGCACCGAAATGAAGCCAAGGAAGCCATTCCAGGTTTGTTGGTATTTTGCGTTGGGGGGATCGAACAACAGACACCCGTGAGTTTCTTAGAACGGTGGTGCGAAACGGATGGATTTCGCAAGCATCCACAGTCATGGAGGGGAAGGTGGAAGGCGGAGAGTGCAGAGGTTGTCAAGAGGACATTTTGAAAAGGCGGGGCAGGGGCTCCCATTTTTGGAAACCTACCCTCCCATCAAATAATTGATTCACATGCAACCTGACAAGTTTTTACCATGTGCGGTCATCCAAGGCAATTGTCGGACTTGTGGTTTGGAGGTTTGCAGCTTTCCACTCGGAGATTTTCGGTTTGGCGACGGGTCCTGGGCGTGCCCACACTTGGATGAAAGGGCTCGCACGGGCCCGGTGTCCAATTCGGATTTGCTTTAGAGGGAGCCAGACTCAACACTACCAAGAGTGCAAGCACATGCTAGTCAACCCAATCCTAAACGGCCTCGGTGTTTTGAGTTCTGTGGCCACCTTTTTTGAGGGCGGTTTGAGCGGCCCGCCCGACCGACCCCAATCCGCGCAGGGGGTAAGCTGACTGGCTCGTTTTCAGTCCAACCCGGGGCGCGGGTTGGACCGGGTCCCGGTTTGCAGGTTTGCAGGGCCACAGTCTGCGTAGGTGTCAAAGTAGGGGCTCACGACAAAACGGCCATTTTTGGGCCCTTCAAAAACGGCGGAGTTTTCCCTTTGGAACTTCCCGAAACCAGTTTCCCAAAAGCGGGGCGACCTTTCGCCTCCAAAGAATTCACTGCCAGGGGACCTTGGATGCCTTGATGAGCGGCGCAAGGGATTCGGCCCAGCAGATGGTCAGGGAAGTGTGGCGGGTGCTGGACCGGCAGCGGCTCGTGTTTTTTTTTCCTTTGTTTTTCTCCTTCCTTTGTCCTCTTCTGTTTTCTTTGTTTTCTTCTTTTTTTTATGTTTCTTTTTTTTTTGTTTTTTTTTCCGGTGACCTTCAGTGGTCAGGTAAACCTTAATTGGTGGTGTAGATTGGTTGGGGATTTGAACGGGTCCCTGGCTTGTGTAGAGTGTAAATGGGAAACCACCCCGGAACCTCCAGTGGGTTCAGGTAAACCTTTGGTTGGCGGTTTGCATTGGTTTGGATTCGGGGCTGAACGGGTCCCCGGTTCTTGCAGAGGGTGACTAAATGGTTGAAACCGGCCAGGAACCCCATCCAAACCGTCAGAGGGAAGCTGAAGTGGGAAGCTGAAGCCTGTTTTCTTTTCCTCGAGAAAGGCTTCCCTTGACAACCAACAAGAAGACTTCCTTTGGCCACTGGTCTTCAGATACCCATTCAGAGCGGCAAGAGGAGCCATGCCAGCCTAACGCTTAGGGCCCCTAGGACCAGCAAGAGTTACCCTCCCATGGCGCTTTTTGTGAGTTGCGCGTTGAATCAGCATTGGATTTGGTCGCCGCTTTTCGATGATTGATCGCCCAATTTTGAGCTGCCCAAATAAGAGTATCCCAAAACAGGGCGACCCTCTTGTTTGGCCGATACGAAACCAACATAAATGAGGTAAACAAATCATCTTGACCTAGTTGCACTCGTCTCAGCCCAATTTCTTTGAAGCTTGTTTTGGGCATTAGACCCTTCCCGTGGTTGTCGAGGGACGGGTTTTGATTTCAACTTCGAAGCTGCCTTAGCGAAAAGTTGGAACAATATTTACCCATTTCGGGCTCCAAACGTTGAAAGCAAATTACTAGAACCATGCTTGGCGGAAAGAAATCACAGACAGAGACACCTGGAAGAAGAGACAGCTGATTGGGAACTTTTCGGGACCCCATTTTTTGAGGTTGAACCTATTTTGGAACAGGCACAACTGTACCCCATTTCGGCTTTTCCACCTTTGACAAAATGGATATGCTTTTAGGATTTGGATCTTTAACATGTGGGTCTCTTTTCGGTTTTCCTTCAATGAAGACCCACAAAAAAGGCGCACCGAGCCTCAAGAAAGACCTCTCCGCATTTTGAGACAACCCGTCAGATTCTCAGAGCTAGATTCTGGAGCCCAACTGCAGGAGCACAACCCCCAAACAAATCAACCAGTTGTTCCCCAGATGGCTGAAAGCTATAGGGCTTCCAACTTCTAATAAAGAGGGGAAAGTGATTTGCGAGATTGACGGCTGGGTGCTAGGGGGCGTGCAGTTGGTGGGGCAGATGTTGTTAGGTTGTGGGATCAACAAATAATATCTGGGGTGAGCAAGAGTTGCCCTCCCAAGGTGCCTGGATCGCGAGTTGCGATCGCTTTTTTCCATCTACTTCACCATCCAAAAACCAGCACCAGTGACTGAAAAAAAAAGCGATCGCAACTTGGCTATCTAGGTGGGTGGTGCCTTCTTCTCTTTTTTGTCAGGTTCTTGTTCTTGTTTTTGAAGAGCAAATCGTACCTGAGGTCAACAAACACGAACGCCAGGCCCAGGGGGGCGCCTTGTTTGTATCAGGAGCCGGGGGGCTTCTTCGTCCTGGTCTCCCACAGCGGCCGGCGCTTGCCGCTGCTCCGCGAGAGCCTCGGCGAAGCGGGAGGCGCCTGGCGCTGCCTGGAGCGGCGCAAGGCGCGGCTCTCGCCGCAGGCGGGGGGGGGGGGGCCCGGAGGTTCGGGGGGCGGCCGGGGGCTGAAGGGCTGGGGGGGAGCTCTCCGAAGCTTTTGGCCCAACCCATGGTTTTGTCCCGCTTTTTCCGGTGGTTTAACTAGGTCCCCCAGCAATTGGTGCCCTTTTTTATCGTTTCTTTTTTTGGGGGTTTGGTTCCCCTACTAAGATAGTCTACGGAAGAAAGGGCACCGGATGACCTAGTTAAGAATATGTTCTATTGTCCCCTGTTAGTTTTAACGGGACTCGATTTCACTACTGGACCTTCCTTTTTCCAGGGGGCGAAAAAGCAAATGGAAGGCTTTCGCGGCCTGCACCCCCATAAGCCATCATAGTAACATGGAGGTGTAATTCGGGTTCCTTGCCCCCCATCGCAAGAATGGCCCTGGGGCCCAATTCGGATGATGAAGTTCCTGAACGGTAAATCATGGGCGGCGACTTTTTCACCCCTTTGATTTTCATGGTGGTAACTGAACCCCAGAATAAAGGTGGGAATCCTGTTCGACGTACTGTGGAGGGTCACACGATGTTACGCGACTCGCATTCGTGAAACCATGGTTGAAACCATAAGGTTGGTTGGTATATACGTTGGGAAATCAAATTATTCCAGGGTTTCTTAACGGTGGTGCAGGATTTCGTCCATCCACAGGAAGCCCCAAAACGGTTCATTCCCAGCACCCGGACTCGCTCATTCCCTACCCATCGCACCAGCAACATGGTTTTGCCCCCTGAGAATGAAACGTCCCAGTAAGACTGTAATTAGTTGCGAAATCCATCCGTTTCGCACCAACGTTCAAAGAAACCCACGAGTCAATAAATTCCAACAAACGTTGTGGTTTCAATTTCTTGAATCCACAGTATGGCGAGTAAACAAACCACAAGCTATGGTGGAATTTGCATTGGGTTTTCCTTCCCTACTTGCAATATGAATGGTGGGCATCCACCATTCCTCTGCCTATTTGATGGCAAGCGCGCCGATGGGGAGAAACAACAACACACCGGGATGCAGGGCCTTCGCTGGGGGATTCATGGCTTTACTTCAAGTTTTGAGTTTATTGTACATTTTGGAGATTCCTGTATGAAGCAGGCATAGGTGTCCTTTTTGGTTGTTTTGCTCGAAAAATCGAGGGCGATTCCTGGTTTGCCTGGTGGTTTTTTCTCATCTACCAGGGAAACCCATCTATTTCCCCTAAAAGGACACCTGTGGAAGCAGGTCAGAGAGGTAGGTTGTTGGGAATTGATGTTCACTACCTGGCTCCTCTTGGATTCCAATAGATTCCTCTTGCGTGGTTCGATTGCTTTTCCCGCGTCCCCTGTTTCGGTTTGAGAGAATCTTGTCATTTGACAGGTTCACTGTTTTCTTCTTCTTATTTTTGTATATTATAAACATTTGTTTATATATGTATATACAAATAAACATGTTTTTTGCACGTAGGCTTCAGTTGTTCGGTGGGTTCCACCCTCCAAGTTCCATTGCGTTCGGGCTTGAGACCCACGAAAATGGGTCAACCCCTCAAAGGACACCACTTTGGTGCATTTTGCCAAGGGATGATAGGACTGTGCCAACGAATGGGTTTCCGAATTAAACCACTAAAAGTTTTAAACTTTTAGCAGGGGAGCAGAAAGCAACCGAGTCCACGTCCTCTACCGGGGTCACGGGCTAGCTGGTCTTTGGTATTTGGCTCCCTTGGAGCCACTCCGATGGACAAACATCGACCAGAAACACCAGTTGGGATCGGTGGTCTATGCTAGTATTCATAGGGCTTCTTGCAACTACTGTAGCACGAAATCGATTTTGTACAGTAGTAAGGGCAAGGGTGTCCGTTTTGGGTCACTTTGGTTCGCAATGGAGACTGCCTAGATAGCCAAGTTGCGATCGATTTTTTCAGTCACGGTTGTTGGTTTTTGGATGGTAAAGTAGATGGAAAAAAGCGAACATACAACTGGATCGATCCAGGTGGATTCCGTTTGGTTCTGGTTGGATCTTTAGACTTTAATCATTTGGGAAATCAAGTTGGGTTTCTACTAAACCCCCAAAAAGTTGTCCACTTTTTGCAGGGGGGTCGTTGCAGCAACCAAGGATTAATCATCCGCCACTGCCATCCATTTCCCAAAAGACACCTAGGTCAAGGGCCCTGAGTCAACCTGAAGGGGATTTAATTTGGTAGTTCGACGTTCGGATCGTTTTTTTGGGAGGAATCGTTCCGAACGGAACCCGAACGACATGGAGCTGGAAATTTATAGAGGTGTTGGCCGTGTCTTTTTCAGGTTCGATTGGTTAGAAACTTCCCCAGAATTAGCTCCTCTTTTTCCTTTTTTGTTTTTTTGGGGTCCCCTGTGTTTTCCACTAACCAGGCAAAAAAGACATTTCTTTGCTGGGGTCCTATTTCCAGCCTAGGAACTAGATGGGTTCCACTATATGGTTTAGATTGCGCTTATGGCCTCATTGGCCAGGACAAAAACACCCGATCTAAAGTTTCTCCAAAAGGCCAAGGGTTTTGGCGAACTTGCTGTAGATCCCAAGACCTGACCCTGCTTTGCTTACTGAAGGTCCTTGTCCAGGTGGGCGAAATGGGCTTCCTGGTCCATTTGGGAGGGACTCTTGGGGAGCCCTTGCCAGAGCCGAAGAACGCCGACGGAGTCTTTGCGATTGCGTTGGATCTTCAGACGTTGAGCTTTTTGGTTAAACTCATGTTGGTGTTCCATTGAACCCACAAAGAGTTTTAAGTTTTTTGCGGAGGGGTCAACAGCAACCAAAGATTTGTCCACCTCTCAGACTAGTGCATGGTTGTTGTTGGGAAACATTTTACATGTTTGCTTATTGTGGTTTAGTGGTTGAAATCCCCACCTATCTGCCTAAAAGACATTTGTTGCTCCCCTTCCGACGTCAACCAAGAGTGTGTTGCCAACTAATGGGTTCTCCATGAAATCATTAAAAGTTAAACTTTTAGCAGGGCTTCGCAGAAAGCAACCGAGAAGTAGGGGTGTCTCTTCCTACCTGGATCCCCAAGTAGCCACGTTTTTCCAGCCACTTTCCCCACTAGTAGCCAATTATTTGGTAAAAGTAGCTGGAAAAGAAGGGCCACTGGGGATCCCCCTCTCAGACTAGTAAGTGGGGGTGTCTCTTCCTAGGCTCGAATTCCGCCGTGTCTGCAAAAGCGCAGGCCACCTTCATCAACGCGCTGCGTGCGTCGCTGGCGCCGGGACGGCCGCTGGCGGAGGCATTCCAAAATCCGGAGGCGGGGGGTGGCCTCACGAGAGCAAGGCCCTGGGTTCTGCGAAAATGGGTTCAACATGACGGTGTCCCTTCTGTGGATGGACGAACTCTGTCATGTTGAAAAGGGACACCAAAGGCAAAACCCACCATATTTGCTTTTTTTCCCCTGTCCAGGAACTTGCGGAGTGAGCCTGCTGGCCCAAACAAGTTGTTTGACAATGGCACCAAGTGCCTTGCCCTTTGGGGGGAGGGGGTTGGCAGGGCATGGCATCCTGAGATCCTCTGAAAAAGCATACTGTGGATGGTTGCGAAATCCATGTCGCGCCACCTTGCAACCATGGTTGAAACCATAAGGTTGGTTGGTATGTACAAGTTTTTTTCTTCCATCCGCACAGCCGCAAAGCATGTTTAAACAACTGTCAAGGATTCAACTATCACTCCCAGTGCCTCCAGGCAAGCCACTTAGGTAACCAGGGGAAGCCATGTAAAAGATGGAGGTAAGGATTGGTTCCCTACCGTTGGATCCCTTTCGCAGCGCCTGAGGACTTCTTTCCGATGATTCCCCCGATGCCAACAAGCAATGGTTTCAACCATGGTTTCAAAAGTTGGGCGAATGGATTTCGTGCATCCACAGTACTACACAGCATGTTTAAAGAGTCGACCCTGGGTAAGCCGAATCTTGGCGGTTCCTGGGCGTGCCGTTTGTTTTTTGGTGTTTGTAGTTGGTGCAGTGGTTGAGTTTCCGTATTCAACCCACTAGAAGTCAATGAAACTTGTAGCCGGGGATCCCAAAAAGGAGAGAAATGGGAAGTTCTTTGGACAGGGTGTTACCACAGGCTGTTCCCAAGTTAAACTCTCAGCAGGGCATCCGAAAGCAACCAACCCTTCTCTTTCTCTGTTCTTTCTCTCTTTCTCTCTGGTTGTTTCGTTGGGCAAGGTGTTTGAGCTCCCAGTAAGCAGCCAGCCAGCCGTTGTTTTTTGGGCTGAGCTCCCCTGGAGCTCAGCTTGAGCCGCTCAGTCGCCCGGAGGTGCTGCAGAAAGCCGCGGAGGATGCCCGGGCGGCGCTGAAGCTCAGCGAATAGAGCAGAGAGGTCACGTGAGCCACGTGCTCAAAACCTGGGTAGATGAAGCTTAGTAAGGGAAAGACCCAGCCGGAAATAGTTGCGGACATCCGCCTTTCTAATTCTTTATGGGTCACCATTTCTGTACCAGGTTTTGATTGTGACTCACGTCCTCTCGGGCGGTGGGCGTGTGATGCTCTTCACACAAGCAGCCAAGTGCAATGCTCCAAAACTGCATGTCTCACTGAATCTACAGAAAGGCATCGGGCATCAGGAGTGTGTGTTGGGTTCACTTGCTTGGCGGCTTGTGAAGGCCATCCAGGACCCATCAGTCAGGTTTCATGTTAGTGGGAGGGTATTTTGTTGTCTTGCTCCCGAAGGCCATCCGGTTGAACTTAGTTTCTTTGATCCTTTGAGTGTTTAGTGGGGGGTTTCCATTTACCCCGCTAAAAGTTTAAGCTTTCGGCGGGGGATCTGAGGACAGCTCAGAAAGTATCCACCCTATTTCAAGACACACAACAAACTGGCTTCAGTCCTCCTGTTGGTTTCCCTGGCAAAAACTACAAACAAGACAGGTACCCCTTTCAACAATTGCCACACGGCCTTCATTTAGAGACAAGCTTCTGAGGAAGAGGATGGCCTTCCTGGACGCGTTTCGGCTCTTCAAAGCCAGGCACGGGTTCGAGTTCGAGCGGTGGAGGGAAGCCGGAACTTGAGCTGGATGCGGCAACCCCCGAAGAATCTCCCGGTTCCAGGTGTTGCCATGTCCTTTGGGCAGGTGAGCAGATAGAATAGTAAGGTTTTATTTAGAAGCCCCCCAACAATCTCCTTTTGGATGCCCTTGGTGGTTTCCAACCAAACGGGATGGATTGGGATTGGCTTCAACACTCCATTTTGGAACAGCCTAGATAGGGGTGGCCGCATCGCGCACGCTTAGGAAGCGGGGCGCGAGAAAGGACGCGGACGCGGAGGAGAAGGAGGTGGAGTCAGAGGAGGCGCGGGTTCGGCGACCACACGGCGGAGAAAGAAAAGGAAGTCCAGGTGGGTTGCCCTATTTCACCCACCTAATGTTGACCCCCCCATCAATCAACCCCAATGTATTTTTTGGGGGTGTGGGTGAAATGTGGGGAATTATCACTTTTGGAGGGGAATACCTTCTATGAATAAACTGGGGTTGATTACTAGGGGGTCAACATTACAAAAGGAAACCCTTTAACGGGTCAAGCAGGCGGTTTCCACCAACAACCCAGCTTCTAGTGGACATCCTTCCTTAAGCCCTGTTTACCCCTCTTGGCCGGGGAAGAGAAGAGAATAGGAAAGACCCAACCCGTCAGGTGGTTTGGGTTGCTGGCTTGGGGGTACAAGAAGGGAAACCCCGCCCGAAACACCCAAACAACACCGGGCTCCAAATCACCAATGAGGGCTGAAAATCCTGAGTCGAAGATTTCTTACCCCTTTTGGTGCGTATTTTAAGGGGGTCAAAAGGAAGGCTGGGGCCTTTGGTGGACATCGTTTGGGATTTCTGTCCAAATGCTTTCAAGGGAGTTCCTCATCTTAGAAATTGCATTTTGAAGGCTGCATGTCAGAGCAGGATCCTCTTCTTGAAACATGTTTACCTTCGTGCTTCCCAGCCGTCCCCTTAGTTTTTTTGTTTTTAGTTGGTTCAGTGAAGAATCCATGTGGCCCACTAAAAGTTAGTCACTGTTAGCAGGGGATCTGAAAACGGACAGCCCAGATACGTAAGTGTGTCCATGGTCCATGACGGCACGCACCATCTCAAGAAGCATCATCTGACGACGGGTATGTTCGGGAACCCTGCAATCATGGGATACCCTCAGAAGAGACACTTTGGGCTATGAATGTGACTAGAGAATCACCTGAAAAGTGGTTGATGGACATAAATCCCAACCTAAATGATGTCCGCCAAAGGGCTTTCAAATGAAATCATACCCGTTTGGTGTACTCCCGAGTTGGGCCCAGCATTGCGCCCGAGGGGGGGCCTTTTTTTTGCCGAAGGTGGGGATTTGATTGATCTGGTCTAGAAGGCGTTGCCAGATTTTTGCGCGCCTTTCTTTCTGTATCCTTTTTGCCTTCTTGAGCTTCATGCCCAATCCCAAGCAACTGACTCGCCCACGGGAGATAGGATCGGGCAGCAGCCGCGTTTTTTGTTTGTTTTCTTCTTCTTTCCTCGGGATTTTTGCGGAGTCCCAAGGTTGGGTCAGATCCAAAGTTGGCTATCCGGCAGGAGCCGGAGGGCGAGAAGTCGCGGCTCCAGCCTTTCTGCTCCCTGGACGTTTTTGCGAGGTTCGAGAAGTCGGGTTTAAGTTGGTTTGGTTTGTATGCTGGTTGGGTTTACTGGTTTCTTTGTATGTCGGTTTGTATGCTGTTTGTTTGTTTGTTTGTTTGTTTGTTTTTTTGTTTGTTTGTATGTTGTTTGTGTGGTTGGGTTTATGTTGGTTGCTTGTTTTGGTTTGGTTTGGTGGGTTTGCAGCCCCCGAAGCTGGATTTCGAGACCACGGAAAGCAGCAATGGGGCGAGCTGTCTCGGTATCCTCTGAACAGAACACCTAGCGGAGCTACCAGGAGGTGTGTGAGGACAGAGGGGCGAGCCTGAAAACAAAAGGTAGGGAAAACAGACTCGCAGTTGTAGTCTCCGTGGCTCGCGGGAACTGGGACTGGATCCCTAGTGGTTGTTATTCCTTTCAAGGGTTCTCACGATTGCTTTTGGTGGCTGATTGATTGGTTGATTGATTGGTTGGCTGGAAGGGTCCAGGTTGCAATTGAACCCCCAGGGCACCAGTTAGATCAAGGAGCCCTTGGTCGGTTTGGGGATTTGAACCCCAGTTTCTTTAGAAACCAAATGGTGGAGGTGCCTAAAGTCCAATCCACCTGCCCAAACCTTCAGTTACGGATAAGGTGATTTTGTCAAGTGTCATTTTGAGGGTAACGCAGTGTCCTTCCCCCTTTTGAATCAGCCGGAGAGGTGTTTTTTCTCCCCTTTCTCGGCCTGCACCCCGGTAAACCACAAGGTAACATGCAGGTGAAGTAACGGGATTTGTTGGGGAAAACAGCGTCTCCTTTTTTGAATTCTAGGGGTTGATTCCCCATTGTTTTCAACTATTGTTCTTTTCAAAAACCGGCTGTTTCCCCTGGGTTTTTGATGGTTTCCTGAAAAGAAGGATCCCTGGAAAGAATGGGGAAAGTACCCCTAGATAAATGTATTGCCCCCCATTAAAGGAATGGCCTTGGGACCCAATTTGGATGATTAATTTTCTGAACAGTAAATCATGAGTGGTTATGTTTAATCATCGAAATCACCACACCATTTGGAGTGAAGCGATCAGCCGTACCCTGTTTGGGGTCGGTTTAAAGGAGAACCAAAGGGACACCAACCAAAGGGACACCAACCCTTTTTGGGGTATCAAACAAGTACACAGCCAAATGAATCACAAAGTTTACCTGCAGGCGGTACACTCGCTTTGCCGGGCTCAGGTTGGATTTACGTGCTGCGCAAAGTGAGCAGTGCGGAGCCAGGTTCTCTTTAGGGAGAAATTCGGCGCCCGCCCGCTGCGCGGGTTCATTTTTTGTGAGGCTCGGTGATCGTTTTGGGGTTGTTTTAAAGGGAAGCCAAGAGGAAACTCACAACATCTGGCTATGCATTTTAATGAGGAACTCCCTGAATAGTGCTTGGTGGACGTCAATCCCCACCTAAACGATGTCCACCAATGCCCCTAAATACAAATCATACCCATTTTTGGGGGTCCCCGGCAAAAACAGTCAAGACGCGCCACCGATGTCCTTTTTCGTTAGGCCGGCTTTTTAGTCTTCACAAACCTTAGATGTCCCCTGGAAGTCTCTTAAATGTTGATCACTCATATTTGAACAGAGTCGGAACACATTTTTTTTGGAGCACCCCTGTCTAGCCAAGGGACCGGCCCCTCCTTGCCTTCTTGCTCCCAGGTCCTCTGGTTGACAAAGGTATGTTTCCCACCTTCTTCTTTTGCAGTTTGGAGCATCACCTTTGGCCCATGGAGTCAGTTTCCCTTGAGCTTGGAGTCATCCTTTTTGCGGGGAGGTATATGGAACCCTGAATCAGGTACCCCCCAAATTGCAGCACTTCAACCGCGCGATCTTTAGGGCCTGCCCCCCGCAGTGGCTTTGCAAGAATAAGGCGAACCGAACCTCAGGTTTGCCCTGAAAAGAGGGTGGCTCCCAGCGAATCGTCCGGTAGGTTAGGTTTGTGCTTGTTTTAGTTGGTTTAGTATTTGTTAGCGGTTGGCTTTCCGTTTAACCCACTAACAGTAAACGGAAACTAAGAAAGTGAAACGCCAGCATGACAAGGCCTTTGGACCAGATGAAAACGAAGAAGGATACCCAATATGCAATTCAAGAGGCTGGAGGGTAGTCTTTGAATCAGCCTTGTGTGGCGCCTATTGCCCCCCCCCCCTCCCAAAGGTCCACAATTGGGAGAGGCCTTTCTTTTGCACCCGAAGGAATCTATTCCTAAGAACCTCTTCATTCGGAAGGTTCCAAGAACCTTCCCTTGGCGCTGGAGGCTAAAACTGTCCTTTGGTTTGTCTCCCTAGTTGGTGGACCTACTTTTTTGTTACCCTATTCTTTTGCCCTTCGGCTGCTTCCCTCACCCTCCATTTGCTTAAGACTATTTCTTATTTTCCCTTGTTGGTTTTAAAATTGGAGTTCGTGACTGTTTTTTTTCCGGGGGGTCTTAAGCAAATGGAAGTCACGCGGCTTGACTCATCTCCATCCGAGCCATTTGGCCTCAAGCTTCCGCTTGACTTCGCGCGCTTCGGCGACCTTCTGCTGCGGCTTCTTCCAATCCCTTGCGACTGGAGATGACGGAGAACCTGAGCGTGGCTCGGACTCGTTCAGTGGCACCCTGTTTCTTTTCCTTCTCTTTTTTGGTGGCTGCCCCACTAAAACTGGTCTTCCCAAAAAAGAATCGGTTCCCTTTTTCTTTGTGGTTGCCCTAAAAATTATCCAAGTCTTCCCAAAAAAGAATCGGTTCCCTTTTTTTTGGTGGCTGCCCTAAAAATTATCCAAGTCTTCCCCAAAAAATCATCGGTTCCTTTTTTTTGGTGGCTGTCAAAAATAATTCTCCAAGTCTTCCCAAAGAATACTTTTTTTTGGTTTTCTCTTTTTCTTTTTTTTCCAGGGTCACTGGTCACGAGGTGGGTATGCGGCTCCATGCCATGTACAAGGGCGACAGCGAGTACTACCCCGCGCAGATCACCAACATCAACAACAACAAGGGCTTGAAGAAGAAGAGGACCGAGCCAAGCCGTCAAAAAGCGTGGCACCTCCTGCGTGCACCGTTGTTTGTTCCTTACGGAGACGTAGGACAGATCGATCCAAGCAGTCACAAATTCGTGGCACCTCCGAACTTGGTGCACCTTTTTTTTGCAGACGTAGGATCATTACGTGGGATAAAGGTGGTCAGAGAGAGTGGAATTAGCCCTACACCAAGTCATAAAGGTGTCATGTTGCTCTCCTTTTGACATGGGCGCTTTCCGTGTTCGCCGACGTTTTGTAGCCAAACACTTCCAAGCCATTGGTTTACTTGAGCCCGTCTGCACCTTCGGGTTAACACAGGCAGGGTTAAAGAACTGGGGTCCTTACTCTTGTCAACCGCAGAGGGTCTCCAAGGATGAACCCAAAACATCGCCTTCTCAACAGTAGGCGGTTAGCGAGCGCTAATGATTTCGCTTTGACTTAACTTACATGACAGGATGGACACGTTTAAACCACTATGGTTTCTATGGTTTTACACTTTTCTTTTGGTTTGCCAAAGGGAACCAGGATTCAGGTGTTAACACCAACTTTTGCCCTAGTCACCTTCTGCAAACGTCACTCTCAATTGCCTTAGCGGCTAGCAACTAGTCCAATCCAAACACGTGGGATCGATTCCCTTGTTGCGTGCAGCCAATCGAAGGGAATGCATTTCGAGGGCTCCAATTCATCAGTTGAAACCGAGTTGTCCATGTGCTTAAGAATATGTTCTTATGTGCCCTTGTTGGTTTTACAGATTTCACTACTGGCCAACTTGTTCTCATGTTTTCTCCAGGGGGCGAAACAAGAAAAGCAAAAAAAACACCAAAACACCGACAAACAACGCAAAAACAACGGATGGCAGGAGTTGGGGATTTTTTGAACTGGGCCCTTCCCCCCAAAGCAAACAACAACGGCGGCGTTTTGGACCGCGTTGAAAGGGAAGACCCCGGAGACCCCGGGGCCTCCAGCGCCTGGATGGGTTTCCTTGGGCTGGCGTGGTGTCGGAGCAGTTTTTTCGGTCGGTTGCTGCCCACTTCTTCTCACCAAAAAAAGTCGTGGAAAGCCAAACGGTTTTTTGGGCCCATGTCCCAAAACGAGATTCCCCCCGAAAGAACAGATGAGGGTCAGTTTCTCCTTAGCGGACTTTCTGCGCCTTTTCCAGGACGCCAGTGAAGGTGCACTACATGGGCTATGGAGAGGAGGACTGGGAAGTGATGGCATAGGTGTTTTTTGTTGGTTGTGTTGCTAGAAAAATAGTTCGAGCGATTCCTGGTTTACCTGGTAGTTTATTCATCTACCAGGGAAACCCATCTATTTCCAACCTAAAAGGACATCTATGAGTGACGGCCGCGGCTCATGCCCCGAGTTTCTGTTTTGAACGAAAGGGCCTGGAGTCTGGCCACCAGGAGCCTCTGGCATCCGACGCAAGAGGTGGGCAAACTCAGTTTAACGCTTAGGCTGGCTGGTAGATAAAACTAGGTCCCCCAGCTAGGTGCCCTTCTCTCCCCTTTTTTTGGTTGGGAGGGTTCCCCTACTAAAAGAGACTACAGAAAAAAATCGGGCACCCTTATTCTATCCTCTCTACTGGAGGACCTAGATGAAACATGAAAAAGAGTCCTGCTAGGGACCAAGCCCGCGCCAATCCACTCGATCAGTGGGAAGGAGTTGCTTCTCCCCTGCAATGCCTTAAAAAACCTCCCTGAACACGGTGTTCAAGGAGTGACTCATTGGGAAAGACCATTCGGAGCTTTAAGTATTCTTTTGAGGACACCTTTGTAAGGGTATCAAAAGGAGGTACCTCGATCGCCAGTTGCGATCGTTTTTTGTTTGTTTTTTGTTTTCCCATGCACTTTAGCCCAAACAACCAGCAACAGTGACTGAAAAAAGCGATCGCAGCTTGGCTATCTAGGTACCTTTGTAAGGGCGCCAAAAGGACACTGCACCATTTTCAAGGTCCCTTGCGGTGTCAGCGGTCCTTGCGGTGTCGAACTCGGCCCAAAGAAAGGTCGCACCCCGACCAATCAAGGCCAGCCGAAATTGACGCGTTTCGTGGGCGCGATCTCCGAATGGTGGCGAAAGCTCTTGGGTTGTACTAGGTCCCACAGTAGGGCCCTTTTACCCAGCCAGGTGCCCCAGCTAGGTGCCCTTTCTCAGCACTTTTTTTGGGTTTGGGTTCCCCTACTAAATAGACTACGGAAAAAAAAGGGCACCCTTATTAACCGGAGGAACTAGTTGGTGATAGTTTGGGGTCTCCTTCCGTGTTGTTTTTACTCACCATATTATGGTTCTTGCAGTACTTCATGTGGAAGATTGTCATGTCGCGCCATCTAAGAAACGACGGCTGAAGCTATTGTTTGTCGATATTTACAGGAGAATCAGCAGAAACAGGGTTTCTGAACGGTGTCGCGAAATGGATGTCGCAACCATCCACAGTATGTGCGCCAAGTTTTATAATAGAACCCCCCCCCCCCCCACTTGGAGAAATCTGTCAAAGGTTGATTGTAAAGGTCCATATATGAACCCTTGGCCGTGTTGGACCCGTTGGAGGCTGATTTCCCGCAATTAAGCCACAAGTAACCTGTAATTCACCCATAGACTAGGGTTTCATACCAGGGGTTCATATATGGACGCATACTTTCAGCCTTTGAATCTGGATAGCCCACAACCTCAGCATCCGATCGATTTCTGGTTTCCTCGACAAGGAGTCTCCGGGGGGTGAAGGAACGCTCTTTCGCATGTTGCCCCCATGTTTTTCGAGAATCCAACCCATGAGGTTTGGATTGCTGGCTTGGGGGAACCCTGAATTGGCTCTTTGGATTGTTGGCTCGGGGGTTGAACTGCTGGTTCTTGTAGAGTGTAGATGGACGCCACCACCAGCACCTGCAATCCCCGGGGGGCTCCGAACCACCGAGCAGCAGCCGGGTGTTTGGGGGGCCGGCCATACCCTCGGCTTGCGTCGGACGGACGTCGGTTTGCGTCGGACGGACGCCGGTTAGCCGGAAGGAAGACGCCTGGCTGCCCCTGGACATGCTGAAGTGCAAGGCTCTCAAGGCGATTTCGGAGAAACATGGGGCGCTCTTCAAAACCCGGGTGACCAGAACCCACCCATCTTTCTATATATATATACATATATATATATATTTATATGTATATTTGTGGCTCGAGCAAAATGGGCATGAAGGTTCATATGGCCGACCAAGACTGAGAAGCCCTGGCTTCTGATGTTTCCCTTGTACATACCAACGTAGAATGGTTTCAACCATGGTTGTAAAGTGGGTGCGAGAAGCGGATGTCGCAGCCATCCCCAGGAGTTTGTTTTTTTTCTTCGGAGGATCTGAGGATGCCATGCCCTGCCAACCCCCTCCCCCCCCAAAGGGCAAAGCACATGGTGCCAGGGTCAAACAACTCATCAAGGCTAGAGGGCTCACTCCCTTGGCTCCAGGTCCTCAAAACCGATTCGGGTAAATGAAGGTTAGTAAGGGACAATCCCCTTGCCATAAATGGGTGCGGCTATCCGCCTGCCCAATTCTTCACATGGTTCTGGGTAGACCAGTTTACTACCGGGTTTTGACTGTGACTCTTTTGGGAATCTCCTGAAGCAACCAGGGGAGCAGCGTGGGAGGAGCAACCAAGGGCAGCCAGCCAGCGCAGCTGGTGATGGCGAAGCCCTGGGATAAAAGGGATCCCAAAAGGATTCGATCTCCGGGGTCTTTTCATGGAATATCGTCTTGGCGTTTAAAATTCAAAGTTCAGCCTAATCTTGCTGGTTCGATGGGCAGGGGATGAGTTGGAATGACCCCTGTGGTTTCCTTGAAGGAAATCCCGTTCCGTTTCATTCCCCAGACTACAAGGGTTTCTGCGAGAAAATCACGACGGGCCACATAAACCCCAGCGCTTGTTTTGCATGGTTTTGCCAGCCAGGCTAGGTCCCCAGTAGTGCCCTTTTGCCCCTTTTTTGGGGAGGGTTCCCCTACTAAAATAGACTACAGAAAAAAGAAATGGTACCCTTATTCTAGCCTCTCTACTGGAGGACCCAGAAGGAAATATCGCCATAGCGCGAATTGGGGGGAATTTGTTGTCACATACGATCATTTCACTGAGCTCCTGGACTAAACATATGCCCAGGTGTTTGTACTGCCTGCGTTCATAAAGGTTATAGCAAGGCTTGCAAAAACAGACACATACACCATCTTGAAGCAGAAACAGGAGTCAACGGGTTCTTGGACCTTATACATATATATATATATATATACACACCTAGATAGCCAAGTTGCTGCTTTTTTAGCCACTGTTGCTGGTTTTGGGGGTAAAGTGCATGGAAAAAATCAGCAACTGGCGATCCAGGTGTATGTATATATATATATAAATATCATACTTTGTGGGAAGACCATGAACAACGGAGAAGACCATTTTTGCTTGAGACCGTTTCGGCTGAACCGCTCCCCGGGAGCTCTTCGCTCGTCCAGGGACAGGAAGAAGCGAAGCCTGCGAAAGCTGCGGCGCCCAAGGCCAAGGCCAAGGCCAAGGCGGGCGGTCTACGCCACCGGAGCGAGTTTCGACCCATGCGCCGCATTTCTCGGGCACCGAGGGGCTGGGGGATAAAGCTCCTCATAAGGGTGTGGCTCACAATTTAAGAGCTAGGGTTACGCAGATTTTAGCCTTGGGTTCCATTTACCAAGGTGCCAACTTAGTACGTGCTTTTGAGCCACAGCCATAAAGCTTCTTATCCATTGAACTTCCAGATAGCCAAGTTGCGATCGCTTTTTGTCAGTCACTGTTGCTGGTTTTTGGCGTAAAGTGCATGAAAAAGAAGCAGCAACTGGCGATCCAGGCAACTTCAAAAATGAGGTTTCAAGGTGTCACAAGCTACATCTTTGTTAGTCTCCTTTTAAAGCTCGTTACAAGGCTTCTTGAGTGATGGGCCATTTGGGGGTTGATCTGAAGAACACCCGTTGAGGGCCCCCCCAGGTTTTTCTAGCGATCGGTGCGAAATCGGTAGGGAACGTGAAATGGAATGAACCGGAAGCGGATTCCAACTTGAAGGAAACCACCAGTGGGATGGTTTAGAAGGGTCATTCCATTTCTCATTCCCTGCTGAGAACCAGCAAGTTTTGACCGTGGGTAAGTTTGCCCATGTGGTTGACATATAGAATCTTTTTAGTGGTCTTCCAACCAACGGCCCCATGTATGTTGGACCTTTTGATCAACCCCCAGTTGGAGGGCGTCCACCCGGAAGACCTCCAAACCAACAGGAATCTGAGTCTGGGTGTCTCTTGTTTGAGCTGGTAGCTCCTTTGGTGGTGGTTTAAAGGAAACCACAAGTTGGATGAACTATAAGGAGTAATTACCCACCACTTCGGGGATGCCCCAAAAAGAAATGCACTCCCGTTTGATTGGTTCCTTGGCTGAGTAAGGCGTAGTGGAGGGGTTGTTCAATCAAAAGCGATGGAGGGCTTACCGTAATTCTGGACCTCACGACCCCTGGCCATTGTTTGTATCTTGAACACTAGAGGCTTGCTTGGCACTTCCTTGCAGCACAAAAGGGCAGAGCTGGTTTTCTCATTGGAGCCAGAATCAAAACCCGGGAGATGAAGGTTTGCAAGGCGCAGTCCCAGCCGCTTGGGTCTGGGTTCACCATTTTTGTACCAGATTTTGATACTGACTCATTTGCAATCATTTTGGATTCGGACCCCTCCGAAACGGCGGTTTCAAGGGATTTTCCTTATTTGGGTTTCCCAAAGAAGCCACCCCGAAACAGGGGCGCCCTCGGAAATAAAAGACAGCCCCTTTTTTGCTTTGGAAGCTTCCTTATTTTCTGTTTTTTCTTCTTTTCGGCCAGACACCGGTCTCCAGCTTCGGGCACCAAGTTTTTCTTCTTCCTTCTTTTTTCTCTCTGGGATTTCTTGCGGCTCTGGAAAGCTGGACGCTCCACAAACACAGTTGTTCAGTGGCAACCTTTTTTCACTTTTTGGAGGCTGCCCCACAAAAAGTGGTCTTCCCCAGAAAGGGTTCCCTTTCTTCCAGGACACTCTGAAGAAGTGACGAAATTGAAAGCTCACCGCTTGGGTGTGGGCCAAATCACCTTGACTCCGCGCGAAAAAAGGGCCGATAGACGTTCTTGCAGCTGTGGGCGCATCTCTGCCAATCCAGTTTGGGGGTGAGTTCCATCACATGGAACTCCAAACATCGTTTGCCGCGGGACCTTGGGCAACTTAGGTAAAAGAGAGCAGGGAAATGTGAGTAGTGGTTACTCCAAACACCAACTTGGAGATCTGCAACAGTTGGTGTTCAAGCTTTGTTTGGCCGATCTACTCAGGAAGTGTGGGGACCTCGGCTGGACTACCCTCTCCGTTGCCTTCTGGGGTCTTCATCAGGGTTAGACAAAACACGAGACGGAATCTGAACATATTCTTGACTGCTATGGGGTTGGATCTTTAGACTTTAACTTTTTGGGAAATCAAGGGGGTTTTCCACTAACCCCCCAAAAAGTGGTCCACCTTTTGCAGGGGGGTCGTTGCAGCAACCAAGGATTATCCCCATTCTTGTCAGCGGCCCCGAAGAGTGCCTCCAAAGAAAGAAGCTCCCAAAAGCATCCCCATTGGCCTGTAATACGCCTTAGTGTCTTCTTCCGCCTTTGTTGCGGCGGGGCCCCTAGATGGGGACCTTTGGCAACAGGAATGATTTTCCTGAAAACTATTTTTTCCACAACTCTGTCGTAGGGTAGAACGAATATGAGGTAGAGCCTGAACACATTTTCTGTGTGCAAGCCAAGTCTGTCCAAAGCGAAGCTCATGGATCTGTTCGCACCCAAACACGCCACCTCCCTTTCAACTTGGTGGCTCCCAGCCATCCGGTTCCTTAGCTTTTTAGTTGTTTGAAATTGGTTTAGTGGTACTGTAGTTTTCCGTATTTAACACAACAAGTTTTCGTCACTCTTAGCAGGGGATCTGAAATCGGGCAGCCCCCTTTCCACACCTCCAAGAATGGCCTATTTTAGTCTTTCCCAAAAACGCGCTGTGTGTTTGGGTTCAGGGCGCAAGTGATGCCTTCTGTCGCTTGCAGGCGAAGGCAAAGCCTGAAATGGACTACTCGGCCCTGGCAACTTGGACTTCTCGGAAGGTTTGGGGAGACTTGTAAACTTAAATTTGCTATCGACCAACCGGGGCTTTTCTCCATCGCAAGTTAGTTCTGAGGAACAAAGGTTGCTCAGTTTTTCACATGAATATCCAATGGAGGAAGGGGATTTTGGAGGCGCTACTCGTTTTGGTTCCCTAACTTCCATCTGCTGAAATGAATATTTTGACTCACTTTGCCCTGGGCCATAGAACATGACAAAGGGGATCCTGGTTTCCGTGTCAAGCCTTTGGTGGATTCCGTGTTTGTGGACAGGAGGGCAAGCTTCCATCTTCTGAAAGTAGTATGTTTTCATGCTGCTTTTGTTTTTCAAGTGAATCGATTTCACTGGAAATACTTGAATCCAATCCACTCGATCGGAAGTGAGTTACCCAATGATTCTCCATTTGCCTGTATAGTAGGTACTTCCAAGGGAACGTTTGCTGAAAGGAATGATTTGTTATTTGCCCTTGTTGGCTGCAAAGGAAATCGATTTCACTACTGGACATATTTTCTTTCATTTTTTCCAGGGGGCATAACGTAACTGGAAGTATATGGGTGCGGGTCAAAACCCAGATACCCTGCTTTTGGTACCCCCCCCTTTGGTTGGTCCAATTCAAAGGGAATCTTGGGGATAGGGGGGTGCCGGCATTTTTCACCCACCCGCATGGGTGTGTGGTTTTTTCAGGGTAGCCCCTTTCTGGTGGCTTGGAAAGGGAAACCAAACAAGAGAAACACATTTTTTGGCGGTGCGACCTATTTTACATCCAAACCATCGGGGATGTCCCCAGAACACAGATTACGAACCCCTATGAGGTTCGGTCACAAGACCTGTGGCAGATGACTGGTCTTGTTTTGGAAAGAAACATTGGGGGGCCGGCGCCCCATGCCGCTCGTAGTGTTCAACCACAAAAAGACGGGGACTCGGGTTGTGGGAAATTTGAGTGGCCCTCCAGGTTTGTTTTTCACAAGGCGCAAGTCTGTTGGATCGACGCATATGATGTAATTTTTAGGCCCGTGGCTTATGAGAAGCTCGCAAGAATATTGCAAGTCTAGGTCCCCCAGTAGTGTTCTTGTACCTTTTTTTTTTTGGCGGGGAGGGTTCCCCTACCAAAATAGACTACAGAAAAAAAAGGTAGCCTTATTCTAACCTCTCTAATTACTGGAGGACCTAGACAAGGTTTTCATAAGCCACGGTCAAAATGTAAGGATGGCCTGACTGGACGTTGGACACTTGGGCCCCGAGCCCCGGTTCAGTGGTTCACCTGTCGTGCTTGTCCTCGTGCTTGTCCTCGTGTTGTCGACAAATTATATCAGTTGACCGAACCTATGGGTCTGTCTCAAACATGAGGGTACTTGCATCCTAATGCTCCTTACAAGTTACCTAGATGGCCAAGTTGCGATCGCTTCTTTCAGTCACTGTTGCTGGTTTTTGGATGGCAAAGTGCATGGAAAAGAGCGATCGCAGCTGGCGATCCAGGTAGGCTTTCTTTCAATGTATCCGGCGCGGCTGCAGTTGCCAAAGATGTTCTCTTTGAGAAGCGGAAAGCCGTCCCTTGGTATTCAAAGGCGCAGCCTATTTGAGTTTGTTAGTTTCATGTCGGTTTCCTCCTAAGACAGACGCCGAGCGGTTGAAATACGTTTTGGCACATGCGCCTTCGTTCTTGATATGCTCTTTCCTCCGAAAATCAATCAAACAAGGATGCTTCCTTGTAAGGCACCCGCCAGCTAAAGCGCCGTTCCTAAAAGATGACCAACACATTTGGGGTTTGCCTTTTGGAGTGGCTTCCTTTGGTTTCTGTTTGGCCAAGTTTCTGTCATCTCCCAGCTTAGTGCCCTTTGACCCTTTTTTGGGGGAGGGTTCCCCTACTAAAATAGACCGCAGAACAAAGGGCACCCTTATTCTAACCGCTCTACTGGAGGACCTAGATCATGTTTTTCCGGCGAACCCCTCACAATGCACCGTCATATACATCGGAGGTCCATCCGACACCTTTTTCGATGCATGGGTGTGTCCTTTTTTTGTTTTACCTCGCACAAGGTGGTTGGTTTCCCCTCAAAACCACCTCGAAAAGGGGTACTATCAATGCACCTGACAGGGACCCGGTCCCTTCAAGAGGAAATTGATCTTCCAGGTACCACCCCACAGATGCCTTCTGTTAGTGGGAGGAAGGATACCCTCAAAAAACTCAAACAACCTAGATAGCCAAGTTGCTGCTTTTTTCAGTCACTGTTGCTGCACCCCCCAAGAGGTGAGTTTTCCGTTTGCACCCTCCAAGAGGTGAGTTTTCCGTTTGGAATCGGCCTTTACAAAAGCCGGGGCAATTTCCCCGCACGCCGAAGACGTCGAAAAAGCGCGCCCGCCCCGGCGCCCGGCGCCCGGCGCCCGGTTTGTCTCAGGAGAAGGGCATGCGCCTCCAGGCGGAGGCCGATGGCAAGTACTGGTCCGCCGAGGTGGTGGCGGTGTCTCTGAAGCGCCCCTCGGCTAGCTAGGTGCCGTTTTTACCGTTTCTTTTTTGGGGGGTTTGGGTTCCCCTACTAAAATAGACTACAGAAAAACGGGTACCCTTATTCTAACCTCTCTACTGGAGAACCTAGTCGGTCTTGGCGTCGCCGCGAAAGGAAGCGCCCGGGCGGTGCCTGCGGAGAAGTTGTTGTTCGGGTTTTGGGTTGCCACGGTTCGGCGATTTTCAAGTAGTGAGAAAGTTATATGGGAATGGCAGACTTCGGTATCTATGTTATTTTCAAGTTGGAACTCCCTTGAAAGTGAGAAAGTGAGAGAGTTTTTTGGCAGACTTCGGTATCTATTGCAGGGTGGGGAATCCACAACCATGTTGGCGGTCCGAAGGATGTTCACTTTACCCTGGGGCTCCAAGTCACGCTTCCTAACCGAAGGCATCTGTGGGGGGGTACCTGAAAGATCAATTTCTTCAATGGCGCCTTTGTCAGGTGCGACAAAAATCACGTTCCCAGGTGTGTTTGTTTGATTTTGACGGTGGTTTCCATTGGTCCCCTTGCTGAGGTAAATGTGGTTCTCTGTCCAAACAGAACTGCAAAATAGGTGTGTACGATTCCCTTACTTAGGATTTGCTTTTGACGGTTCATTACATAGGGACCAATATTGCTTTTTTCCTTTGGGGGGGCACAACTGAGATAGTGTTGGCTTTATGCCCAAATAGAGGAACTCCGAATGGCTACTTCTTCCTGATTGTGTTTTCTTTAAACCATTGCAGAACAGGTCCCCCGAAAATTGTTTACTTTTCTTTCGATGTTGGTGGTTTGGGGATTCAAGCGGCTTGACACCAAGTGAAAGATGCACCCTTTACCTCGAACCACCAATTGCATCTGATGTTGATCCCCCCGGCTGATTAGCAAGTGTGCACGCCATCTCGCGGATTTCCGTACTTCCATTTGCTTGAAATGAAGACATGTTCTTTTCCCTGTTGGTTTTGAAAGGGAATCGATTTCATTGCTGGACATGCAATCTTTTTTGAAGGGAATCGATTTCGCTACTGGGCATACGTTCTTTTTCAAGGGAATCGATTTCAGTGCTGGGCATATGTTCTTTCTCATTTTTCTCCCGGCCGAAACGCGAAACGCACCTGGAATCTGATGGCCCGGGTTTTTCCCCGGCGCGTTCTTGTGCAAGACCTGAGCGAACTGCGAGATCCATGGCAGAGGTTCAATCGCAAGCCATGAGAAGGCACAGGGAACTCCCAGCAACCAGCCACTTCCCTTTCGGCTCTTAAGATTAAATGCTTCCCAGCCTGGTTCCTTATATTTCCAGTGGGAACCCCAACTAAGGGTGGGAACCCCAACTAATGGGTACCATTAAAATGAAACCAAAAAAATGGGGAACCCCAACTAATTAAAACATCTCTAGGCTTTTGGTTTGGTTTGGGGTTTCCATTTCACCCCGAACTTTTGTTCGTCACTAGAGCCCACGGAGCCGGAGGGGCTGTCTCCAGGGGCTCTTGTAGTCGACCTCCGGTGGCTTTTCGAGGTCCCCCAGCGTCCCTTTTTTTGGAGTTTTGGGTTCACCTAGTAACATAGACGACAGGAAAGCTGGTACCCTGATTCCTTCCCCAGAATTAGCTCCCTTTTTTAGTTTTTTCTTTTTTCGGGGTCCCTTTTGTTTTCCACTAACCAGGCAAAAAAATATATTTCTTTGCTGGGGTCCTAGTTCCAGCCAAGATTCTTATACCCTCTTCTGGGGTTTTGGGTTCCCCTACTAAAATAGACAGGGCAAAAAAAAACGGGTACCAACTTATTCTAACCTCTCAAATCTGGAGGACCTAGATAGCCAAGTTGCGATCGCTTTTTCCAGTCACCGTTGCTGGTTTCTTGGTGGTAAAGTGCATGGGAAAGGAAAAAAAGCGAAAACGCCACTGGCTCGATCCAGGGGCCTGGTTTTGTTTTGGGCCGAGAACCAGCGGTGCTCTCCGCCCGCAACCCGCGGACACCCGACACTTGGCAGCGCCAAGCTGCCAAGCTGCCGAGGCAAGGGCGCTCCTGTGAAGGTCACCTACATTGGCTACGACAAGCAGTACGATGCGCCTGGGAACGTGGAGTTACCGAGATTTGTCATGTTGAATACATATGGCCACGGATGTTTTCAGAGTGGGGACCACCTCAAAAGTGATTGGTGGACATGAATCCCCGAACTTTGATGTCCAAAGGGTGCCTTATTCAAATTCATAGCCATGTGGGTTTGTCTCGAAGTGGTTCCTGGGGAAAACTCCAACAGATGAGTGGTTTCCGTTTTGATTTTTCCTTCCTCCCCGTCACGAGGGGCGCTCGAGAAGGACACACCAGAATTTAATTTCCTGAAATACAAGATCCCGTCCATTCTTCTCAACCATCGTTCCTTTCACAAACCGGACCCGTTTGGTTGAAACAGTGGACTTTCCATTGGACCCACAAACAAGTTAAACTTTTTGCCCAGCAACCAAGGTTATGAGACCCGCGCAAACACCAATCCATACGGATCGCTCGGCTTTTCAGCTGTTCGACGTGGTTTCCTTCATGTTCCCCCTTAACCAGGACGTCGTTTTCCTTCCTCGAGCACCGGTTCGGACTTGAGCCATGGGCTTGGTGGCCATTTCGGTGGGAATTAAACACACGCCTAGCAATCGCCAAGTCGCGATCGCTTTTTTTTGAGTCACCGGTTGCTGGTTGTTGGGGTGAAGTTCATGGAAAAAAGCGATCGCAACTGGCGATCCAGGCAGTTTGGTCACTTTTTTGGATCCAATTCACTCTGGAAGTGAGCTTCATGTATCCGCAAGTTGCTCGCCGTTTTTTGCGACCCGGTTGGCTCTGTCATGGACCCCCAAGGGGGGCTATGGGGAGGGGGGCTGTCCCGTAGTAAGCCCTGAATAAGGCCTTATTTAACCTTGGGTTCTCCTGGGCTTATGCAGAGATCGCCCCCCTCCCATCGCCCCCCGAAGATTCCATGACTCTGGCCAAGAGATCCGGAGGGGGGCTGCTACCTCGGGAAACCTCCGCCGAAGCCTCGGCCTGGGGACTCGACCTGAGGAGTGGCTCGGGGCGGACCGGCTGCGCTCCAAGGCCATCGTGCCAAAGGGCAAGGACTGGGCACCTGATGAACCCACCAGGCCGTGGCGGTCAAAACAAATGGGATCCCATTTTGGGGTATGTGCATCACCCATTTTAGTCTTTATTTTGGTGGGGATTGGGATGTTCAGTGGGGGTACCGGATTTTGACCCTGAACCGATCTTTGCTGCATTTTGCTCGGATGTGAGGACCGAACTTCAGTGGAGAACCCCACTTGATTTCAACCGAAAAGCTAAAGTCTAAAGATCCAACCCAAGAGCAGCCAAGTTCTCCCCAGAACACACACGGGCCAGGGGCTGTCCTTCTTGATGTCATGTGTTTCCTTGGCTGAAATTAGGACCCCAGCAACAAAACATATGATATGTTTTTTTTTTTGGCGAGTGGAAAACAACTTTTGGGCCCCCAAAAACAGCAAGCAAACGAGTTCCGGGGAAGGAGTCCCGGGGCAGTTCCCTGGGCCCGGAATAACGTCTTTCCTGTGGCTTCATCAGGTGCTTCTCCGGTCCTCGGTTGCTTTCCCCTGCTAAAAGTTGGACCTTTCGTGGTTTCATTCGGAAACCTTACCTCTGAAAAACACGAAACTTTTCAATGTTTTGGGTAACATGGGCTAAATGTCTGTAAAAGATTAACTTCCCCAGGGCTTGGAGTTTTAAGGGGTAAGAAACCCATGAGTTGACTGTTGGCAGAGGGGTCAACAGCAACCGAGACATCAACAAGGACAGCCCCTGGCCAATGTGTGTTCTGGAAAAAAGAGAGCTCTTTTACGGAGGGAGGTGGGCTGAAACAATGTCATGGCCAGATTGTTTGCCGAAGCTTTTTGCTCTTAGACTTTTGTTTGCTGGTTCGATGGGCAGGGATTGAGAATTGGATTGACCGCGAGAATAACCGTCCATCCGATTTTGTTTCCTTTGGGAGAATTCCAAATGGTTTATGTCCTATACCACCAGAACTACAAAACATCACTTAGGAGGTACTGTGGATGGTTGCGAACTCCATCCAACGCACCACCCACGAACACTGAACATAATGATTCGATGCTTTCTGTAAATGCCAACAGACGTTATAGTTACAACCATGGGTTCTCAGGTGGTTTAAAGGCAGAATTCACTGGGGTGGTTTCCCTTTAAGCTAGCGCTGACCGGGGGTGACTGTGATGGTGAAGAAATGGGGCCTGGTCAAGGGCAAGGTGAGCAAGTTGAGGAGACCTTGTCATGTTCATGGTTTGCCTTTTCCACTGTTTGTGGGATAAATAAGCAGCCCCCCTTGTAGTGTAGAAACCCTTTTGGAGGGAGGCTGTTCATTTCAGGGGGAATCAAACCCTTGGAATGTTGACCCCAGATTAATCAACCCCAGTTTATGAATAGGGGGGTGCCCCTGGGTGAAATTTGGGGAATCATTACTTTTGCAGGGGAACACCCCCTATGAATAAGCTGGGGTTGAGAGCAGGGTCTTTGGCATTGCTGGGTTGGTCTAACAGCCATGGTAAGCAACGTGTTTCAGATCTATTTTTTTTTGAGAGGACGGTAAGTTTTGTTTGTTTTTAAGGTTGGTTCAAAGGAAAGCCACCAGACACCGCCTTTTGGGGGGTCCCCTACAAAAAGACAGACCCATACGTGCCATGGTCAAAGCCTCCGTTTTTGGATCAAGGTCATTCCCTGAATCGGAATCCTTGCCATCGAAAATGGTGTCGCGAGAATCTATAATGTGTTCTTCATTCATCCCTATCAACTTCAAGGGAATCGTTTTCTCTACTGGAGTTATGCTGATTTTTCCAGTGGATGGAAAAGCAAATGGAGGCTTCTGATGTGGTTATCCTCCTTCCATTTTTTGGGAGGGTCCGGTTTTGTGAGTCTTTTAGGGTGCTTCAAGGGATACCAAGGGGATCTGGTGTTGTTCATTTGGCTGTGGGTCAAAATTATGTACCCAAAATGGATCCCTGGTGGCCCTGGTAAGTGGAAACATGGACCAACACCTGCGGTCCCCTGGTGGTTTAATCTTGACCCATACCCATTTTCTCTCTCTCTTTTTTCGGCGTCCAGGACGGGGGTTCTGGTGCGTCCCCGGCAGCCTTCGGGGCGGTGATGCCGATGCCTGCGAAGAAGCTGCTGCTGGTGAAGCCCAAGATCAAGGCGCCCCTGGACCCAGGCGGTGGGGTTGGGGGTTGGGCGTGGTGAGGTTGGGGGGTGAGGTTGGGGGTGGGACGGTGGGGGTGGGGGGTGGGTGGGGGGTGCCGGGGGGTGCCGGGGGGGTGCCGGGGGGGTGGGGTAGGGGTTGGGGGGGTTAAGGGGGTGGGTGGGGGGGTTGGGGGCAGGTTGGGGATGGAGGTGGGGGTTGGGAGGGTGGGGGTGGGGGTTGGGAGGGTGGGGGTGGGGTGGGGTTTGGGGTGGGGGTGGGGGGTGGGGTTGGGTTGTGCTTGCAGTTCAGGGCTCACTGCTGACAAAGTTTGTTAAGTCAATTGCGGAGCCTGCCCCGGCTGGACCCAGGCACTTTGAAGTCCAAATGGAACCGAAATGTAAAAGAATTGGACAGGAAATGGAAAGGAAATGCAAAAGCAATCTGAAAGGACATGGCAAGGAGATGGAAAGGAAATGGAAAAAAGATGGAAAGGAGATGGAAAGGAAATGGAAAGGACATGGAAAGGAAACGGAAAAGGAAACGGAAAGGACACGAAAAGGAGATGGAAAGGAAAAGGCAATGGAGAGGAAATGGAAAGAAACGGAAAGGGAAACGGAAAGGACACGGAAAGGAAATGGAAAGGAGATGGAAAGGAGATGGAAAGGCAATGGAGGGGAATTGGAAAGAAACGGAAAAGGAAACGGAAAGGACACGGAAAGGAAATGGAAAGGAAATGGAAAGGAAATGGAGAGGAAAAGGAAAGAAACGGAAAAGGAAACGGAAAGGACACGGAAAGGAAATGGAAAGGAGCTGGAAAGGAGGTGGAAAGGAGATGGAAAGGCAATGGAGAGGAAATGGAAAGAAACGGAAAAGGAAACGGAAAGGACACGGAAAAGAAATGGAAAGGAAATGGAAAGGAGATGGAAAGGAAATGGAGAGGAAAAGGAAAGAAACGGAAAAGGAAATGGAAAGGACACGGAAAGGACATGGAAAGGAGCTGGAAAGGAAATTGAAAGGAAATGGAACGGAGATGGAAAGGAAATGGAGAGGAAAAGGAAAGAAACGGAGCATCCTTTGCATTGCCAATGCTGTCTTACGTTACTTTCGAAACGCATATATGAGCAAGAAAGAGATGCTGATGACCATCATGATGATGATGTGATGAGAAGAGTGATGATGATGATGACGACGACCATCATCATGATGATGATGAGGAAGATCTTGATGATGACTGTGATGATAACTATCATTGTAGCATCCTTTGCATCACCAGCGCTGCCTAATGAGAGATGATGATCACTATCATCGTAGCCTCCTCGGCATCACCAGTGCCGGCTAATAAGAGATGATGATGACCATGATGATAATGGTAAGGATGAGGACTGTGATGATAACTATCATCGTAGCATCCTCTGCATTGCCAATGCTGTCTAACGTTACTTTTGAAATGCATATAAGCACCATCATGATGATGACGAGAAGAGTGATGATGATGATGACGACGACCATCATCATGATGATGATGAAGAAGATCATGATGATGACTGTGATGATACTATCATCGTAGCATCCTTTGCATCACCAGTGCTGCCTAATGAGAGATGATGATAACCGTGATGACAATGATGATACGGATGAGGACTGTGATGATAACTACCATCGTAGCATCCTCGGCACCACCAGTGCCGTTGAATAAGAGATGATGATGACCATGATCATAATGATGATAAGGATGAGGACTGTCGTGATAACTATCATCGTAACGTTACTGTTGAAATGCATTAGAGAACAAGAAAGAGATGTTGATGACCATCATGATGATGATGAGAAGAGTGATGATGATTGTGACGACGACCATCATCATGATGATGATGAGGAAGATCCTGATGATGACTGTGATGATAACTATCATCATAGCATCCTCTGCATTGCCAATGCTGTCTAACGATACTTTTGAAATGCATATAAGCACCATCATGATGATGACGAGAAGAGTGATGATGATGATGACGACGACCATCATCATGATGATGATGAAGAAGATCATGATGATGACTGTGATGGTACTATCATCGTAGCAGCCTTTGCATCACCAGTGCTGCCTAATGAGAGATGATGATGACCGTGATGACAATGATGATACGGATGAGGACTGATGGTAACTATCATCGTAGCATCCTCGGCATTAAGAGATGATGATGACCATGATGACAATGATGATAAGGATGAGGACTGTGATGATAGCTATCATCGTAGCATCCTTTGCATCACCAGTGCTGCCTCATGAGAGATGATGATGACCGTGATGACAATGATGATAAGGATGAGGACTGTGATGATAACTATCATCGTAGCATCCTCGGCATCACGAGTGGCGGCTAATAAGAGATGATGCTGACCAGGGTGATAGTGGTAAGGATGAGGACTGTGATAACTATCATCGTAGCATCCTTTGCATTGCCAATGCTGTCTAACGTTACTTTTGAAATGCGTATGAGAACAAGTTTGAGATGATGATGACCATCATGATGATGATGAGAAGAGTGATGATGATTGTGACGACGACCATCATCATGATGATGCTGATGAGGAAGATCCTGATGATGACTGTGATGATAACTATCATCGTAGCATCCTTTGCATCACCAGTGCTGCCTAATAAGAGATGATGATCACCGTGATGACAATGATGATACGGATGACTGTGATGATAACTATCATCGTAGCATCCTCGGCATCACCAGTGCCGTTGAATAAGAGATGATGATGACCATGATCATAATGATGATAAGGATGAGGACTGTCATGATAACCATCATCGTAACGTTACTGTTGAAATGCATTAGAGAACAAGAAAGAGATGTTGATGACCGTCATGATGATGATGAGAAGAGTGATGATGATGACGACGACCATCATCATGATGATGATGAGGAAGATCCTGATGATGAGTGTGATGATAACTATCATCGTAGCACCCTTTGCATCACCAGTGCTTCCGAGAGATGATGATTGATGATAAGGATGAGGACTGTGATGGTAACTATCATCGTAGGTGCCGGCTAAAAAGAGATGATGATGACCATGATGACATTGATGATACGGATGAGTGAGGACTGTGATGGTAACTATCATCGTAGCATCCTCTGCATTGCCAATGCTGTCTAACGTTACTTGTGAAATGCATATAAGAACAAGAAAGAGATGATGATGACCATCATGATGATGATGAGAAGAATGATGATGATGATGACGATCATCCTCATGATGATGATAAGGATGATCATGATGGTGACTGTGATGATAACTATCATTGTAGCATCCTTTGCATCACCAGCGCTGCCTAATGAGAGATGATGATCACTATCATCGTAGCCTCCTCGGCATCACCAGTGCCGGCTAATAAGAGATGATGATGACCATGATGATAATGGTAAGGATGAGGACTGTGATGATAACTATCATCGTAGCATCCTCTGCATTGCCAATGCTGTCTAACGTTACTTTTGAAATGCATATAAGCACCATCATGATGATGACGAGAAGAGTGATGATGATGATGACGACGACCATCATCATGATGATGATGAAGAAGATCATGATGATGACTGTGATGATACTATCATCGTAGCATCCTTTGCATCACCTGTGACCATGATGATAATGATGATAAGGATGAGGACTGTGATGATAACTATCATCGTAGAACCCTCTGCATTGCTGTCTTACGTTACTTTCGAAATGTATATAAGCACAAGAAAGAGATGATGATGATCATCATGATGATGATGAGAAGAGCGATGATGATGATGATGACGACCGTCATCATGATGATGACACGGATGATGCCGATGATGACTCTGATGCTAGCTATGATCGTAGCATCCTTTGCATCACCATTGCTGCCTAATAAGAGATGATGATGACCGTGATGAGAATGATGATAAGGGTGAGGACTGTGATGATAACTATCATCGTAGCACCCTCGGCATCACCAGCGCCGGCTAACAAGAGATGATGATGACCATGATGATAATGATGATAAGGATGAGGACTGTGATGATAACTATCATCGTAGCATCCTTTGCATTGCCAATGCTGTCTAACGTTACTTTTGAAACGCATATAAGAACAAGAAAGATATGCTGATGACCATCATGATGATGATGAGAAGAGCGATGATGATGATGACGACGACCATCATCATGATGATGATGAAGAAGATCATGATGATGACTGTGATGATACTATCATCGTAGCACCCTTTGCATCACCAGTGCTGCCTAATGAGAGATGATGATGACCGTGATGATAATGATGATAAGGATGAGGACTGTGATGATAACTATCATCGTAGCATCCTCGGCATCACCAGTGCCGTTGATTAAGAGATGATGATGACCATGATGATAATGATGATAAGGATGAGGGCTGTGATGATAACTATCATCGTAGCATCCTCGACATCACCAGTGCCGGCTAACAAGAGATGATGTGATAATGATGATAAGGGTGAGGACTGTGATGATAACTATCATCGTAGCATCCTCTGCGTTGCCAATGCTGCCTGTATATAAGAACAAGAAAGAGATGACGATCATCATCATGATGATGATGAGAAGAGTGATGATGATGATCAGATGCAGCATCGCTTTTGATGATCGTGATGATCCTGATGATATCATCACTACGCATCTCCAGCATCACCAGCAGTTACCGTGATGATCTCCTGATGAGAATCATCGCTATGCGTCCCCAGCATGAGCATCAGCTATCACAACAATCAGGACTAAATGCATCACTGCATTTCAAGCCGGGTTTAACGGCAAGCTTGAAACGTAGAATGCTGATGATCCAGATGCTGCGAACCCATCACCCAACATCAGTGGTGATGAAAAACATCACGAAGACAAGGACGAATACAAAGAAAGGGGACGGCGCGTTTTTTGAACCTTTCTCCTTGTATTTGTCATAGTTTAGCTAACTCCCGCTTCACGAAGAAGCAGCAGACAGGCCCTGAAAAAAGCCAACTCAGAAAAAGCAAGGCAGCCACACGCAACAAGCGAACTAGAAGCCCAATGGAAACCCTACTTCACGAAAAGCAGCAGCCCGACCAAGCAAGCCAGTAACAGGCTGTCGAAGAAAGCAACTGCGAACAACGCAATAAGCAACATAGAAGCCTTACCACAAAATTCCCACTTCGCGGAAAATCAGCGGCCCGACCAAGCAGGCCAGTGACAGGCCCTGAGCAGATCCAACTGCGAAAAAAAACGGGTTTTTGAACCTTCCTTGGCCAACGATCTTTTGCCCATTTGGCCAGTCTGCAAGAACAACAGCAAGCATGTGTTAGGTAGAGGGTAGTCTTTGCGGCGTGGATGTGGCAGGTTGAAAGGAGGAACAGGACACAACTAGGCCCTGAGTGTGGAATGCGCAACAAGAAGGCCTCCCCTTCTTTGAGTCTCCTGAGTCAAATGGTGCCCTCCCCCTTCATTGCAAGAATTCAACTGTGAGACAGTTGCCGAATTCAGTGGGACAGCGGCCACTGTCTCAAAAGAAAACCGCCCAAGACAGCGGACGTGAAATTCGGAGCCTAAGGCTCTCCGCTCGGGTTTCTCAATGGGAGCCCAGCTCTGTGGACTTTTTGTCTGTTTTCTGCCAGGCGGGAACACCTGGGCCCTAGCCCAAGGTCTCAGATTCGAGGCGCCTGGAGGTTGACCTAGTCAGTTTTTTTTTAACATGTCCAAGTAAAGAAGCGTGACTTGAGCGACCCAATTTCCATAACTTCCCCCAACCACACCTCCAAACCATCAACCCGAACTAAATGAAACAACCCCCCTTGCAAACCAGCGACATAAACTCAATGGAGAAAGATGTCCGCTCCAAACTACCAACTCAAACAAAATGAAACAAACGGCCCCTTCAAACCAGCCCCCTCCAAACCGCCAACCCTAACTAAATCGAAAAAGCGCCCCTCCACGCAACCAACCCACACTAAATCAAACAAGCGGCCCCTCCAAAGCAGCAGCCCAAACTAGATGGAGAAAACAGCCCCCTCCAAAATACCAACCCACACATCGTGCATTTCTCTTTTGCGGACATGGCTGCGCGATTATTTACTTTATTTGGCTTATTTCTATTTTTTATATCTCGTTTTGTTGAAATTCATTTTTGATCTTTTTTACATCTTTTTGGATCTTCATTCTCTTCCTATACAAAGAAACAGTAGATAGTAGGAGAGAACCGGTATCTTGACTATCTACTTAGTTTCTCCTATATCTGCACTATCTTGCCACGAGGCTTCCTAGTGGGGGGTTAGTTGCGGTTGGGTGAGGTTGGGGGGGTGGGGTTGGGGGTGCGGGTGTTGGGGGCCCAAGTTGGGGGTGCAGGTGGGTTTGGGGGCGGGGAAGGGGAAGGGTCGCGATGGATGAAACTTCGGCGCAATGACTCGCCAAGACCACCGGAGCCTTTCTTGGCAGTGCCGCCCACCTCCGAAATATACGTCTGAGTTGTGCCACCTACTCTCTAGGTGTACTTGAGACACAATCAAAACTTGGGTAGATGAAGGCTTGGGCGGGACAATCCCCACCATAAATAGGCACGACTTTTTGAAATCGTTGTATTGGTTTGGGTACACCATTTAAGACCAGGTTGTGATTATGAACGTATGAATCACTTGATACTGGCAAAAGGGGTTTGCCATGTGGTTGAAGTAAACAAATCAGGGGACCGTCGCAATTTTGGGACTTTGATAAGCCCCACAAACAAAAACTTGGCTTCAGGAAAACCCCAATTTGTGTCCCCAAGAAGATGCCGGAAAGTATGGTCGTAGGGTGGGGAGTTGAAGATCCATTGGCCTGCGGTCGCACGTCCTTGTCTGCTGGAGTGAGACTCACTTTACATTGGCCCAACAGATGATCTTTAAAACCATCAAGGGGGAAATATGGGGAACCCACTGGGTGCTAGCCTGTTTACTAACCACTGGCTATCTTGGCGAATCAAGCATACACGTAGTGAGTGGACGAGGGCGAAGGGTAGACTGCTTTCCAGGGATTTGGAGAAGTATTCCCAGCAACTATCGAGCACAGGTGTGTCTTTTGTTTGAAGGATTCCCCAAAACCATTTTTTTTTTTTTTTGGGGGGGGGGCGGCAGGCATGTGAGCTTTCTAGGGGTTGCATTCTCATTCTTCCCCCGTAGTTCTCTTCAGAAACCGACATTTTTTTCGAGATAGAGATCCATTGTTTGAAGAGAAGGATCCCTGAAAATCATGGACATAGACAGTACGGCTAGAAGTGTAGCGACCACCACCTACTCTCCCATCAAACATGGAACCAGGGAAATCCTGGCTTGGACCATTTAAAACAGACCGGGTTCCATGGCACCGTCGACCAGAGGGCTACTAGTTGGTGGTTGGAAGGGAACTGGGCTTGGGGTATCCAAATTTTCCTTTAAACACTGCACTAAGATAAGGACATGGTAGTTCAATCAAATGGTGTTGTTTTCCTGCTGGCTTCCTTTTTCCCCTGTAACTCTTTCCCCCGAAAGTCCCTGTAGCCTTTTTTCCCTTCGGGCTGTCTCGAGCCGGGCGGGGCCAGGCTTTTGCCCGTTGGTCCTGGCCAAGCACAAGTATTTGGAGGCACGGGTCGGGGTCGACGGAAGATGGGAGCCGGTCGGAAGACGGGAGGGGTTTGGGAAGCTGAGTCTGGAAGGGGTCGACGGTGGGACGCCAAGAGTGGGAAGCGCAGAGATCCGGTTTTCGAGTCCAGGAGTCCAGCTGAGTTGAGAACGCCATGGTGGGGATTACCAAAAATAATTCCTTCAAAGGGAATAAGTAATCATAGGGACTGGAATCAACGACTTTGGTATCAGAGCTAGGGCTATGTAACTTTCATTTAACGTTTTGCACTTTAGAACTTAATCATTTCCCTACCAGGTAGCAAACAGTTTGACTTCATTTTATTGCTGACTAGACAGAGCAGTAAACCCGAAAATCTCTGGGGCCGCGAAGACTTTCTGGTGTGATAGGTCGGGGATGTGGGAATGAACGGTTTGGGGATTCAGTTGGATGGTAGGGGTCATTCCATTTCTCATTCCTGGCAAGAAGAAGGAGAGGAGAACGTCCGAAGGAAGTGCGCCCAGGTTGTAGCTATATAAAGCCAGCAGCTGACACACCTCCAACAATTGTCTATTTTAGTCTTTATCAAGGGGGTGTGTTTGGGGGGGGAGGGGGCGTTTGGGGAATCCTCTTTTGGGGGGGTGTGAGCTTTTTTTAGTTACCAGAGTCTCACCTTGGAAAATGGAACCAAAGACACAACACTGCGGTTTTCCCCAGCCTTTTTTTTTGTCTTGAGCCGCATCCATGTTGCAACAAAAGAGTGGGTTTCAAATGTACCGTCCATGTACTTGAGAGAAACTCGGAAAACGCTACGGGACGTCCGAACGGCGGAAGGCTGCATGGTCGAAGCTTGGGAGTTTGGGGAAGGCCGGGCTGAGTGGCCAGGGAAGGCCAGCTTTATGGGAATCAACCACTCTGGGATCAGAGGTCTTCCCCATTGTTTTTGTTTTTTTAATATAAAATAACAGTAAACAACTTTTCATTTGTTTTTTTTTGGTAAAATAAAAAGACAAATAAAAATCACTTGTTGGGGGTCCCCCTTGGTTTTCTATCCAGGCAGACATCTAGGTTTTTGCTGGCGTGCCAATTCCAGCCAAGAGGGCTATGTATCACTCAACCCTCTGCCTTGTTATGAGCATCTTTCTAGACAACAAACCTGGGTCCCCAGTAGTGCCCTTTCGCCCTGTTTTTGGGTTTTGGGTTCCCCTACTAAAATCGATTACAGAAAAAAGACGGCACCCTCATTCTACCCTCTCTACTGGAGGACCCAGAAACCGTTGGTTGGGGTTTTCGACATTTTCCACGAGCTTGAAATCTCGGAGGCTCAACCCCCAGTAAAACAAAGGTCGACCCAATTTGGATGATGACAACCCTTAGGTCAAAACAAATGGTTATTATATGAACTCCGCACTGGTTTTAACGGTGGTTTGCACCCCAGAAAAAACCTCCATTTCCTGTGTAAGGGGAAGACTTGTAAGAAAAAAAACTAAAAGTGTTCTTCCATTTATGGCTCCATTTCCTTGGTAGGGGGAAGACTAAGAGTGGTTCGAATTTTTGAATTCTGTGAGGCGGCCAAGGAGTGCAAGGACAAGCTCACCTTCGCACTGCCCCGCGCCGACGGCTGCGCGCGCTACGCGCTGCCGGTCTTCCCCGACGGCACGAGGGACGCGAGGGCCTCCGCGTACCTGGCTGGCGTCATCATCCAGGAGAGCGAAACACCGGTGGCTGGCTGGGACGGTTGGGCAGGGCTCCTTATGGATACATTTTGCAACCATTGGATTTTACAAGGCAATGTTCAGGTGTATAATGTAAGGATCCCTGTTGGGGTGGGGTTGGAGGTGGGTGGAAGTTTGTTTTTTTGAAACAGTGTTTCATGTAAACTGGCTGGACAGTAGAGCACATGGAAATGCGGGCGTCCTAAACTGGGGTGTCTTGCACAGCGGTTTTGTATTTTGGGGACTCAGACAAGCTATGACGCAGAAGTAGAACATATTGTTTGCTGTGTACCCCAGATGTGGGCCAAGTAAAGATGGTTCTATGGGTTGATTCCCCATTCTTTTCAACCATCGTTCTTTCCAAAAATCGGATCCGTTTTCCCACATTTTCCGGAGGTTTTCTGGAAAGGTCCGGATCCCTGGAAAGAATGGTTGGAAGGTGCCCCTGGAAAGGTGCGCCCTTTGACCGCTTGCCTCACTTTCGGCCCCTTGGGACCTTTTTGCACTTCGGCCTTTTCAACCCATGTGAGCTGTTGAACTTCTTGCAGCGGGGAGTGAGTATGTATTGATTTCTTGCATTATTATTTCATTTTGTTTGCTTGTTTGTTTGTTTGTTTGCTTGCTTGCTTGCTTGTTTGTTTGTTTGTTTGTTTGTTTGTTTGTTTGTTTGTTTGTTTGTTTGTTTGCTTGTCTGTGTATTATATATATGTATATGTTTATTGGTTCATTAGTTAATTCACTAGCTCTTTAGTTAATTACCTGATCAATTAATCAGTCAATTAGTTAATTAATTAATTAATTAACTCATTCATTGATTACTTAATTGATTCACTAATTAGTTAGTTAGTTAGTTAGTTAGTTAACTAATTTTAGTTAATTGATTGATTGATTGATTGATTTGATTGATTGATTGATTGATGGATTGATTGATTGATTGATTGATTGATTGATTGATTGATTGATTGATGGATTGATTGATTGATTGATTGATTGATTGATTGATTGGTTTGATTGATTGATTGATTGATTGATGGATTGGATTGGATTGGATTGGATTGGATTGGATTGGATTGGATTGATTTGATTTGATTTGATTTGAATTGAATTGAATTGAATTAAATTGATTTATTGATTTGATTGATGTGTTTTATTTATTTATTCATTTGGGGCTCCTTTCGGTTCCACAAAAGCCCGGGTTTTCGCCCGACCGCCTTCCGCTTCCCAGGAGATCATGTGGCAACGCAGCGCCTCCGGCCTGATCATGCACGGCCCCCCGAAGATCTGCAAGTTCCTGCAGACGCCCGGCCAGAGATTTGGAGGCCCCCAGCCATACTTTTATGACCTTCTGGGGCCCGACCCCCCGAGTTTCCTTAATTTGGGGATTTTTCTCTTTGGGGTGAGGTTTAGAAGCCGGGTCGTGGTTGATCACTCGGGGTTTCTCCAACCACTTCCGCGATACAAGTTTTTGAATCCCCTCTTATGGGGGGCTTGGTCTTTGAGAGGCCCTTTTGTTGTATCACAGAAGTGGATTCCATTTCCCACAGCCCTGTTAAAAGGGAAATATGGGGAACCCGGCGAAAGAGATTTTAGTTTCTAGGTCTCCCCCAGCGATTGGTGCCCTTCTACCGTTTCTTTTTTTGGGTTTTGGGTTCCCCTACTAAAATAGACCCCAGAAAAAAGGTTGGTACCCTTACTGTATCCTCTCAAATCTGGAGGACCTAGGTTATTTTTACCACCTTTTGGGCCTTCTGAGCTTCCAACTTGACAAGTTTTGTCGCTTTGGTGGTTGTGCTTGTCTTTGCTTCGGGTTTCCTCCCTCTTCTTTTGGTTCGTCGCTCGCTGGAACCGCGCAGCTGCGTGGCCGCGACTGGCGCGGAGCGGCCAAAAGCAACGGAGTTGCCTTTCCGGGGGTTGATATATAACAACATATATATACATATATATATATATATATTTATATATATATATATATATATGTATGGTACCCCCCCTCCCAAAACCCAGGTTTTGGGAGAAAACACTGTAATATATATATATATATATAAATTATGATTTTTTGTAAAGGGACCCTTTTGGTGGAATGGTGGGTGTGAATTTTAATGGGGGATTTTTTTGGTGGACATCATTGAGGTGGGAATTCATGTCCACCAGCCACTTTTGAGGTGCCCTGCTAAATTTCATAGCCATTTGACGCTCCCAGTCATTTTCACCACCTTTTGGCCCATTGCCGAGTTTCCTTCGCTTGGTGCCTAGTCATATTGCTCCTTCTGTTGGCTTTAAGCACCCACCTTTTGGTTTTTTTGAAAGAGACTCGGGTTTTTGGTTTTAGTGGGCTCTCAAAATGACCACAGACTGGAGATGTTTAGACCGCACGGTCAACCAAAAACGGAAGTCCCAAGGCCCATTCAGTGGCCATGGGAAAAAGAGCCTGATTGCCAAGAGATCTGGGTGGTTCGGGACCAGCCGTCCGGTTTGACTTAGTCTTTTTTTTTGGTTGGTTGAGTGGCTTAGTTTGGGGATTTTTCCCCCTTGGGGCAACTCGTTTGGCGCTGAAGGGAACGCCTAGCACTGGTAAGTCTCGGACTCAGGTGGGATGTGACGCATTGCAGATGCACTCGGCACAGCGCGCAATGACCTGTCGGGTTTATAAGCATCTCTACCATAGGTGTCCTTTTTGGTTTTTTTTGCTAGACACATAGATGGCGATTCCTGGTTTACCTGGTGCTTTAATCATCTACCAGGGC